TCAAAAATGCATAATTTGTATTATTTTTAGTGAAACATAAACAGCGTTTTATAAGCCCAATATACACGGGTATACATTTATGCTTTTTATAAATATACATATTATATTTAATTTTTTTTGGAACATTATCTTATTATCTATATCTATCTGTAGAGAATTCAATAAGTTTTTTTTTTGTTATTAGAAAATGCATTCTCCTCTTGTAGGCACCTTAAGTGTATTAAAATATTTAATTTCGAGACTTTTATTTGTATTTATTAGGAGTTACAGCTGATTAGATCATTTTTTCATTATTTACTGCATTTTATACAACTTTTAATTTCTATCGATTTGTATCTTTTCAATATAATTAGATACCTACCTAGTACTTAATACTTAATAGAATGATTACTGATTAATATTTAATTTTCAAATTTACCAATTTATCAACTTCCCACTTACAACAGTGGTACGTCCATCTCAAGTATCAGCTATTTTTTTTTATTTTAAATACCTATATTCATATATATATATTTTTTTTTTCAATAGTATATAAAATAATTATAATAAATTAATAATAAACGTACTCTAAAATCTGGTTAGGACAGCCTTGTCTAAGAAGAAAGGTTCGTTACTAGGTCCCTATAGGTAATTTACTTTTCTGTGGTTCCTTCTTAATCCGCGATGTTATCTGACTTAGCAACCTTAAAATATAATAAAACTATAGATAATAGTATTGTAATGTAATGTGTCTATGATAGCAACGAACAATATACTGAACCAGGCGGGTTACTTGAAATATTTTAACGATAATCGTAAAAATAACGCGAATATAAAAATAATAGATTCCAACTATAGGTGAGGCTGGTTAGGTTAGGTTAGTAAAAAGTAGTAAAAACGTGTTAAATTATCGCATTCACATTTTTTTGAACAAATAGGTAAAGATGAAATGTCTATGCTTTTGCCATCATACTCGTATTTATTATTCTTATACCAACAAAATCATAATATTGCCTAGATCGGGAACACGATTTCAGGAGCCAATGAAATGCGTTATTATATTCGGCGTACTTATCTATTAGCAGTACCTACAACATAAGGTTATAACCTATGATGTAAATTTTAAGGAGATTATAAGAAAAAAAAAATTGCTATTGATCTTAGATAGTATAATATTTTTATGTTTCAAAACATTAAACTCACTACAATATTAATTTGTTGTTGGATACATTATAAATGGGCTATAATTTAAATGTGTGCGATTTTGCGAATTTGTGTTAGGTGGGTATGCGTGTACGTTTAAAAATATAATAAATGGCTTTTGATTGAATATTAAATAAAATTACATCTAGCTGAAATACATTCTCGCCACTGGTGCACATAATATTATACGCTTATACCTACCCTGATGTAAGTACATATTAATTAATTATTTACCGCCGTATTGTGCCAAGAATGTTTGCTTTTTTTTTTTTTCAAAATGCGTTCTATAATTATGTTTGTTTCTAATAAACCGAATACCAATTAAAATATTTATTTTTTAAACGTGTAGGCGCCAAGTAACTATAACCGCACAATAATTTCTATAAAATTAATCGGACGAAATATCAGATTAGGTAGGTACCGAACTTACTTTTCAAACACTATTGTACAACGTTAACTAGGTTAGGTATATCAATCAGCTATGCTTGGTAAATTTCATAAAAATTTCGTTTTATTCACAATACTATTGTAGATTTGTTTAAAATCCGCTAATGTAGGTACCCCCCACCTACAGAATGTGTTTTAAAAATTCCTTAATTTTAATCACTGTACAGATTCGATAATCGAGGCGTTTATTTTCAAAATCTACAACCGTTAGCAAATACGCGATTGAAAAAAAAATAATAATAAAAAAACAGTTACAAAATAGTCCGTTGAAACGGGTTAGTTTCAAAATCGCCCAAATGATGATGATGTACTTGCATGGGTACAGTTTTACATGGTTACATATTTGTTAAAAATATAACACTCCTCAATAATTTGTCTACCACAGGATGTTGTGAATTATTGAAATCGAAGATTTAAATATTCGAACAGTTAATCTATTCCACGCGCTCGCGGTATTAATTTTAAATGTTATAAACGCATAACTATAAAAATCCATCTCGGAGTGGTTTTTTTTATCCGTGTTTATGTGGAGTATAGACGTGAGTGGAATTTTACGCGAGTGCATTAAGTGAATTACTGAAGTTTATGTTAACTACCTAAACGACTAATTATTACCTACTACAACGTACCTATTTGCATTGTTACAATCATCCCCAAAGTATTTGTCTTTGCGCACGGTAATGTACACGTACACCCAATGCAAATGGTAAAATATTTACTTTTCGTGGAATTTGTTTTTGCATTAATCGAGTAAATAATAAAACAACCGGCCGGATGTTGTGTAAGGTTATGATTGACATTTGATATGTATGGCACCATTCCAGCTGGCGCTACGTTTCGACTTTAAAATAATTATTATAAAAATTGAAATTTAATGAAAACTACAAAATTAGATTCGGCTGCAGGCGCCGTTTGAATTTCCGGAAATATCAACCGACTGCAATGAAATATCAATTGCGGTATATATCAATAATTTTATTACGGTACACTTTTTAGCTTTCGTAATTTATTATTGTCTACATAAACAAATCATGAGTTTTCACGGTGGCCAAATTCTTGTTTTTTTTTTTTTTTTTTTAATTTTTAATCTGAACCCAGATAATAATGTATAGGTAAAGGCACAGACTGGGTAAGATACCTTACCCGTTGGCCATTACCCATATCTATAATACCTATTTATAGTTAAGAAGATACGTAAATTACATTTTAAATTTAATGTCTTTTCGATTAGGTATAGGAACATAATATACTTATCAGAATATTATGGGTAAATAGTGTTGGGCTCAGCTCGATGACTATGTCAGATTGATAATAATTATTAATGTTTTTCATTTTAATATACTAACTATTTCGCAAAGGCTTTCTGTGAGTCAGGTTGGCCGAGCGGTCTAAGGCGCCAGACTTAAGCTCTGGTTCCCGATTGGGAGCGTGGGTTCGAACCCCACACCTGACAAGCTTTTTTTTTTTGCACATTTTTTTTTTTTCTGTCGTTAATCGTAAGTACTTGAATGTAATAAATATTAAATGGCTCTTTCGTCTATTCGATTTTTTTTTAATGCCTATAATAAATAAAATATTAATGATAAGCATAACCGTGGCCTTTGAAAGTTAACCTGTCAACAGACTAACGTTTTTTTGCGTTGAAAAAAAAATCTTAAGATCGAATACTTTGCGATACATATTATATTCAATTGGTTTCAAATTGTATGGTTTATCTCCACAATTATGCTCAGAAGTGTGCGCAGGGGAGAGGAGGTTATGAGTTACACCAATCCTCCTCCCCCCCCCCCGTCGGCTTAAAAATACGACAAAATACGAGTGATCTAATATCGAAATGCACATATTTCAGTCAAGTTACGAGGAAAAGCTATTGAAGTATTGATTAGAAATCGGATTTTTTTTTTTTTTTTTCTCTAGGAACCGGCTTTTAAATTAACAATTCCCGTAACCGAGTCAGGTAGAAAAGACGATTTTACGATTTATTCACGATTCTCGTTTGTTGCATCCCCACCCATTGAAAATTCCTGGTAAGTCAAAAACATTATGACAAGCGGCAAACAATATTAATTAATTTGTATCATACGATTGTTTATACAAATAGTCGTAGTTATTATTTTGAATTTTCTATGAATTTACCTCGCCCGTATCAAAAAGTTTTTATACATTATAAACTGGGTTTATCGTAGTACAACACGTTTTATTTGTACCGTTGTTTCCCCCCCCCCTCCTCCTCGATTACCAATATTATACCGCGTGGTGGTCTGCAGTATTAGTTGCAGGTAGTCAATATATTATCGACGGCTTATCCCGTCCCCTCGAAAGAAAATTTGACCCGTTTGCACTTATAAACGACAACGCACAAATTACTTATTACACGCATTTTATAAAAGTAACGGACATTGAACATTAATCAATAAACATTGACAAGTCACCTTCTTTTACCTTCGTGGTTTTACACATTAAAATCTTTAGTTTTCAAGAAGAAAAAAAAATGTAATAATTTACGAGAATAATTGTCATAAAAATGCTGACGTTTCTGTAACGAAATAAAAAAAAAAAAAAATCGCCAACCACCAATTGAACCAATTATCACAATTTATACGATAAATTAACCAACTCAAACGCGCCCCCCCCCCCCAACATTACCGCGGCGTTTCAAAACATGTTTAACCGAACTTTGTTCAGAATCGTATTTCCTCACCAACAATGGTTTACATCATTGCGTACCTATTCAGATGATAAAAATATTAAATAACTTTATGCGTCTGCCTATCATATTGTTTAAGTGTTTCTGATTTGACGTGTGTTATGAGGTTTACTTAGTAGCCGGGTAATAAACGTAAAAAGGTAATAAATTACTTGGGTACAATAATAATTCTAATAGTACGGGTGACTCTACACTTCTGCGATTTCTGCGGTGGGCACTGACATTATCAGGACGAACGTGTTTGAGGGGCTGACCACCGCCCCCCTATAAAAAAAATAAATATACATAATTTATAAAGTAACCCAGAAATCGTTACCAAACAGAATTTTTTTATTATTCAAAAACTGTTCGGCATGTCCGTGGAAATTGAAATGCGCGCGCGAGTTTTCTTATCCGAAAAATATTTGTAGGTTACGTTTCATGGCATTATTGTTGTTATTTTTTTTTTCTCGATCGTTTAAATATTATTGTGTATTTTACATAATACAACCGCCGTGCAGTTGTTATCAATTGACGATTTATTGGTTTTGCCAATATGACGTCGCAGAAAAATAATCGGAATATATTTTTATTTTTTTTTTTTCCCACAACATTGATAATAAATTTACAAAGAGATTGATTATTTTTCAGTAGTGTTAACAATATTTTCATGTCTCTTATCAGTAGTACGCAGAGTCGGTTTTGTTGTTTACACACAATATTTTTATCCGTGCGATTTCAATATCAAAAAAAAAAAAAAAAAAAAAAAACAAAAAAAAATAACAATAATGAACGTCCGAGACCATTGTACAATCAAGTGACGAACGTGTTTCGATTGATAAACATTTTGTATTTTTCGTTCCGTCGGAGTTTTTCTCGTACTTAACAACAACAACAACAACAACAACAACAATAATATGGCCTAGCTTTGTGCATCGTACAGGTCGTAGTAGCGTCCGTCTGCGAAGTATATTCAATTGTTCATTGACATTGCCGTTACAGGATACGTTGGCCGGTAAACGCTTCGCTTCGGTGCCCGCGCGGTCCGCCAGAGCGATTGTGTACGCGAACGGCTTTTCCGCAATGGAAACGGAACATGCGGTCCCGTCGACCCAGGTCGGCGCCACGGAGATCAACAAACAAGCCGAACGGTCCGCAATCAGGGGGCCTCTGATAAACAATATCAGGTAAGCCGCTACACGTTCTTCGGCCCCGTCGATTTGTGTTTCGCTTGTATATTGTATTTGTTTTTCATTTCCGATCGGCCTGCCTACGTTGTACCCGTCCGTTGCGGTTCACCCGTAGGCGACTGTAATACGCGTTACATTCCTTCACCGCGTGTCGACCGTCCGGTGAGAAGAAACAACAAAGTTGTTGAAGTACGCGCTAATGCGGTCGGTGTAATGTTTTTGTGAAATTCCGTTAATTTTCCCGGACGCGTATGATTTAAGTAATTGCATTGCATTTCAATATGGTCGTTTAATTTGAAAACGTTCATCCAATTATCGTAGCCGCGGGTGTTTTATTTTTCTTTTGCAAAATAAACTAAACTCCTCTAACCCCCGTGCGTACATTATCACTACCAAAAGAGAACCCCGTACTTTGTATACCTACAGCGTAGAGCACCCCGAATTGTGATTTTAATAAAAAAAAAAAAAAAAACCAACTTGTTGAAATTGTTCAAGTGTATAATAACACAAATGTATTTTTTTTTAAATATTTTCAAAAATTTTTGGCAGCTCGATTATTATAATTTTACGAAGAAAAAATAAGGCTGTCGTGCCGTATGCGCTCTATGGGTGGTGGTGTTATGAACGCAGTGTGTACTCTGCAGTATAATAATAATTTCTGTAATAAACAAGGTTATTGTTATTGTTAATTTGTTGTTTATAATATGAAATATTGAGCATATTAAATATTGCACAGACCCTAAAAACAGAAATAAAAAAAAAAAAACTCTAAAACCATACTGTTTTTCAATTTTTTTAAAATTTGTTTCCAAATGCTTATGAATACTTTTGACTTTTAAACACACTACATTGTTTTATTTTTATATAAATAGGTAAATCATATTTATTTTGTTGAAAAACTTGTTTCACGGTAGAACACCAATTCAGCATGAATTTTGTAGGTATATGTGAACAAATTCGAACAAGTTATATATCTTCAATAATGGATCATTATTATGTGTTTTGTTTTTTTGTTGTTTTGTCATATGAATAAATAAACAAATAGATGGTGTCTCCAGTGTCATTTCCTCTCATCTTTTGCTACATTTCAGTTATTATTTATCATGCCTTTGTTCCTTAATTCGTCTGTGATAGCATCACTGATAACAACCACATATCATCAACCAACTCAAGAATAAGGCGAATGGTAAAACCGTCTTAGATGCCACCGATGCCGTCACAGATGAATTAAAGAACATTAAGGATGTCATGCAAATATTTTGCTCTTGAATCTTAGATATACATGTGTAGGTATAAACTTAATCTGTAATTTTTAATTTACAGCAACATGCCAACATTTGGTTTACCAGCCAGTGCTTACGAATTGAATCCAAATGCTCGGTTAACTTTTAAATTTGATAGAGAAATGTTCAACAGTAGTCTATTTGATAGTGAAATAGAAATTAGTCCTGCTGGTATTGGAAACAACATGGCGTTTCGGTTTAATAGAAATGATTTGTTTAGACCTACTCAGTAAGATATAAATACGTAATTAATAAACATAATATTTTGTTTACAGTTATTAACTAATATCATGTAACAGTTTTGATTTTAGTAACAGAGGTATGTTGTTAAACGGGCATTTCACTCCATCTAATTTAGAAGTGGGTGAAAACTTAGATACCAAAAGACAGCAGCATTTGCATGAACTTGGGATGAAGAAAACCGAGATCAAATCCAAACCTTTCAAATGCGATATTTGTAAAAAATCGTTTTCCAGTTCCGGAGGTTTGACAGTTCACTACAGAACGCACACGGGTAACAAACCTTTTAAATGTGATTTATGTAGTAAAACTTTTTCAAATTCAAGTCATTACAATTACCACATGCGTGTACATTCAGGAGATAAACCATTTAAATGTCAAGTGTGCAGCAAGGAATATTCTTGTGCTAACGGCATTTTATACCATCAGAGAACACATCACTTTTCGCAAGACACAAAACCTCTAAAGTGTGATGTGTGCAACAAATTGTTTTCAAGTGTTGGAGGTTTGACTGTTCACTATCGCTCTCACACTGGTGACCGACCATTTAAATGTGAAGTGTGTTTCAAGACGTTCACCAGTTCAAGTCATTGCAAGTATCATCAAAAATCTCATCTGCAAACAACTACAAAAAAAACATTAAAATGTGATGTATGTCACAAATTGTTCTCCAGTTCTGGTGGTCTACAAGTTCACTATAGAATGCACACTGGTGATCGACCTTTTAAGTGTGAAATTTGTCTCAAAGCGTTTACCAGTTCCAGTCATTTTAAGTACCACCAAAAATCGCATGTGGTTTCCAATGAAAAAAAATCATTAAAATGCGATGTATGTGATAAATTGTTTTCAAGTTCGGGTGGACTATTGGTCCATTATCGTACACATACTGGCCACAGGCCATATAAATGTGAAATTTGCTTTAAATCGTTTACCAACTCCAGTCATTATAAATATCACCAAAAAACCCATATTGTTGGGGATGGAACTGCCGAATGGAATAAAACAGCAGTCGCTCTACGTAGCTATACCAATCCCAGTTTGAATAATCCTGGTCACGGGCGGCCTCTCTCTCACGACAAGACAATTGTCTGGGGAGAAAGATTACCGTCGTCCACCCCTGACATGGCAGAAACCTAAAGGGTGTTTTCATATTATTCTGCCTCTAGGCGACCAAACTAGGCTCAGGTTTACTCCCAGTACTATAAAAAAAAAAAAGGTATTGGTAATCATGCTGGTCACAAATTATTTTAATGTGCAATTGCTTTAAATCTTTTACCAGCTTCAAATATTGCCAAAAAAAAATCCCAGATTGAAGGTGTTCATTGTATATTCAATATATTTTGTATTAATTGTGGCTTTACTTATTAATTTTTACCCAGAATAAACCTAATTAAGTAAATTATTTTTTAGTTCTTTTTATAAATGATTTGTAGTCTAATAAATAAATTATAATTAAAAATGTTTGTCTATACTGTGTATAATGTGTAGGTACAAAAATGTACATTTTTTCTTTTTATATTTTTCTTATTTTTAATATATATTATATATATGGAATTAATATTTTATGGATTTTCTGTAATTATATCTTTTGTTTTGTCATTTTTGACTGAAGTTTATTTAAAATATTTTGTATTAATATTAATAATTGTAATTATAAAAATGAAATATTTGATACATAAATGATTTGTTACAAATTTATATAAATTAAAACATGTAATGATAACAAACAGTTGTATTATTTATTTTACTAAGTTTTTTGAATGTTAACTATTGATGATAAGAATTACTCAACGCTGTACATTATTTTATTTCTATTGGTCTGGTACTAATTCAATTCAACCAACAATATTGTCCATAGGTGTTTTATTAAATTGTTATTTTGATGACAATATAAATTTCCAGTACTCATTGCTGTGATCATTTTTAAAATTATTTGTCATTAAAATGTTCAAGTATATATTTCTATTAGATTAGAAAAAATTACTGTTTTAAACATTTTTCATAACCTAAATAATATCTATCGTCTACTGTTATTGCTCACCTTCGTTATTTTTAAAACCTTTGGCAAAAAAAATAGTAAAATGTACTCTAAAATAGTTTTACTTCCCAGTTGACTATTTGTGTTATTGGGATTTGGAAATACGGCAACACTTGGAAAATAATTATATCTAAGAGTAAACTAATATTATAATTTTCCAAATTTTGTTGTGAATTTTAAAAACTATCCAAGTTTTGCTAGCTGTCTGTATTATTAATATTTTAATAATTAATTAAGTAACAAGAAACACTAAACAAAAAAAGAGAGCTAATACTGCTGATGGGTGCGTCACTACGTGGGAAGGTAAGACACATCAAATTATTTAATTTATCTCTGTTCGAAAATATAAAACATTACTAACAAAATACAGTTCTTTTCAAACTTTGTTTATACACGATTTGAAAGGAAATAATATTTACTATATTCATCAAAATTTAGTCTTAAAACAATATTATAAAAAACTCCCAAGGATAATGTACACGTTTTTAAATCTGCAATATACATATGTTCGAAAAATTGATAAATAAGATTTATTCTACATAATTTTTACTCAAACGATTTTCGTCAAAATTTAATATTAAAATTCCCTTATAAAAAAAAAAAAATGTACATTAAACTCAATTTGTTTTTTTCTAATGAACCTCATGTTAAATTTTCAATCATTACTGTTCAAGTCTAAACATTTTACCACATAATACCTACCGAAAGAAATTACATACAAAACTCAAAATTAAAATGTCTTTAAATAGTTTAAATTTTTTGAACATTTAACCGCGTCTAGAAAAGGCCAAATTTCCAGTCTCTACGAATATTTTAAACTTAATTACAACGAATAACAAAATTGAAAAATAATAAAAACATTATTTTCGCACATTTCCCGTTTTTCCTATATTTTATCCTGGTTTTTCCCAGATATTATTAAAACCGCTTAGAAAATCAAAAAATTGACCTCCCAAAAGTACCATCTGGACAACATTCCCTTTCAGAAATGGAGCCGCGCGTATCTATCTGAGCAAGATTTCTGGTCGAATTTTTATACACAGTATAAAAAAAAATAAACAACTAAATAAAATCAATACATTCTTCGCCACACTCGGAATCTAAAAAAACAATAACATTACTCTAGACTTTTTTTTTTTTTATCACTAAGTACAACTTATAATGAACCCCGTGTAAATGTTCAAGCATTTCAGTTCGGTCAAACAAAATTTTATCCCCGTAGTACCAATCAATTAAAAACTAAAAATACTGGGGACGGATGAGCGAATAGGACGAGATTTTACTACAAATCGTAATAAAAATATAGGTACTTTTAGAATTGGTTTTACTATGTGTATTTCCAGCCCCCCCCCATTAAAAACTGTTCTACCAGAAATATTGCTCGGATGTATAGAGCGGTTTCCGGTGGAAAACATAATGCGTAAAAAATTGAAACGATAAAATCGGCAACGACGTGGCACAAATGTCACTAGTGACGCCCTCTGAATTCCCACCAACACGCGACGCATTGCTAGTCTCTTCGGGAAAATTCGAAATTAAACGTGTGTTTTTTGTATAGACTTTAATTTCGGTGTTTTATTGAAAATTAACGAGCGATTTGAATTGTTTTCGTATAATACGGACAAATTTCGAAGAAAATCGACAAAACTGCCAACAGTCCTTAAACTATTGCGTTATTGGGTTCAGCCGACGACGCTGTCGTTGTTGCTGTCGGTGTCGGTACCGCTCGGATTTTCGTCCACCTCGAGCGCCTTGTATTCGGCCGTTAGCGATTCGATCTCGTCGCGGGCGCGCCGGAAATCGTCGTCGACCATGCCCTCGTCGGTGAACAAGTGCAGGAACGCTTTTTTCGCGAACATCGTCGAGTACCGCCGGCACACCCGGCTGAACACGCGGGCCACCGCGGTCGTGTTGGCCACCGCAGTGCCGCTCAAGTCGAGGCCGTGTGTCGGCACGTCGTAAGCGGCCGTCTTGACATTCTCAGCCGGGCATCGGCAGTGTTCGGCCGCCGCCGTAGCCACGATCTGCTTTATCGTACGCATCTTTTGTACGGCGCATAAATTCCGGCCGCGTAACGTGACGGACGCGGCCATTACTGCCGGCAACTTGCCGTCACGGTCCCGTTGCCCGCAACCGCGGCCGACCTCCGTGAACAGCTGATTGATCAGTTCCGGGACGGTTTGCGGCGTAATACCGTCGCACAGCCCGGGATTTCCACGAAACGTGAGTGGCGCAAAGTTGGGAACAAAAAAGTGCATCTTCGGGTACGGCACCAGGTTGGCGGTAGACTTTTTCATGTCGACGTTCAGCTCACCAGCGAACCGGAGCCCGGTGGTGACGCCCGACATGGTCTGCACTACCAGGTGGTTGAGGTCCGCGTACGCCGGCCCGGCCATGGGCACTGTCCGGGTCATGCACGAGGCGTACAGCGCCCGGTTGTCCGCGAAATACGTATTGTCCGCGCCACCGATCAGCCGGGCCATGGACAGGGCCGCGTTGTACGGCTCGATCCCCGAGGCCGACACCGACGACGACGGCACAACGCTGAACGTGTTCACCGTCCGACCCGCGTACTGGTCTCGGAGCGCGTCCACGATCCTGGATCCCAACCCAGAACCTGTACCGCCCCCCAACGAGTGCACAATCTGAAACCCTTGCAGTCGGTCGCATCGCTCCGCCGCGAACCGGACGGCGTCCAGGACGCGGCCGGCAAGTTTAACGTCGTTATACCCTCTGGCCCAGTTAGTGCCAGTCCCGCCGCTGCCGCCTACCAAGCTTTCTTGCTTGAACCGTCCGGCGCCACCAATGGCGTTCAACGCCGTCAAATCTGTATCGACGAGTACGGCCCTCGGCATATACGACTTGCCTGCGATTTGTAACACGAATATTCGACATTATGCTTACTAGTCACTATCCATTATCCACTCCATTTATAAATGCAGATGCATGTAAATAATAGAGTAGAACCGATTAAAATACGGTGTGGGTTCAAACACGTCAAAGTGTATTGGTTCGAGTGTAAGACTAGTAACATAGCGCTGGGCCACGCAATACGTAGTTCCGGTGTTACATTTTAGACGCGTTGTAAATCGGGTAATAATTAGTGATTTAATAAATAAAAAATTTATTGTAATTTTTTTTTTTTTGTGAAGACACCCGAATTTCGCAGACGACCGTCGGCGGGACACAACGAATGGACCACAATACATAATGTTAGAATCACAACACGAACCGGCTTATTAATGTACCCGAGTAATTAGGTCACCTTACTTAACCTACGGGTAGGTATGATATTACCTTGTATTTTTCGATATCAATGTTACTTCGGCCAGTTATCCACCATCCCGCTCATTGTTGAAAAATCCTAAGTACGCCACTGATTATTTCTACTCCGAAGTTACAAACACATATTTTGATCACCGAAAGATTTTAGCTTTAAAATGCACTAAATTTTCCGCACGGGGGGTGTCCTAACATGCCCCGTATAATTTAGGTCAACAAAATCCTAGATTTACGCGCAACTAGACCATCAATTTTTTTTTTTTTTTTGGGGGGAGGAGCTATGCCTCCACAATCCTCTTTACACGACTCTTACAATAAGCAACTACACATTTCATTTACATTATTTTTTGCACGCATTTATCATAACTATTTTATTTTATTTTACATTTCATACACAATTTGTTTGTAGGAAATCTGTGCCTATGTTGCGCTACTCATTAATTGTTTAAAAAGATTTAAAATAATAATAAAATTTAATAACAAAAAATAAGTAAAAACGGTTGCAAATGACAATCTCCACGGATTAATACCTAAAGTTTACTTTTCTGGCGCCGCCATTTATCACAGCACTGTTTTGGTGCAGACAAAGTATGATTTATACTTTTTATTATAGGTATAGAAAACGGAAAAAATATTTCGTCTAGGGATACTTTAATGTGTATTAGTCACGTCACTGATAGTGTTATATAGCGTGATCTTCTGAACCTTATTTAAGTACCGAAAAACTTGAAAAGTCAATATCGATCGACAGCGTAGGTACCTACTTATAACTGTCAATATAATATTATTATAATATAGAAACTGGCGTGTATCTAATAACGAAAGTTCGAGGCACGCGATTTAAAAAATAAAAAGACGTTTCGGACGGCAGGTAGACGGTCGTAAAAAATATTTATTACATAGGTACGTATAGAATTGTATTTTTTCTGAAATATAGACAATGGCGTTGCGCGAAAAATATAAACGTAAACTTAGGAAAACGCTGACTACCTATGTACAGAGTAACGGTATACGTTTTTTGAGGGAGACCAAGTGTTCTCTGATCAGCTGATTTTTCCGGGATGTTTAACGGTTTTTACAGCTCAATTATAACTATAAAAAATGTACGCGAATTAAGATTCTGAGTGGAGTGAAGAAGTTTATGGTTTTACAAAGCTGCGCAACTTTTCTACCAGAATTCTTGTTCCGTGCAATTTTTTTCAATTTTTTTTTGTTCTGTGCACAACTTTATTACCAGCAATTCGTTCCAATTTATAATTATAGCAATTTTTCTAAAATAAAATCCGACTGGGGAGATACTTTAAAGAGGTCGCTTTTCGATTTTCTCATCAAATTTGAAAAACCGAAAAAAATCATGGAAAAACTGGGGAAATCGGTACAACATAAAACAAATATTATTAATGAAAAAATATATAAAGCCTATTTAATTATTTTACTATGATATGACATAAATATTGTTGACAAAACATTACTATCAACTGAACTCCACTCAGATTCTTTTTTTCGTTAGCAATGGCTTATCGTTGTTTACAGGTATACATTAAATTACCTATAACAGTGACTGTACCCGTCCCCATTATCCTAGAACGTCTTTTTATATTTCTTTATTTTAATATATAACGGGCGGAGGCCCTGCAATAATACAATAAATAATAAATACCATATGGACACACAAAACTAGGATAATATTACCAGAGATTACCCAAACTTAACTATATTGAAGGGAACCTCATCACAGTTTTGAACAACTTGCCAATTTTTAATAGATACTTGACCGAAAACGGTACAAATTGTAAAATTTTAGATTAATCAGTGTACTATACCATTGCTTGGAAGGAATCGATATAAAGTAACTCGTTCCTTTATTTTCGAACGCACGTTTATTTATTGAAGAAAAATAAACGATTATTTTTCGTTCTCTTTTCATAGATAAACCCACCTAATTAAACCCTCAAAACGTTTTTGGACATTTATTATATAATAATAATATTATTATGTAAAGGGCATTTGCAAGTTAAGTGTTTATTATTGATAATATATTAAAACGTAATAAACGTATACATTAATATATAAATGAACGGTTTTTATTTTTATTTGAGGACGAAAAATACTTCCCTGTTAGGAACGAGTAAAGTAACTAATGGTTCTTTTTTTAAAAATCCCTTAATCAGTTTCATATTAACAAAATGAATGTGAAATAATTTCTTTTTTAAAAGAACTTTCTAAGCTCTGGTGATGTACCTAATAGTACTTAAGGCTTACTCGAAATTTCCTCATAGTAGACGTTTATCCGGTCCAACTGGGTGTCAGCAGAATTGCCGTCGAACCGGCCCAGCTTATCAAGTCCGTGTTCGTCTGAAACGGTTTTCCAAAACTGTCAACGAAAACACATATCATAGTATTATTTTAATGTCACGTAGGTAAGTATAATTATTTATGTTAAACTCGGATGCAGTAGCTGGCAAGTTGACATGGTCGAGTCCGTGAGCAATAAAATAATATACCTACCTTATGTTATAATAGTATAGTAAGATTTCTTTTACACATTTGACAATATTTTATTTATTATCAATATCTACTTAAATAAAATTTAAAAAAATATTTAATGAAAAAACCTTCAGGAGAGGGCTTCGATTTTTAATTGATTTTAAGACCCCGGTGCCCAAGTGTCTAGTTGCGCTGGTTGTCACTGCTCAGATGACGAATCAATATTCCGTGGTATACAATATTATATATGAAAATATATAACTTTTTTTATGATAAAATATTATTTTTAAAGAGTGCACGATCGAATCAATAATACATGTAAAATGTTTAAATGTCAGTCCAAATGACCGGATCTATCTCAGCTAACTTGTAGACACCGATTGGAAACGAAATCGTCGTGTTACTATTATCAAACTTAACAAGAGAGAAAATACAAATGCAACTTTTTCAGGTAGTTTTATTATAATAATATTATACAAGCGATTTTGTTTGTTTTGTTTATACATACTCGTTGTTAGAATACTTACCGGCCAAGAAAAGTAAAGGTAAACTTTTAAAGGTCAACCCAAAAATATAGGTATGTACTTTTATTCTTCGTGCCGAAACAATAAAAGGTACGTATACGATTTTTTTTATAATCCATCTACTATACCTAAAGGTACCCAACATTACTCGCGTTTCATAAATTTTTTCTTGTATATTATTATAATATAAAAAGATACGGACATAAGTTGTACGACGTGTGGGTCACTGTTGTAGGATAGAAGTTGGGAAATCAGGATATAAAAGGAAATTTAATGTACATCTATACGAAACGATTCTGAGCGGAGTTCGGTTATATATGTTCTAAAAGGCCATAATATTTACAATTTGAAAAATAATACGTTTAGTAAATTTTCGTAAGTTTCCATTTTTTATGAAAACCATTGGAAAAACCAAAAAATGACCTTGTTAAAGTACCACCCCAGTCAAATTTCCATTCAGAAAATAGGTGTGCTACATTTGAACATCGGAGAAAAATTTCTGGTAGAAAAGTTGTTCACAGAAAAAAAAAAAAAAATAAACATCATTTTAAAAAAATGACGTACGCTGTTTCCGACCCGATTGCCACACTGGCCAACTTGGATTTGTAATATTTCTTCCATGCCGTAGTCGTCGCGATTCCAAAAGTTGATTGCAATTGAATTTACTCAATAATTTTGATTTTGGACCTCGTCACTCGTAATTTGTTTTAATAAAATAAAATAAACAAATTTTCCACCTGGTCCACGAGCGATAAGATAAAGAAGGCAACGACGAAAATCACGTGTTTTTATTGTTTGTTCAGGCCAATATATTATTATATTATAAATGAGCCATAATAACAAGAGCGCTCGAAAGAGTGAGGGGCAAAGGGGGCCATTGCTTCACATTGGGATTCTCAACTGTATATACTTTTTAACGAATAATGGCTTACCATTTTACCATAACAATATAAAATATTTTTAGAACAAAACGTTTTGTCAAGGATGGGATTTTATCCTTCGGGCACGCTTGCATAATAGATAAGTAACTACTATATACAGATAACTCTTTTCTAAAAAGGAATACAGAAGACGCCGTTAATTGAGCTCAGGTTTTGACTGGTTTGCTTATTGAACTCCAAACAGGCTCTTCTTTCAATTTACACGTATACTGTAACAGACGAAACCCATTTTCACCAAAATAAACCATTTTCCTTTTCACCTAATTTTTTTGTTGCATAAAAATCACATGTTCTGTTTCCCATGTCAAAATGATTTAAGTATATATTTTTCTTTATCAATAATTAGTAAAAATGGTACACTTTTTTTTGTGTTCGTTTTTTTTTTTTTAGTATATTTTTAAAGCGCCATATTATACCTCTTCAAGGGTTATTGGATTTTTACTACGAGTGACATACATATTTTTGCTAAATCATTTTATGTCATTAGTTATGAGCTCAGATTTAGTTTATCTGAGGTAATTTTTAAAAAAAATTTTTTTTTGGTCTGACACACGGTTCATTGAGTGCTTTTCTCTTGTAATTTGAATTTATTATTTGTTTTTCAATGGCAGTTGTCGTATAAGTACATGTATGGTTCGAGGTTATGTAAAACTGATTGGTTGGATATTTTGTTTTTATCGTTTGTGTACACCTTTGCTTCACAAATTTTATTGATACATTTTTAATGAATATTAGTATTATATTTATAAATTATTAATTCGATATAAACTTCAAAATTTTTAAATACTAATGAATAATTTTCATGTTTCATCACTATAATTTAAGCCATCACAAATTAATTTTCTATAGTGATAAATTTAATATTATTATGTAGGTACGTATATTTGATATTAAAGTTAGTAATTTCAATATAAGAAACTAGTTTTTAAAATTAAATAGCACGCGGAAGACAAAAATGTGTTAAAAAAGTCATGTTCTAATTTACAGGTAAGTATATCACAATATATCTACTTTATATTATAACTTATTATATTTGGTAATACCAAAAATATTAAACTTGTATCTTACAATATAATTTTTAATACAAATATGATATACACCAGCAGTTCTTAAACTGTGATCCGTGATATTCATGTCAGGGATCAGTGGTACCTCTATAAGAATTTCATCAGGGGGTCTGTGTGCTCCAAAAGTTTAAGAACTGCTGATATACACATTAATTATATTGGACACCCATTCCACACATGATACAATATAATACATTTGATGGAAAAGTCAAAAATTAATTTTGGTAGAAAAAGAAAATTTTAGTGAATAATAGTGACACCTATAAGTATACTAACAAATAAAAGAAAAAATTGTCAATTGGACTCATTACAATGGTTGTGAACAAAGGGTCAATTTATACATACCTAATCTAATCTAGCCTAACCTTAGGAGATACGGATTTTATATTTAATGATCGATTTTGCCAGTTCTTATAAATAAATTATACTTTTTCTAAAAAATTGTTTCATATTTGAATTTTTAAACAACTAAAATATTACAATGTTTTCATGCAGGTACCTTCTTAAAGAAGTAACTAGGTACACATCTTTTTATTCTTAACATTTCACCTTATCAAGTCATTTAGATAATGGACTCAAGTACTCAGACCCCAAAGTGAGACAAATAAGCCACGTCTACGTACAGTTTTCAGCTATAAGGCAAAATAAATTAACAATTCTAGCGAATATAATATGGATGTATACAGTTTGAATATTAATTTTATTCAAATGATCAAACATAAGCGCGAAAAATAAAATCACATTTCTATATATTATTAGGTATTATTGTATATTTTATACTCGACAGCAAAACTTATATGACAATTATTATGCAAAATATATATAATTTTGTATTATCTTTTTTTCTAGACCAAAATAAAAAGTACAAAAATATGATCAATTAATAAAAAAATTGTACAATTATATGATAAATTGTGACATAATTTAGTAACATTTTTGTTAATACATTATATTATGTTGTTAATAAAAACTTAACCATAAAATATGTCTAAATAGGCATTATAGGCACTTAATAAAAATATTACGCCTGATGTTATAGTAAATTTGTAGGTGAAACACAGATAAAAAAAATATACATTAAACACCAATTTAATGTGCAATTTTTTAATAATAAATAGAAAAAAGTTCACAAGTTTAAAAAATAATGTACTATATATATAAAATATATATAGAAGCATTGGTACTATATTTTAACAACATGTAAAAACTTTACTGTCATGTATAGGTACTTAAATATTTCTCGTTTTTTATTTAAAAACAAATTAGAAGTTTATTTTTCAATATTTGTTTTTCAAAGGGATAACATTTTCATGTATTAAAGTCAAATTTTGATTAATGTGATTACTAACTACACATAATATTACAAGACTCTTCTAAATTGATATTAAACATTGAATAAGGGTTATTTTAAATTACCAATAAAAATTAAACTGCAATTATTATCATGTACACCAAACAATGATCCAGAATCTAGAAACTCTAGACTTATTTAAGCTTTAGATTAATAAGTATTATGACTTACAAGATACAATTTATGACAATATCTATAAAACATTTATTTGTATTTTAATACACAAATCAAAAAAGCTGCTGAAAATGGAATAGTTTTAAAAATTGCAAATCGAATAATAACATTGAGACAAAAATCGTTCATTTCTTAGACAAAACCACAATATTTAAATCTTAAGTCCTTAAGAACTAGCACCAAAATATATTTTATTCATTAATAAATGGAAATCTTAGCAATACAATATTCAAATACAGATAAGTATCATACATGTGTTTATGAATTTACAGCTAACACGGCAGATATAAATTGTAAAGTAAATACCTAAAACATAACTAAAGAGAAATAATTTTGTTCGAATAAAAATTTAAATTAAATCATGTTCTAAATGATAAGTAACAATTAGATTTTAAATCATAATACTTGCTAGTCTGTAAATACATTAAAATATAATATTGTGTCATAAAGGAACATAATTATTTTAATAGTTCATATAAAAATGACTGTTAAATAATATAAACCTAAATATTATATACAGTGATTCATTAATGAAGCCCAGTTATTTTCTTTTAAATTTTTAATAGATTTTGATAATCAAATAACACAGTTGAATTATATATTTACCTACATAGACTGATCATATAAATAAAAATATCTTAACATGCAAATAGAATCATAAGCTCATACTACTATACTTTAGCACTATATCAATGAAGTATTAGGGAGAATTAAAAACGTTGTAATAAATATGGAGGAATGTTTATGTCTTTTCATTAATTTCTTATTAGTAAAAAACAACTTTTTAGAACTTAAAATGTACGAAAAATGTTTTTTAACACAAATACAAATCTGTAATGAAAATATATAGAATTTAATTTTAATATCATTAATACCTTTCGGCAAAAAATATATAGGTACTGTTTTTTAGCTTATTTTGAATCAATGACTAAAAATATTAAAAGAAAATTTGGGCAAATATCATTTAGTGAACCAGCACACACATACATAAACTTTTATAATTTATCAGTCCATATGGACAGATTTCTTTTATGACTTAAAATATAACTATTATTATCAATGAACGTATACTAAATATGATAAATTAAATTATTTTATTTAAATTAAATAAAATGAAATAAAATAATAATAATAAACAATATAACATCATCATAATAAAAAAGAACGGTAAAAAATAAATATTATATTTAAATACACAGCAGGCTAATGATTGCAAAATATTGGCCAAGTATTTCAGGCAAGTAGCACACACACGTATGCATGACTGGCCTTCAAGCCAACCTCACAATATGGCGCAGCAACGACAATAATGTTTACGACTATTGCCAGTGGACGGTGGTGGCGTCACAGGCGCAAAATATGCGTGCACATTTATATTAGGCAAGTGTGTCTAAATAAAATAGAAAAAGTAGAGTTTGAGTATGTATGTATATATATTATATACAAAATAAATATAAGAAACAACTTATTGTTTTTTAGATAGATGGAAAGTTTTCATTTTTATTAAATTTCCATCAGCTGATTATTTCTGCTTTGTAATTTAAATATTTTTATATGTAAAACCCTAGGCAGTTTGAATTAGCCAAAAATTAAATATAAAGCAAAATAATACTCACCCGAAGCCGTTTTATTCCATTTCTGGTAATGAGTTGACAATCATATAACATTATTCTTTGTAAGTTATGACAATTTATGAGATGATCAAAAGATGCATCAGTAATAAGAGGGCAGTTATCCAATTCAAGCACAGCCAAATGTTCTGATGCACAAGTTGAAGTACTTAGATGTTTAATGCCCTCGTCGGTGATCAGTTCACAATGAGACAAACTCTGTAAGTGAACAAAATTAATTAAAAATACAAAGAATTAATATTACTATTTAAGTAGATAATTACCAAATACTCAAGCCGAGGACATCCCATTGCTAAATGAAATAGAGTTGAATCTGTAATAAATACACATTCTTCTAAATCCATTTTCTCCATAAGATGACATGTCTAATTAAAACAATTAACAATATACATAAAATATCTTCTAAGAGAAGTAAGTATTTAATTACTTTTGATAATGCTAGAAAACCTATATCAGTAAACTGTGAACAACCGGCAACCTCTAAAGTATTTAACTGATAACATTGTTCAGCCAGGGCTACAAGACAGTTATCAGTCAATAAAGAACAATTCGCAAGACATACATATTTTAAGGAATTGCAGTTATTAGCTAACTTTATCACAGCTTCATCTTCGATATTCTAGGTAAAAATAAATTCAAAATAGTCAAATTTAGAAAGAAAAAAAATTGATAACACTTACATTGCAACCATGCAAATTGATTACTTCTAATTTGACACAATGCTGAGCCAAACAATTGATTGCTCGTGTTGTCATTCTTGTACACCCCTTGGATATAAAAGATTTGAGTTTTGGACAACCGTGTGCCAATGCTTCAACTCCTATAAAATTATTAACACAATATAAAAGAGTAGGAAAAATGTAAAGAAAAAAAATTACCATTCTCCGTAATACCATCACACCATGATATATTAACACTAGTCAAATTTGGACAACCATCAGAAATTGCTTTTAAAGATAAATCTGACACAATAGAACATGAACCAATGTCTAAGGACAATAGTTTTTTGCAATACTGACTTAAAGATTGACTTGTGCTATAACAAAAAAAAGAGGTGGTTAACAACAATACGAATATTAATAAAATTTAATTTACCTATCTGTGATTCTTTTACAGCCATTTAGATTTATATATTCTATATAATTACAACACTGAGCAAGAGTTTTCAGAGATCCATCACCCACAGATTGACATCCACGCAAACTAATTTGTCGCAAAAAGCCCCCACACCGTCGTGAAATATTTTCTATCACTGGTCCCTAAAATAATTTTTGCTTTTTACAAAACTATAAAATATATACATAACTTAAAACTTTCAAATTTACTTCAACATCTGTCTGAAAATCAAATAAATCTATTTTTTGCCAATTACTCCCATCTAGGGCTAAAACATTCCAAGCACGAGATACTTGAGCACATCGGCATAATGACACAACATCTAGGTATGAAAATATTCTGAAAAATACAAATGTATACTGTTTTATTTTAACAACAAATAACTAAATTTAAATGTTCAAATAATACCGTAATAAAAGCTCCTTTGGTAGTTTCTTATTTATTTGAGCATCTTCATCTAAACACGTTTTGGACAACTAAATTAAGAAAAATTGAATATGTTAAAAATGAATCAACCAGTGTAATCATATATTAATTACAACAATCTAGCAATATGTACCTGAACATAATTATGTTTCATATTTGAAACGGATGAATTATTATGATGATGCATGCTTGATGGTGCATCTCTCGCAAGTGTTTCCATGGTCATTTAAGTAATTAATAAAGTATTTGCTTAGAATATACCTAAAAACATTATTAATATATTAATTTTCACATGTTAACTTAAAAAATTAAATTCACCATTAAACGTGAACTTTGAAATTGGACATGGACTAAAATTTGTCTTTAATAACAATACTAATAAATTAATAAAAGGTACATAGGTAGTAAACATTTATCAAATATAATATAATGCACTTCTTAATATCTTATCAAAATTCAAGCATTCAATTAACATAAAACGTAATAGAATTTTAAAAATAAATGTAATCATAATAGCTGATTTATTCACTAAATTGACCTCAGCTTGTTATAACTTACACTGATAATAATAATAATAATTTTACAGATTAAAATTAAGCATAACATTAGATATTTTTGTTAATGCATGGAGAAATTAATAATGATCATATTTTAATGACCTAATTGAAAACTCATAAATGATAGTTATTGGTGACCTTAGTACTCATAATATAGAACTATAATTGTATATTTTATACTAAAGTAGGTAAATGGCGAAAATCAAATAATAAAATAATTTTTAAAACAATAAAAATATGATTTCTTTTTTTTAGATAAGTAAACAAAATCAATTAAGTAAGTACATGTAACAAAAAAAGTTTTAATTATAAGATGGGATTTTTATAAATTTTAAATAGAACAAATTAAAATTAAATAATAATAATTTAATTGTATACATTATATTATTTCAATGAGTAGATTTAAATGTTTTGAAGAATATAATAATATAATAGTATACGGTGCGTGATTATAAAATTTAAAACTGCAGCTACACTACTGTATCCTAGTTAAATTTGGTGATATACTCATAATCAATAGATAACATATCCAAATGAGTCAATCTCTCGCAACTCCACAACAATAATATATTTTTATTTAATGTATTACATATATTTACTCTAAACATGTTTAAGAATATTTGATAGTAAATATAAATTAAAATTAAAATTATATTTTATAAAACATTTTAAACTAATTTGTTTTCAAATTATATCCAAATTATTTAAACAAAATTATATTTTAAAGTGTAGGTTATAAATTCAATATTTTCGTATTTAAGCATAATTTATTATTGACTGAAATTAATGAGAATAATAATTAAATTAAATCCTGTACTTCACCACTAAGTTTTTAATTTCATTAAAATGTATTTTTTATAAAAAAAAAAAAATCTTTTTTCATTGATATTAAAATAAATCAAACAAAAGTAATATATAGTACATTATAATTTATAACATATATCACTTATTAAAATAGGTATATACCTAAAATAAATAATTATTTTTAATGCCAGGACGATACGACTGTAGTATTTTAGATATGAATTATTAAATAATAATATATAATGTATTTTTGAACACCTACTAGTGGAATTTTATATGAAATATATCAATTTTATGAATCATTTCTTTAACATTTTTAAACTGTGTATTAAAATCATTTAAAAAGAACCTATATAAATAATTTGTTTTGTTAATTTATAGATTATTTTAGTAATTAAATAATTATATTAACAGAATTCAATCAGAATCAGTTGCCTAGAAAAATTAATTGAAGATTGTACTGATCAACCAATTGGTTAAAATGTACAGAAACTACAAAATAATATTAAATTAAATTCATAAACTATTAAGAAGAAAGAATTATTATTATTACTATTAATTTCCCTAATGTTTTTCCAAGAAAATTGTGTAGATGATACTATGTGAAGAAAATCGTAAGTGTGCATGATAGATATTAAACAATGTATACTGGTGTCTTTCTTATTACTATCTTCACAAATGCAAAGAAGAAATAATATTGTATATATACGTATATATCTACCAATAGAGTTCATATTGCCCACGATAACTAAATTAATACCAATAAGGATTATGTAAATTGCTCGCAGCAACCAAATTAATAACCATTTATCGTAACTACAGAGAACAGAAATGATTTATTTTAATTAATGTAAATATATTTCTGTATTTTTTTACCTGTGTAACCAAGGGAAACCAGAAATCAATAAAAACAATTCAATTTTTTTATTCAAAATTTAAGTTTGAACACCAATACCCATAAGGAAATAGAGATTGAAAAATCTAGCTACAAGATTTTATCGGCTTTTACTTGATCACATATTTCCAAAATTCTTTGCACGCCATAGATTAGACATTACATGTATGTATACACAAAACAAACACTTGCCTATATAAATGTAGATTATAATAGCTATTCAAAAAAATGTATTGTCGTCTAAATTTACACAGACATGAATTATAGATTATTTACAAGATAAATTCTGGACTGAATGCAAACATCGCAAACTACTGTAGATACAGTTTAAAACGAACACCGGTTGTAGTGACACATCAGGCCATTACCATCATGCCGATTTTGAGTACCAACAAAAAAAAAAAAAAAAATACTGGTTCGTCGAAGTAGAAGAGGGTAAATCGATTCGTTTGGTGGGGAAAGAAATCTGTAATATACACCTGCTTAATAATGACCATATTATCATAAGTACCCAACGTACCGCTATTATTATTATTATACATTGACTGTGTAGGTATAATGATTATTGCCAAAATTAATCCATGAATGCAGTATCAATTAGCGGTGGTACACAAAGGCCAAATTCAACACTGTACAATTATCAGTAGTCGACATTAAATAACACGCGTCAAATGAACACCTTTGTCATACACGATGTCCGACGGACCATTGGCCGGCGGACCGCGAGTCCGCTGGCTCAACGGCGGTACCGTAACACCCAATATGTTGTGAACTATACGGTTTTTATAAATATAATAGATTTTGCAGATATTACATGACGTTATGGGCGCTGTGTCTGTCGTGCACACACCGTTAATAATACTGTCGTGTATGGTATGAGTAGGTAGATCGAGTACAATAATATTTACTTGCCTTGACATTCACCTCGGCTACATCACAGTGACGGCGGCGACGACGACGACGGTCGAGGACGAAAACGTTACACGACGACGACGACGGCGGCGGCGGCGACAACGACAACGACGGACGCGGCCAAAGAACACTCGTACCGCTGTCGACTATTGTCGTCCGTAGTGGCCGTCTTCCCTACGTGCTCGCCCACGCGGCAGCGGAACGCAACAAAAACCATTGTCCGGGACGGCCGACCGCAGTTGTCGTCGTTGTCGACATCGTCGTCCCGCCGCAATCGTCGACGTCGGGTCTATCGCGCCGCGTCGCCACCGCCGCTATCGACACCGCGACCGCCGCCTCCTTCGCCGTGGTCCGCGTAGTCGCACTCGTAATCGCAGTAGTTTTTCCCACCGCCGCCGCCGCCGATCGTTTTCCCCTGCCAGTCATTCCGAATATTATTGTTTACACGTATAATAATATTTAATAATTATTAACTCGTCCACATGTATAAATATATACTATATACCTATTATATATATATATATATATATATATATGCGTCGTAAAGCACGCGCGAGACTGCGTGTGTGTGTGTATGCGTGTGCGTGTGCGCGTTTGTAAATACTTAATACACAAATAATGAACAACAACAATACTACACAAACAAATTACAAAACAAAGGATAACGATAATAAGTAGGTACGTGCACACGCACACACAGACGAGAGCGCGCGCGCGCGCACACCACTGATTTTAAAGTATTATAATTTATTATGTTATTTAATGTTATTATTATTAAATGTATGTTATACCCGTAATGCGATAATAGTATTAATAATATTCATTCGCGTTGTACGTGGGCGCGTAAAATCACTAATAATATTATTGTCTTACACTCGAGCACTGTGCGACGCGGATTCCGCGGGGGACCTCCGTCGACGACTTCGTTGAAACACGCGATAGTGCGATGCGATAATAAAGCACAACAATAACAAAATATTTACCGAGCTCTTCGGGTCGAATGCGTGTGCGTATTCGCGAATAGCCGATTCGCGCGAGTTACGTCCGGGCGACCGGCGGCTGGCGGTCCGCGGGGAACGCGAATTGTCAGCTGATCGGTCGGGACAACAGCTGATAGCGACCGCGGCTTAGACTGCGACGCGCCGACGCGTCCGTTTCGCGTAATCGTAATAACACCGTGACCATAATAATTATTACAATGTAAAGGAAAATGATGCACCAACCGAAATACTGTGAACAGTATCAAGTACAAAAACGTTTCCAAACGAACGATCTATGGGCCGCGGTTGAAGACGCCGGCCTTATTCGGACCGGGGCACTAGGACCCAGAATGGACAGTAGGAAATGTCTGAAGTCACGCAGTCGAATTATATTTTATTGAACTATTCAGGCGCTTGTACCACGATTGAATACGGTGGTAAGGCGACGAAATCTCGGTGCAATTATTAAAAAGCCAATGAATATACGTCAAATAAACGTTAAATCACCTAAAATCACCTCATGGGTGATTGCAATTGGCGCACACCGGTCACCGCAGTTTGAAGATATTATCGGCTTTATTACCTAATCGTGACCTGTACACGCGAGTAATATGTTCAAAAATTAAAATATTAGTACGTACCGATCTATAAAACGTATACTTGTATACCTAATCATATTTGTATAATGTTTATCTATATGTAAACAGAAAAAACATAATACGTATTACATTTCCATTAGTCGTGTCATGTTTGATAATATGTCTTATCGCATACCAATTAATTAACAACGTAAATTATTCTTTTTTTTCTTCGTCTTCAGTCCAACTATATGAACAAGTAAATGTGAGAAAATATAGAGGATTCAATAAGACAGGATCGAGGAACCCCTAGTAGAAAATTAATTAATACATTTTGTTTTATTATTATTATGGAAAAAGCAGGTCCTTACACCAGTTCCTTTGCAAATATCTGAGTGGGTTGCCTGAAATTTGTTTGGAAACGAAGTTGTTGCGAGAGCAATAACGTTTCCATGAATTTTCAATGGGAGCAATAGCGTACCTGTGGGGGACATTCACCGCTCCCCCCCCAGTAAGCTATATAATTTAGTGTTTTTTATTTTGAATTTTTTTTTTTCAAAAAGTAATTAATATTATGAAAACATTAACATAGTCAAATCTATAGATATTAAAATATTTTTGTTATTTATGGTCAAACTGGATCAAAATTTCTGGTGTTATTTCGTTTTGGCGGTTTGACCGTTTTCTCTTATCATTGATTTCTAGTTACAAAATGAATGTACCGAGATCGTTTATGCGGGCTATTCACCAGGTTATAAATATAAAAGAGCCAAATTCCTGTGTCTATTAATAAAATTATTATAGCTATGACGTTACTTTTTTAAGACATTTTCTATTTTAAAGAGTGGATAAAAATATATTTCACTAAAAGTCTAAGTATACGAAAATATCGGTGTTCACTGCACTCGAAAAATTCCAAAATTCAGAATTTTAATTTATGTATGTTGTATAATTTAAATGTACAAACAAATGGGGTGAGCATACTTAAATCACCCTATATCTATTATATTATACCTTCATAGTTATAAAAAAATATTATGTTAACAATAAATATGCTTATCCTCTCCCCTCATGACAAGATCATTTGACCGCCACTGGAAGGCTTGAATAATTTTTGTATTAGATGTCTTTGCCAAGCCCCACGGTTGAATATCCTAGCGTCACATGGGTCTTATAAGTGTGGTGTAGATCGTGCAGTTAGTTTTAAGTGGAAATTTAGAGCGAAATAAGAGTCTGAGTAGGTGAAGACACTGATTAAGAGCTTCGCGCATAGTGCGCTAGTGAGCCCACGTGAGATGTTTGTCAAATAACAATCAAAGGTATTTTGTTCGAGAAGAGGTTGGAATTAGAGTGTTATGGATGAAAGATAGAAAACAGTCAATTCGGCGCCTAAAGAATTCGGTACAGGTTTGTTACAGCCCCGCCGCGGCGAGTGAAAACTTTATAGCCTCACTACTCAGGTTTGTTATCGCTCCGCCATCCATATAACAATAAATACATCGTATAAATATAAAATAATTCGACGGAAAATACGTACCATTACAAATAGGTGTTGATCACAAATAATCAATAATATAATAAACAAATATAGATTATAATGAGTTTATTTATTGATATTTATTAATCTAATGATTAGACGATATATTGATATAATATTAAAAAATGGAATAATAATAAATATAAAACAATGATATAATGTTAAAAAATGTATACAAATGTTTATGCTTTCCGTAATTCCCGTGATATTATATCAATATATATCGTCTAATTAATAGATTAATCAATATCAATAAATAAACTCATTATTTTCTATACCTGTTTACTATATATTGGTTATTTGTGATGAACGCCTATGGTAGGCACCTATTAGTGATGGTACGTATTTTCCGTCGAATTATTTTATATTTATACGATGTATTTATTGTTGTAAGAATGGCGGGGCGATAACAAACCTGAGTGGCGGGGCTATAACCAGCACCAATAATTGTTTGTGCGCCAAATTTACCCCAAGATAACCTGAGTAGATTCAGAGGGACTGACTCGGATTTTCCATTTGTGCAACCAGTTATTATTGAGCACGTCCAAGATTTTGTATGTTATGCGATGCTTGGAATGGAATAGTATCAGTGACAAGAATAACCGTAGCATCAGCAAAAGTACCTAGACGCATAGACCTTATGAGGCATAAGTAGAGAGCCTAGATGTAGAAGGTTCTATATATTGGCTCTCTAGGTATACGTATATAAGATATAAGGTATAGATATAAATAAAAGTTTGCTGATAAAGATGTTAAAAAGGAATGACGCAATGTCAGCATTATCTAGCGTTCCTCGAGGATCTTGGAAAATACCAGTTGATGCTGTTTGGATGTTAGAGTTGGAGCCATTGATGTTGGTAACAAATATGCGTTGGCTTAGATTTGACTTAATTAATAGATAATAGGGTGTGGGTTGAAATGTTTTTAGCTTGAAAGAAATAACAAATCGGTTGAAGAGACGTGATGGATGGCGTTGTTGTAGGGGAGAAGTTGGGAAGACAAAATTCATAAAGTTAGGTATTTAATTTATATCTGTAAGCATTTCTAACGAAATACGATTCTCAGCACAGAGTTTAGTTTTACCTGTATAAGTTTTGAAATGCTGTAATTTCTATGACTCGTTAAAATTTGATCTTATATTAAAAAAAATCTACTAAATTACACTTCAATTTTTTTTTTTTACTTATAATAACTTGTAAAATCCTCGTGTTTAAATTTTCAAATAAGTCTGGTAAAACAATTGCCAAAATATTTTGATATTAACCACGCTTAGTAAAGTTTAATACAGGGTCCGTCCAAAACAATGTATTTTATACTTTTAATAGTACTACTAATAATAAATTTTATTAATATAACAAATTTATATAAACGGCATGCTGTAATGCTGTAATGCTCGTAATTACGAAAAAGAGGGGGGAGGGCACGTGCCCCTAGTGCTCCCCTGGCTACGACACTGCGATGTATGATAGGTAAATCAAAATAATATTTTCAGACAAAACAGTATAGGTACCTATCTACTATTATAAGTAAGTTAATCACTATATTAGTTAGTTTAGGTTTAAGTAGATAGGTACTTAATATAATTTCAAGACATTATCAGTTCCCCCGCTAAAAAATTATATTCATAATAAATATACGCCACCAAAAGGTGATTATTCTAAGTACAACTATAATATGTGTGAAAAATAGAAGATAACAATGCAAAAATATGAGAAAAACGTAGGTACCGACTCATATTATAGTATTATGATGTTATAAAGAAAAATTATTGTACGATGTTACCGCGAATGTAACCTTGACGGTCGAGTTCATTATACTCATGTGTGTGTGCGTATGAAATAAATTATGATACAGGGTGACTTTTTTTTAAAATCATGATCCAGCCATTATTTTCGAAGATTTCGATTAAATTAAATTTTGGTTTTTTCTTATCATTGTTATGGAATTGTTTTAATAATATTTGCATCTTTATACTCATTCATATTATATAGTTACCTTAAATGAGTATTTACTTTTGATTTGCATTTGGCAATAACATTGGTCACTCACTCTTTTTCAACCCAGATTCAAAAAGAAAATATTTTTTAGAAAAATAAATATTAACACTGATAATACTGTTATTGGATATATACCGTATATAAGTTATAATTTTATAACAGTTAAAAATTAAATCAAAGGACAGGCACGTATTTAGAGGTGAAGGATATAAGTACCTTGTTACCCTTGATGGACAATTTTTTATATAGTCCATTTAGGAGGCTGTACATGTATATTGGTATATTATTATTTATTATAATGTAATAATTGTATAAAAAAAAAAAAATTGATTTCCATTATTATTATTATCTTTTATTAAAAACAACATTATTACAATATCCAAATGGTAACATTGCAGAAAGTAATTGAACGTTAATCAGTTAAAAGGACGTTTGGTTTTGGTTTTACAATGCTGTTTAATTTTTAAAATTCCAAGCGCAACGAGATTTCGATTCTTATACAAAAGATGTACCTATTGTTTAATATTAGTCGTACAATCTTATCAATGCATAAGAATCATAGATTACGACTTCGAATGTATAAATCAAAAATCCAATAATAGGTTATTAATAAGTAACAACCAACATAAGATTACTTCATGATAAAAGGTTTAAACAAATCTATATATTTATGTATACTGTTTGAAAATGTTTGAATCGTTTGTGAACCACTTATACATTCATTACTTGCTTATTGGGAGGCAACTAGTAGTAGACCCTTTTCGTTTACGATAAAGTTTAAGGTACGCCGGTAGACGACTCGTATAGACCCGGGTGGTGATTCTTATTAAAATTATCGACCTTTTTGACCTCGGGTGGTGACTAGTATGCGCCCTTACAGATGATTGTTTTGTGAAAAGTTTGCACTTGTTTATATTGTGCGGAATATTAGTACAATTTTGAAAAATTATACCCAACTATACTAATACGAAACCAATTTATAATAATAATTGAAAAAAAAAGAACAAAATGGATTTTATTCAAAATTTTCAAAGATATCGACATCGTGATTAAATAATCACTCTGTATAAAGATTTATGTGTGTGTAGGTATGATGTAATTAATATACCTATCTACATGTATAATAATACATACTTTCCACCCGCAGGTGTTGCGCCGGTAATAAACTAATAACGTATTTGGCGTGTCGAACACTCGAACGTTGTATGAAAACCGGGTCGGTTAATTTAAAACTCTTTTGTTTTGGCGATTTGCCGGACAATCATTTATCGGCATTTTTTTTTTTAAACCGCAACTCCTCGTCTGCACATGCATTGACCTTCCGTCAGTGACGGATTCAGAGTTTGGGAACTATTGGACAGCTATTTTTGAGAAGCCAGTAATTAGTACCAAGAATAAAATTATAAATATTTAAAGATCACCCTATATGACTGGTATAAATACATTATATTTGTAAACAATAGGTATATTTTTTAAACAGACATGGGTCGTATTCTGAATAGGTACTTAAAATATAATATTTTCCAGAAGCATTTAATAGGTACTATAACCCCAAAAGTTTTAATAATGAGTATTTTATTCTTTGGAAAAAACACCTTCTCATTCTCGTTTTAGAATATTTAATGCTTAACTTTAAAATATGTGTTTTATTTCTTGGTTAGTAAAAATTATCCATATGTTCATGCATTATACTTTACAATTTTCACCCGTTGGTACTTGATTGTAAACATTTTTCGAAATTCCCAATAGTTAAAATAAAATGTATAATGATGTTACCTATATATCATCATACAATATCTATACAATTCTCTGGAATCATCCTAATCTAACCTAACCTTACATTTTTTTAACATAAACACTTTTTTTGTATGTGTTTTTTGTACTATATTAAATGATACATCGTATTTGTATCAAAGATATACTTAAATTGTGATTATAACGGATAAAATAAATTATCATTTATCTTTATTGTGAGCACGTTATCATTAGTAAATTTGTTAAACACACGATTAAAAGTATCTTAAATCGTGGTTGAACAAAACATTTCTAAAACTCATCCAGAGCCCAAATAGATTATTATTATATTAGGCATATTCTTAGATCATATGCTGTGGATAGAACTACTGCATGATAAACGCGTACTACGAGTTGAAGACATTAACGAGTGCTAATGGTACTGATGCCTATTGTGCATTTGCTCATGCGTATCTTTACTTGTCGCATATTTATCGTTTAATCATTTGATAACAAAAAATGATTCTGAGCGGAGTTCAGTTATACATGTTAAAAAGGCCGTAATATTTACGATTTTCGACAAAATTTGATATGAAAAAAATATATGTATAGATCAAAATCAACTTTTTCTTGTTGGCCATTATGTACAACTCATAATGAAACTCCTGTTAAATTGTCAAGCATTTTTATTTGGTATAGCAATTTACCTACCGAATAAATACTACATAAAAAACTTGCAAAATTAAAATGTTCATCATTAGCTCAAAAATAAATTAAATGTTTTAAACATTTTTTAAAATCTATAAAAACAAATATAAATTTTCTATTCAAATTTGAAAATCCCTAAGAAACATTTTGAAATGAACTACAACAAGAATACAAAATTGAAAACAATTAAAAACATTAGGTATTTTCGTAAATTTATCTGTTTTTCCTATGTTTTTTCCCGGTCTTTCCAATTATTATGAAAACTGCTTGGAAAATCCAAAAAATACCTTCCTAAATTACCAACTAGATGAAATTTCCGAATAGTAAATGTGCTATACACTTGATATATTCAAAAGAGATTTCTGGTAGAATTTTGTACGCAGTATAAAAAAAAAACTTTTTAAAACCACATACCTTCCGCTATTTTTTTATAGCAATATTTGATAAGAAAGCCCAGTGATTCCCAACTATGAAGACAATGTTATCTATACAACTTCTGATTTGTACTTCTAATTATTTAATAAGTTGCTTAACCAACACCTAAAATTAATTTTTTAAGTGAATCTATTGCCCCAGTCTAATTTTGTACGTATGTTGCCTACCCAGATCCTGAAATTGTTTAACATGTCTGTTTATTGCCTATTTTACTTTCGAAATTCTATTGATGTTTCAAAAAATATTTCTATATCAAACATAAAATACACAAAAATATTGTTAATGATCAATTCTGAGTTGTCATATATGTAGCACAATTAAGTATAAAATAATTATAGTAAATAAATATATAAATAAAAAATGTATATACATTAAAAAATAAATAAATAAATGAATGAATGCGTCGCCTGGAGTATTATAAGTGTATTATACAACCGGTTTCAAATTAAAAAAGAAAGGTAAGATGAGGACGAGTGCAGCCATTTGTGTAGATGGGAAGGTAGGATATAGACGGAAATTTAATATATATCTGTTAGCAACGATAAACCATTGCTTACGAAAAAACGATTCTGAGCAGAGTTCAGTTGATAGTATTGCTTTGTAAAATGATTACAACAATGTGCGTTTCCATGAAATTAATGATTGTTTAAAAAAGATTAAAATAATAAAAACTTTATGATAATCAAAAATTAAAGAAAAACGGTTGCCAACGACAACCTTCTATTTAATCTTTCAATATTTTTAAATTAAAGATCAAGTTTTTCCTCGTAATCTTGAATATTAATGAGAATTTCAAAAAATGACCTCTTAAAAGTACCACCTAGAGGACATTTCCCTTCAGAAAAGATGCTATACTTGATAATCGAAGTATGCTTTCTGGTAGAAAAAGTGTTCACATAAAAGAAAAAAAAGAAATCATTGTTAAACTAATACAGTCCTCTTTCCGCTCAAAATCTAAAAAATGATTTTATTTATAATATTAACATGTTTTTTTACGCAAAATATACTGTTCGATGGTAAATTTTTTGTCAACTGCCACTTTTACCTCGCAAATTTTGCAAAATAACAGTGCCACTGGATGAAAAAACTTCTTTGCCAAAATGATTTACAAACAAATTCAATTGAGTGTTATCCAAAACTTTGTACTTGGGCACATTAAATCATTAAATTATATTAAATATTTAAATCGAAAAGTTCACCATCCGTCAATCATACCGTTACGTCCATACCGTGTATTAATCTATTCTCGGTAAAACTATTAAATAGAAATTACGATAAGTTATCCATTCCATTGTCGATAACGCAGGGGAAACAGCTCATCAAAGTAATGCACATGTGTACAGACTACAAGGCCTAAATTAAATTTAAAACTGAGATAAGCAATAATGTCAGTAATACAATATGCTGTATAATATGTTAGTTTTTTCAAATATTTAGTTTTGTCAAAATAATATATAAGAAAAATTTAAAAAATACAAATATATCTACAAATATACAAAATATGCTTCAAAATTACTAAAAAATGACCATATAACCAAAAAATTCAAAATAAAAATTGTTCCATTGAATTATACATGACATAAGTCACATTTCTGTAAAGAAAAGCCTCATATGAACGCATTAGAAAAAAAGATGCAAATGCATCATGTTCCGGGCCCTAGTTATAATATAATATACATAATTTAATATTATAATAGTGGCACGTTAATATTTAATAAATAATAATCTAATAGTTTGTGCAAGGCACGATTTAATCCACCTTGAGTTTGTGATATAAAAAAATAGCTTATCACCACGAATTAAGATATATATGCTCATCAGTTATTACCTATCTTCAGAATAGTGTTTGATTGGTCAATTTAATGAAACTATTTGGATTATTCGACAGTTAACGAAAATATCAGTAACACAAAATTCAGTTTTATAACGAAAAATTAATGAAAACTGATATTACAGAAATTGCAAAAATCATTATGTATATTATCTATATAATGTAAAATTCGATAAGTAGGTACATTAATGGTCGATAACAAGTAATCGAGTTATAGAATACTGCTGCTGTCTGCTCTTTACAGATAATTTGTGGATTTCTGTACAACATAAGCCCAATAATTGAGCTTAAGAAAGTAAATCTCTTTAACTCAAGGAAATTAGCTTTAATTAGCTTCATGATCTTTAGTTTATATATATGATTCCTTTTGAGAAACTCATTGTACATTTTTATAATAATGTTTCTGAATGCAACGATGATATGTGTAGACAAATTTCAAGGGTTCATGTACCAGATATTTAGGTATAACATTTGATAACAACTTAAGATTTACATATAAACAATGTAATAATATATAATGTAGCTATATTCTTCGATTCATAAATTTTATACACCGGCATATATTTTGCCTTTAAATATAGTGGGCAATATATATTTAGTCTTCTATCAGGCGGTTTTCCAATATAGATGTTTACTGTGAGGTGGATTATTCGAAAATTCAACAAAATAAAATTGTAAGAATTTGTCTAGATACAATAAATTATAAAAGTTCTACAAATCAAATTTATAAAGATTTTAAGGTTTTGTCAATAAGATCGTTTTACAAAAAATGTTCGATGAATTTTGCAGAAAAAAATAGAAATACGTGTAACAATATAGAAACTCACAAAAATAAAAGAACATGTGGCTTTATATGCTATTAGAAGTGTTTTACTCAAAAACAACTTGTGGTTAAAAATGCATAGATCATCTTGGTTGAAACAGTTGATGATACATTTTATGTTTGAACCCCCCCCCCTCTAGAAAAAAAAATATTGGGTACATACCTGTGTACTTGTGATTAAGTCAGTTATTTATAATAATAATAAGGTAACCACGAAGATACCTATTATCTATACGGCATGTGAGAGAGCGTTTCTGGGCAGCGACTAAAACTCGTCCGTTTTCACGCATTCCCACCACTAAACCTGTACGAACATGGTCGCCGTCACCGTTGTTGCCGGCGTCGTCGTCGACAATTGAGTGTGCCACAGTTGTATACATTGTCTACTGTAGTGTTTCTCCGTATTTTACGATTTGGCGAATACACTACGTTTTTTTTTTTTTTTGTTTTTGCGTGTTTTAGTACACAATTGTTTTTCGTATTCATTTAGACTACTATTATAAATACAGTATGGACCTTGACAATATTTCTCCTTGCAAGTAAAATCCTTGTGGAAAAGTAAGTTTTTGTATGACTATTTTTCTATTGCGAATTTTAGATTCATAGCGTAATTTTTAAATATATATTTTTTTCTTTAATTTGTTGGTACTGGTCAAAAGCAAATTATCATCAATTTGTATAAAAATAAATCAAAAGAACTTAAATTATTAATTAAAACCACAATACGACCAATACGTTATAGACAAGTATGTGAACGACTATAACAAAATCGTTTTGCATTTGCCACCGTATCACTGCGAACTAAATCTCATCGAGCTCGCGTGGTCGTCTGTAAAAAGCCATGTACAACGCACAACGATACATTCAAATTGAACGATCGATATATTGAAATTATTAAAAAGAAGCGTGGAACATGTAACGCCGAAAATGTAGACGAATTTTGTTGAACACGTCATAAAGGACGAAGAACAATTGTGGAATATTGACTTTTTAACTGATGAAATTATTGATGAAGAACCTAAATTACGTCATATCTTCATGACAGGAACAGGTGATTCAGACACGGATTGATTCGGTTGTATTGTTTAATTTTTTCTTTTTATAAAATATATATATATGTACGATTACACATTTGTGTTGAAATTAAAAAAATAAATGCATGTATAAAATATTTATATTCCATACGTATTATTTTTGCATTGTTGCATAGGTACATAATGGGTGCGACAGTCGCCAGGTGTTATATTTTCATTGTGTGTTATTTGAGCCGCTGTATATATTATTACAAACGCCGGTTACCACCGGTCGCCGCGTAGTGAGTGGGAGAAATGTAGAGACGAACCGAGGAGCTCGGTCTTTAAGATGTGCCAACGAGTAGCGCTCTACCAGCTACAGTAACAATTTTTTTTCTATTAATCGATTTATTAGTTATTCTCAGTGGTGTTTTGGAGGGTATACGACGTATACCCGCGAACCATCTTGGTAATTTAGCGTATACTTTATAAAAGTAACACCAATACGCACGTATACGCTCGTATATCTACTTCATAAATAGAAAAAAAACATTATCAACAACGAAGAAAATTATAAACACGAAGAGTAAATCTATAGGGCATACGTTTATTTTTAGAAAATTTGTTATTGGTAGGTTAATATTACTTTATAATAACATTGATAATTGGTTATTATTTATAGCTATCGATTATCGTCTAGCTATATTAGCTATCAAATTATATCTACAAGCGGCCTTTGGACGTTTCTAAACACGAATATTCTAGATAGTGTGGCGAGTGCTATTCCGAGTGCTGACTTCCTGCGGCATTGCTCGTCTTTCATTATTTATTTTACATTTTGTTTCTTATAATTTTTTTTTTTTTTTTTGTGGCTTGTGAAGTGAAGTGTTAAGTGTAGACAATATAGATTCTACACACACACAAAAAAAAACACTTTATTTTCTTATTTTTTCTACAAATACAAATAAATAAATCCGTTTAGAAAATGTTGAGGTAAGTAACTATAAAAACTTATAAGGTAATACATTTTAAATTGTCTTTATTTTATTAATTTGTTTACTTGTGCGCTATTTAGGTGGCGTCTAAAGAAGTAGAAGCTCAATTATTGTCATCTATCGCATAAATAAGGGTATAAGGTAAATTGTTTTCTTTTTCTATTATTTGTTATTATATTTGTTTACTAAATATAAATTTTTTTTCACATTTATATAAAAATTATATTCTTTTTCGATTGTTATGCATTATTTATTTTTTATTAAAAGATATATTTTCTATTTTTTTTTTTTAAATAGGTAGGTATACATTTTTATAGAAAAATGCATTTTAAATTTTGTTTTTTACAATATAGATACCTATTGCTCTATAACAAAATGTAAAAACTCCTAGTACTATACAATGCTTAGGTAGTTCATATAGGTATATATAGTTGCATATTTGAGACCTAATAAAATTAAAATTACATTTTTAGTTATTTTTCTCATATTTAATGAGCAAAAAGTAATTTAAAAATAATTATTTGTTTTAATTTTAAAAATGCATGCAGTAAAGAGTTAAAACCATTCAGTAGAATTTAAGTTAATAAGTTAATAGAAAACACTTCACATTTCAATTATTATTTATTTGAGTCAAAGTAGTACCTACTGTACTAACCTAATTTATATATTATACTACATATACAAATTAGAAACCATAATTTTAATATTTTGTTTTTCGTGATTATTAATTGTGGTAATTTATTTAAAGTTACAACCATCGTCAAATAATTTGAATTTATTTATTTTTAATAAATATATTAACTAATTTTTAATTAAAAATTATATTGGTGCCAAATATCTCTTATTCAAGATACTGGAAATTCTGAATGGTATCTGATCTAATTATATACTTAGATGGTTTTATTTGATGTAGGTAAATGAAAATCTGTTTTCTGAGCCATCTCCATCTATTCAATTAGACAATGTTGAGTCTTCTGAAGCTAACTGTCAGGATTCACTTTAGCCGTCTGAGTGGACATCAGTGCAATGGACAGAAAAAAAAAGAAAAATTTAAAGGACTTTACTGTGCTGATAGAAAAATTGGATGTGATATATGCAGAAAAGTGAATAAATTAAAAACCCTTCAAAAGATTGAAATATCTCAAGAATGGTAACATGTCAAATTGATGGAGGAACAAATACTAACAAGAAAACTGTTACTTACTGTTGTAAGAAATAAACTTAAAAAACATTTTGAATCCAACACACACAAATCTGCTGTTCAAATATTAGACAATAAAGACAAGAGTATGTTGTCCAAGCTTATAGAAGAAAAAGATTACCAGATAAACAAAGCTACACATTCTGTTTTCTGCACTGCTTATTATATAGCAAATATAATTGTCCATTTGATGATCATTTAAAACTAGTGCAATTACAGGAACTAAATGGTAAAAGTTAGGGTTTACCCTCCATTCTAGTCACTTATCTACCAATATTCTTTAACATATTTTTAAAGAAATGAAACAAAATTATTAAAAATATTGAAACAAATGCAAAATGTTCCATACTAATTGATGAATCAACTACACTCAGTGATTTATGTAGCATGGTTGTTTATCTAAAAGTATCAATATTGAATAATGAACCTTTCTTTATTTTTTTAGACTTGGTTGAATTAAAAAATCAAACTACAGAAAATATTGTAAGTCTATTAATTAACTGCTTACATACATCAGGGCTTGATGAAAACTATTTACAACAATATTGGGTGTCCTTTGTAAGCGACGGAGCAAGCATTTTGTTGGGTAAAAAAAGTAGTGTTGCTAAAAAACTCAAGGATAAGTACTCGCTTACCTTATTTGGCACTGTATGAATCATCATCTTGAATTAGCAGTTAATGATTCACTCAAAGATGTAAGCGCTACAAATCGCTTCAAATGTTTTACTCACTTTATGTTCTGTACAATGCATCCCCTAAAAATCAAATGGAATTAAAAGAAATTTGTCACGATTTAGATGTTTTGTTTTTAAAAATTGGTCGGGTTCTTAGCATTTGTTGGGTTGCTAGTAATTGGAGAGCAGTGAATGTTGTATGGAAAATATTTCCTGCACTTTATAAGCATTTGTATACTGCATCCAGTGATTCCAATAGAGATTCTAAAACTAAGAATAAATACCTAGGACTCCTTAAAAAAATTAGCTAGCCCTGAATTTGTTAATGATTTAGCTGTTATGTGTGATGTCCTTCAGGAATTATCCAACTTATCGATTGAACTTCAAAGTCGCACTATTACATTGATGCAAGCTGAACAATTTATAAAGAGATGTTTAAGGGTTATAACTTCTTTTAAAACTAATAATGGTGATTATATGCACCAAGCTGTAGTTGCAATAAAAGATATGTAGATTGAAAATAACTTAAAATCAAGACTTCTTGACAATGACTGTGAAAATTAAATTATTTTGAAAAATATTTTAGTGTTGGAAAAATCAACTTGGCCCGAGGACCCAGATATTTGATATGGAGAAGATGATATTAAATACTTATGTAAAAGATTTTCACTGGACCAAGATGAAGCTATTAGCGGTATGAAAAAAATTATTTATAATCAAACTATTGATCCTAAAAACGTGATGTCTGCATTCTACAAGTTTCTTAAAACATTTCCATGTTCAATCGCAGAATGTGAAAGAGGATTCAGTCGTATGAATAACATTTGTACGGATCTTCATTCACTGTTAACAATAAATAATATTTCTAATTTAATGTTTATTAACATAAATAGACCTCCCCTAAGTGATTGGACTCCTAAATATTATTTGAAAAGTTGGCTCTTCAATCATAGGTGTGCAGTAGACTAGGACCTAAATAGCAAGAAATAACAGACAAAAGTGAGAACAAAATTGTCAAAAAGAGTTTATGGCAAATTCTGTAATTATTTAGTTTTCAAGTTTAGATATAATGTTAAGTACAATATTAGTATCATATTTTATTTTTTAATTTGTTACTCATTTAAAAAAAGTATGTTATTTTTATTAAAATACTATTAAATTTTGTTAAACTTTTTCCACTCACTAATACAACATTTTTATTTATATAAGCCTAACTAATACATTTTAATATAAAACTTGTTTAAAAAAAAAAATGATATTTTTTATTATGTATAGGTTCTATTAAAGTTAATTGTATATATTTTATATTTTTTGTAGTTACCTATTTAACTATTACATGATTATGCTTTTATTTTAAATTATATTTATATTTTTTGCCTTTAAAATCAGGCAATTATTGAACTTTCCATGGAAGCTTTAAATACTTAGATAAATCAAGAAATAATATGGTATAAAATGAATAAACATTTCTCTTTGATATAAAAGTTTATACTTGTGAAAAGACTTAAATACTCGCGAGCGAAGCGAGTTTTGTTTTGAATGGTAAAATCTGATAAGTTTCGATCTTAATACATATACAATAGTCATTGTCATAAATTTGCTGAGATAATATTCACTTAATGAATGGTATCTATGAAGCAATTCGTTCATAAACCGCGCAAAATACTTTTGTAGTCACCATATTGTATACCTAACGTTATATAAAAACCTTGGTACAACAAAAAAAGAAAATTAAAATGAGTGTCCATTCAGTTCACAGTTGACAATGTTTTTAAGGAACCACGACTCTCATTTAAATTTAGGTGGATAAGTGAGTAAAGCAAGGTATTTCTATTTTTAATAGTATAACAATAATTGAAAAGTAATAAAATTTGATAAATATTAATGAAAAATAAAAACACGTCAGAATGTACAGGCTTTAGTAGGTGTATTCAAACAAAATTAATTGGTGGCCAGTGGTTGGCTTTTACAAATTTTAGCTCTTTAGGTATACACAATTCAATACCACAATGATTCTATTATTAAATACAATTGCGCGCATTTAGTTTTCTGACACCCTTGGCTATTTTTATTACTACTCCTTAGAGAACAATATTGTGTTTCTGTCGAGAGCGCGTAAAACAACCGAAAATAAATTAGCCGAAAAATATTTGAGCCGATAGTAGGAATTTTATCTGAAAATATTACAGCAGACCAAAATTTATAGCTAATGATTAATTTATTTTTTAAAACAATATGTTTTTAAATATATAGTTAATAATTTAGTTTATTAGATACCTATATCTGTGGTAATATGTACGATTTGATTTGAAATCCCCCCCCCCGCCAAAAGAAAAATTAGATATCTCGTAGTTATTATAACACTGCAGAGCCTGCAACCAACATGGATTTTTTTGGGCTTCTGCTGTTATTACTTGTTAGCAAAGGTCTATCTCTGTACAGCACTCTTAGATCCTTAGATCATATGGGGATGTGTATAAAGTACGAAAATATTTTGTTAAAATAAAAATTTATCAGAAAAATAAAACTGTCGAAAAATACATTCGAACCGTATTTCGATAGAAAATATTTTGGCGGGTTACACCAAGACACGAGGTTTATGATAAGGTAATAAAGAAACGTTTATTTACCACATAAAGACATAATACAAGTGATCGCCAGCAGACGGCTTTTGACGGAGGAAAGGCGAGCACGCAACAATTAAAAACGACATTAGTTCAGAAAAACAATTATTCGGAATCGGGAAACAATGATTCGCGTACGGCGTCGGTGCGGAGAGAGCGGTCGAGACGACGAGTCGAGCGGAGCTGTGGACGATGACCGTTGAACGCAGACGGCGAGGGGCGTGGCCGACGTCCGCCGCGAACGACGCGCAGCGGGAAGAAGAAATGTGGCGCGAAACCCGTGACAATATCTATAAAGGTGATAACACTGTTATCTTATATCATCTGTCAACCGCTGAACATTAGTTTCTCTACTACGGAGTACGGTTATATAATATATACTTAAATATATCAGGTCTATAGACCTCATAACTCAATGCTCAATATTAATTAATTATATAAATGAGTCAATGGCATCAATCTATCCTTATTGGTATTATCTACAACCACGATATTATCTACCTACAACTTTACTGTGGCCATAGATATAAATATATCTAGAGCCATGTTGTCGCTTGCCTTTTCTACAGCGTGCTCTATTTGTATTTAATATAACTAATTTTCTAACTAAATAGGGTTCTAATACATTATTTTTCGATAAATTTATTTTCGGACAAAAAACTTTTCTAATCAAATATTTTTCTTCTCGAATAATTTTCGTAAATATATTTTCTACCAAGTTATTTTCAAACAAAATATAGGTCACCGATCATATACGATGGATAGAGCCACAGATTATAGATTGCATATAATATCGATGATGTACATGTTGGCGAAGAGTCGCCAGGTGAGTAACCTATATTTAGTACATATTCGATCTGGCGCTAGTCGCATATTTATCTCTAATTATCGATAAGTACACAATTAAACATAATAGATTATTATAATTTTAATAAAACAACAATGTACACAAATTAATATATTATATATTTGTTAATTTTTGTTATATTTATATATACATACTTTTTTATATCCATCGTCCATGGCGACCACATATAACACATCTCCATTATAGTTCTCATGCTAATATCTTAATACTAAGTTTTTTTATAATATATATCTATGAGTGTTAGAAAAAAGTAGATAAAGCTCAACAATTATCGCTTATAAACTATAATTATATTATATTATATTATTATTATTAATATAGGATGAAAAAGATACCTATATATTTTGGATATTTTGCCCTAGATTCAAAATTCCATATAAAATTCAAATCTAAATCATCCAATTCATCCAAATTTAATCTTAAAACATATCTACAGAAACAATCATCTCATAATTCAACAAAGTGTACAATATGGAAATATATTTATAACTCTAGTGCAACTATTAATGTTATTGTATGTCTTATTGCAGAATGAAAATTTTTTTTTTTTAATATTTATTCACTTAATAGTAATAACAATTAAAATAATGATCAAAAACATAACACAAATTTTATAAACTTGATTTTCCCTCCAATTTGTGACATTTTACAATAATTTTCAAATGTTTAAGTAGTTACACTGTATTTACATTCCTTACTGGTTTTCAATATTTTTATTGGCGTAATACCATTGATTATAGAATATACAGATAGCCCATGCGATGTTAATATTTGGCGACTATAAAAAAAATCCCACCGCTATGAAGCGCTAGTGTAGTTTAGGATGCGAGGAGGTAGTACCTCCGTCATAAATGATAAGCGGTGTGGGGAGGGGTAGCATGTCGCACGTTATTGCCGTACTAATAATAGAATATTTGTTCAAATAAATTGGAATACAATTGTTTATTATCATTGTATTTCGTATTATTTTCGTAATTCGTTAAGTCTCACAACCCATAGGCGACGCTCGTTTTTGATTGGGATTACACATCTATATAACATAATGATATAATATTACAATTTTTATTTTAAAAATTCTATAAATTTTCCATATACAAATTTTTTTTTCTAATAAAAAAAAAAATCCTAAAGTTGTAATAATTGTTAATAATTTTAATTTATAACATAATAATTATAATTGTATAAATATATGCTTTCCTTTTTTTGGGGGGGAGGGACTTCAATTAGGCACTAGACAAACAATTACTTTTTATGTAACATTTCAGTCTACAAACTATGACGTTAACACTCCTATTATCAAATACAAGACGTAAATCGACTAAAAAATTATTAATAAATAAATAATAGTCAATTCCTAAAAAAAAAAACCCTGATAAAGATAAAATAAAGTTTAACAAATAACTTCCAGTTATGCAGCCGTGACGTCACGATCGATAACGAACAATAATAACAAAAATGTCATTTCAAGTAAAATTATTTGTTTATTTATACGTACAACGCCATCTTTTGGGCAACAGCATAAACATAATTTTAGTAACTAGATAATCCTATGCTATTTGTTATCTGTGTATTCTATAATCAATGGTAATACGTATTGGTCTCACTGTATTATTCTATGATTTGATGCACGTTTACCGTACTGCCTAGAGATGGGAATTATGGTTCATCTAAGTGATACGATTCTTTCAGATCAGCTCATCAAAAAGACCCGTTCGCGATCTGATAGGTTTTTTTTGAGCCTATACCGAATCAGAACCAGAAGCGAGAGATGTGTCGTTCGCGAATGACCCGGATCTTTTGAACCAGTCAAAGCTGTGAATGAATTCAGTTCAATTGTGGTTCCCAAACGGTTCGCGAATCGCGTGATGATTCGGACATAGATATTATAATTTGTACTTTGTATGAATCGGACTTCGTATAGATCCATAGATTAAACATTCGGTATCTAATTGATAACGTGTGCAAAAAGGTGGAGCTTAATTTCGGAACAGCTCCATTTCTCACATTCTCATAATAAAACTCAAGTTATCTCTCTTAGTGTCTTAGTTCGTTTGGCACGGCGCACGACCGTGTCTCCGAAGTCCAAGTTGTCCAAGTTCAAAGTCCTCTTGGCGAATCGCAAGCGTACCAACTTCCAATGTACCGACTATTTAATGACAATATCAAATATGGAGTATAGATAGATATTAATTACTAATCGAGAGTCGATGATAGGTCACAAGTTGTGTTGTCGAAACCGAAAAACATTAAATCTTAACTCTTACATTTTGATTTCTATTTGTAGATGTCACATAAGACTGCATCTCGTGCGTTATTTTATTACAACTATTTCGTACAGTGCATTTAATTTCAGTTTCGAAATGTAATGTTTTAACTATTTAATAAGAACTTAACACCTTCAATACAAGCAGTTGCTTAAAAAAAGGTGTGTATATTTTGTATATTTTTATAGTAATAGTCACCTGTTCGTTGACAAATTCAATACACATATAGTTATAATTATAATTATAAAATATTACTTGTACACATTAATAAATATTTTATTAAACCTACATTTGAATAAATTATTAAGTATTTGAGTAACAATGTTTTTAAATATTATTAACAAATCATTTAAATAATTTAATCGTATATTACAAATTTAAATTTGGTAAGAATATTTTAGTTTTTTCAATAAATAATGATTAAAATAAATAAATATATAAATAAAAAATTTATATATAATAATAAAATAAACAAATGAATCAATGCGTGTCGCCTGGAGTATTGTGAAAAGTGAAATATTATTTCTTAACCACAACATCAACATGTGATCCAGATTTATTTTATTGTGTATCAATAGTTAATAAATAGTTATAATATAAAGATTATTATTATGATAACGTTATCATAAACTCGTATATGAACCTAGGAACAAATACGAAAAAAAAATATCAGGTGATCCTCGGTTCGACGATCTGAATCATATCGTTCACTACTTTGACCCGTTCAAAAGATCCGGTTCGTTCGCGAATCACACTTTTCTACAAAGTACTGTCGTTGTAATTAACGGTCGTAGTAATTGGGAGTACACTGAGCAAGTTTGTGATTGTTCATTGTTTTTGTTGACAAAAATTCGGAATAAAAATCAAACGCAGTGTCTTATTATGGCTCGCAGAGGGAAGAGGCGAAATATGTCCACGAGTCCCGTGGCCCGTATTATGAACCACATGGTTGAACCGGATAGTCAGAATAAGATTCCAGAAAAAATGGACGTCGTGGAAGGTAAAGAAACAAAATAGTTAATTATTTTTGTAGTAGTGTTCGAATTCTCAGGTTTATACAATGGATTTTATATTTACTCGATTATTTTCGATCCAATTTTTATTAGTATTGCCTATTTAAAACTAATTTCGGTATAATTTACGTTTTTTTTTTTTTTGGATTATTATGATACTTGGTAGGAACATTTAAAAGATGTATTATTATTACATCTTGATCCCTGCTGTCCTAATCTTTATACATATTTTTTTCGGAGGGTGAAACATAATGATATACAGACCTTAAAGTTAGTTCTGAGCTCTTTGTTTTAAATACAATTAACACTAAAAACAACATAAATGAAGTCTGTTGAGTTTTGAGAGAGGATTCCATTATCTTACTGGATATATTGGTCAGTTTTCTATTACTGAATTATTTTACTATAAATTTGTAGGCATTTTATTGTATTTGAAAACGGTGTGTGTCCAGTGTTAAGCTTTCTTATCTTTTATTCGCTAATATAGACTCAATCATGTATTCATTAATAATAAGCTATTTCTGTCTATTGTTATTATAATAACTGAAGAAATAAAGATATTATGCTCAATAAGTGGAAGGGACAGTTATATCTATACTTATTTTATTTTAGATTTTGTTAACAGCCAAAATCTGTGATAAGTAAGAACATAATAAATTATATTATGATTTGAACTATAAACTTATATTATGGGTATATTACCTTATATTATCAACTATTTAGAACAGATATATATATATTAAAATACTGTATAGGTACTGCACAATATGTTTTGATAGAATGTGCAAACTTTAAATTTACTTGGTTATTTAAATTGATGACCTAGGAATTTATATTGGATATTTTAATATTTACTAGAATGTTCACATTATTCTCATGCATGATAAGTTATTATTAATATTTAAAAATGTTTGTAGCGTGTAAAGAATAAGATCCCAATATTAGGTAGGTGCCTACCTAGATTCAAAATAATAAAACATCAGATATGTATATATATAATTGTATCATTTGTATACGATGTAAACAATTTTCTGAAAAGAAAATTTTTCTAGGTGGTACTTTGAGGAGGTAATTTTTTGATTTTCCTGGCAGACAATGATTCTAGTTTGGCAACCTATCGATTTTTTGTTTTTTTTTTTTTTTCTCAAAATGTAGGTTTTTGGGTGTACATTAAGAATGTAAAAATAAAAGTCTAGCGAACTTCGTTTGGAAGTTATAGTGAAAACTTCATGAAGTTTGGGTTTTTTGTTTTGCGTATTTCTTTGTTAGAATTTAATATTTTTAAATATTTTTATTTTACAAAATGTGAATTTTTTTATGTTCAATCCATTGGTATAATCAAAACTCATCTATCATACTTTTATAAATTTTGTATTTGGAATAAGAGATCCAATGTGGTTACTTGGTCGCTGCACTCACTCAGGCAATTTTAATCGAAAATTGTTGTTATCTATATTCTCATTCAGTAGCGTAGCTAGGATTTTCTGAAGGGGGGTGTTAATTATAAACATTAAATATTATATATAATACGTACAAACTAAAACTTTTATTTTAATTAATTAATTATGTATACATAATGTCTGTATGGTATTATCAATAGATAATAATGAAAAAAAAAATATATATTATAAAATAAAATCTGTTCGTCGTTTTTGATTGAATGACAATTTTTGTATTACTTCTTTTACTGTTACTTCGACTTCACGATGAATATTTAAAGATGCTAATCCATTAAGTCTAAACTGGCCAATAGAATTTCTAAGACAAGTTTTTATTCGTTTTAATGTAGAAAAACTTCTTTCAGGTTCACATGATGTGACAGGCAATGTTGCAAATATTTGAAGGAGTTTAAAAACATTTGGAAATAGGTCTTTATTGCAGTTATCAAGAGCGTTAAGAACACTTTTTATGCTTAGTTTTTCCAAATGTGTATGCCATAACTTTACCTCTGTTTCAATAACTTCTTGATCAATATCATCAGAATAAAACTCACTTAAATCTTTGATAGCTTGTTGATTATAATTTTTATTAGAAATAAGAAAATAAAAGCCAGCTATAATAGTTTTGTGGTTTATAAATCAGTCATTTAATTGTTGCACTAAATTGTCCAGAAATGGAAGGAATGCACTTATTTTAAAATATTTTTCAAGATNACTTCTTATACTTTGGAGTTGAGAAATTATTATATCTACATGATTTAAAGCTTGAAATAAATCTATGTTTTGTTTTTGTAAATATGTGCAAAGATTTTTTGTATATTGAAATATTTTATAAATAATAATAAGACTTACATTGAATTCCGATGTTTGAATAGCTGAAAGTAACTGAGCTGCTTTTGATGATGTTTCAGTATTTGAATATAGTATAATTTCTTCAAAACAAGATATAATTATGGGTTGAAAATCATAAAATACATCTATTGAATTGTGTCTTTCAGTCCATCGAGTAGGACATAGTCTTTTTAATTTTTCTTTTTGACTTGAAAAAGAAGTATCTTCCTTAAATTTATTTAAATGTTTTGTAAACTCAAATTGTTGCTTTGGAGTATTGAGAAATGCATAAATGCTTTCTAGTGTCCCCATAGCATTTCTGATACTGGGAACACTACAAGCATATGATATAGATAGGTTTAAGTTATGTGCACTACAATGAACATATATTGTGCTATGATATGACTCCCTAATACAAGCTTGAACGCCATTGAATTTGCCACTCATAGCTGCAGCCCCATCGTATCCTTGACCTCTAAGATATTTAAGACGAAGACAATTCTGATTTGGCAGGTTCATGTTCACTTTCATTATTAATACTAATCGTTTCATGACGATCCCTTTCTACTTTCTTAAAGTAATTATTAATACATCTTTTCATTTTAATTTAATCACACGTAAATATTACTATTTAACAATATGTAATGATATAGATTAAATAAAACAATAAGAGTTATAACAATTAAACGTGATTTACCATTATGTGATTTACATATATCTTCACAGTCAAGACTCGAAACTGAAGACCGTATTTTATATTTCATATTGTATTTACCTATGTTCCTATTTTATTATATATAATAATGTATATTGTAATATATATGTAATAATAATGTAATATATGATATGGCTCAAGGGGGGTGTCATATCCACAAAACACTCCCCCTTGTATACGCCACTGTTCTCATTGATAGTAATATTATTCGTACTAATAACCTTAAAATATATAATATAACTATTGTTCTTTTGTTAAAATATAACAACTACTTTTGCATAATCATGCATGGTTGTCGTGTGTCTTTGTGACTTTTTCTCTCAGTTAATTTATGTATACTATAGTTATACTACAATAGGTTATGGGCAAAAAATGTGATGACAACTACGGAGTTACACAATTTAACCGTACAAATTTCCCAAACTGGAAATTTCGGGTGAAAATATTGCTTGAAGAATTTGGTGTGAAGCAATGTGTTTCAAAAAACTGTCCATCGCTTGCGAAAGAAGAAGACAAAGAAAAATTGCGTAAAAAAGACAATAAATGTAAGCCACTTATAGTTCAATGTATTGCTGATAGTCATTTAGAATATGATGTGGTGGGAAAGAATACATCAAAAGAAATTTAGAATTCACTATTAAAAACTTTTGAGCGAAAAGGGGTCGCCAATCTATTGTTCATGAGAAGGCGATTATTGACTATGAAATATATTGGTTAAATAAATTTAGAAAGTCATTCTGTGAAGTTTGATGAGATAACACGACGACTCAGATCTGCAGGAGCTAAACTAGAGAACGAGGATATTAATTGTTATCTACTACTTACTATGCCTGAAACGTATAACAATGTAGTTATAGCATTAGAAACTCTTTCACCAGAGACTCTTAAAAATTGAATTCGTAAAAGGTTGTTTACTAGATGAAAAATCAAAGAAAAGTAATAGTATTATAAATGAAGAGTCTTCCTCTGATAGTGCAGCGTTTAATGTAAAGAATACTGGCAAATTTCCTTTTGAATGTTATAATTGTGATCGAGTTAGACATAAATCAGCTGAATGTTTCTCAAAAAGAAAATGTTTTATAAAGGAAAGAACAGATCCAAAGAGTTGTGTAAACAAAAACCGATAGCTAACAATGCTTCGAAGAATGATGACGGAAGTTGTTTCCCAGTAACCACATTGTTAACGGAACAAAATGAAGAATTAAACAAAATAATACGGTATCTTGATTCAGGGAGCTCCGATCATTTATTTAACAGCGAGAGATATTTTTCATCTCTGAAAGTACTAGAAAATCCAATGATCATAGGTGTCGCTAAAATTGGAGAAAATCTAACCGTAAAAAAAATAGGTACAATAAATGCATACAGTCAAGTAGAAAGTATAACTATTTTATGTAAATTTAAAAATGTATATTATGTTTCACATTTAAGATATAATTTCTTGTCTGTTGGTAAGTTGAAGAACTTGGTTTTAAAATTTTTTTTGAAAAAAGACAAGTAAGTTTGTTGAATTAAAATCGAAATGTAATAGCAATAGCTAAAAGAACCCAAACACTATACAAATTAATTTTTACTCTAGACAATACTCGAGATAATAGCATAATGTCAAGAGCTGTGTCCAGGTAAATATTGACGGAGTATTATGGCATAAATGAATGGGGCATCTAAATAGAGATTATTTGAATAAATTGAAGAATATTGTTTTTGGAGTTCAATTCAATACATCAAAGATTAAACCCCATAAAATCGAAAACATTGAGGTAAAAAAGAAATTCCAAGAAGAGCTAAGGATTTGAGAAGATAAGTCAGTTCTTATGAACGAATTCACGGCTGAAGAGGTCTAAAACGCATTAAAATCTGTGAAAAATGGAAAAGCTACTGTAGTAAATGGTATCCTCCCAGAATTCCTTAAAAAACTAGGACCCCTCTCAGCATAAATTAGATCGCAAAACTGGCCAGTAAAGTAGTAGACACTAATGTTCTTCCAAGATTCTGGAAGAATCTTCAAGTAACCAAAGTGATACCTATTTTGAAACCCAACAAAGAAGCCATGAACCCAAGAAACTATTGTCCTATATCTTTATTGTCAACAATGTACAAGCTGTTTGAAAGACTCCTTCTAAAGCATTTACAACCACTCTTAGAAGAATCCATACCTATAGAACAAGCCGGTTTCAGGAAAAATAGAAGCTGTTGTGACCAAACCCTTGCACTAGCAACGCACATTGAAAATGGTTTCCAACGGCAGGAAAAATCTGTCTTTCTGGATCTGTTAGCTGCGTATGATATGGTCTGGAAGAGAGGACTGTTACTAAAACTGTTTAAAATAATAAAATCTAAAGCAACGATAAGACTACTGGAGAACTTAATCTCTGACAGAAAATTCAGCGTATCTCTGAATTCATATATAAGTCTGAGTTGTGTCCCATTACAAAGTTCAAAGAAGGATTAACAAAACTAAACAAGGGCAGGCCAACAGCTATAAAATGGCTTGAAGAACTTAAAACGCGTCTGTGATTTCTATTTGTTATTAGTATTGATGTTATTATAATTTATTATACCTACTATAATCTACCATACTAACATTTTATATATTTTATTACCTGTTTAATTAATTGACTAGCTATCTTAATTATTATATTTATTTATTTGTTTAATTTTTACCAACTTAATCTATCTAAAAATAAGTCGAACATGTAATATGCAAATATAATATAATTCAATAAAAAGGAACTACCTACAATTTGTGAAGTTTGTATGGAGAGCAAACAGATTAGACAGCCCTTCATTCTAAGAAAAAATAGAACGCATCCACTAGTACTGTGGACCACCGTTATTTAATTGAACCTTGCCCAGCCGCAAAGACCTCCGGTCTCGCAGAAGAAAAGTGCGAAAAGCGCTCGTAGTATTCGGCTGTTTCTCATACATTATAATAGTAAACACTGCACGTGCAAACGAAAATTGGCTGAGGCACGGTATCTCGTATCGGTCGTTTGCACATACGTGGTATCTTTATAATGTATAGGTGATACAAAGTGATATATGAGGTTCAATCAATCCAATATCTTGGAATGGTATGAAATACATTTTAACATTTATTGATGATTATACACGATTTAATGTAATTTATTTGCTTGAGAATAAAAGTGCAGTACTTAACTACTTTAAGAAATATGAAGCAGTTGTAAATGTACATTTTACACAAATAATTCAATCATTAAAAATGTGATAATGGAGGCGAATACACATCTCACAATTTCAAGAATTTTTGTGCGCAAATAGGAATTGTTGTGAATCACACTGCTCCATACACTCTTGAGCAGAATGTTTTAGCTAAAAGAACTAATCGTACAATTATAGAAAAGATCTGATTGTTACTATTTCAATCGGAGTTATCTAAAGAAATGTCGAGTGAAGCAGCCCTCACAGACACATATTTACTAAATAGATTCCCAACATCTAAAAATTCAAGTAACACACCAACAGAATTTTGGAATGGTTATCAACAAAATTTATCAAACATTCGTGTTTTTGGGTGTGCCTCATTTGCCCACATACCTAAACAACTAAGAAGTAAATTAGATTCCAAATCAAGAAAGAGCGTTATGGTTAGTTTTGCTGAATCTAGTTTTAGATTATGGGATCCTGAAACCAGAACAATTTTTGTAAATTGTGATGTAATTTTTAATGAAAACAGAATGCTTATAATTGCTTATAATATCTATGCAAGATAATCAAAATATCAGTAAAATATCTGAAGTAAATATAAGAGACGATGAATCTGAAGAAGAAGAAAATGACAGAGAAGATGAGCATAAAGAAGAGATCAAAGATATCACCATGATGAAGATAGGAAGATGGGAAAATAACAAAACTACACGACCTAAAAGAAAAGTAACAACCAGAAAAATTTAAAGATTATGATATGGCAATGTGTTGGCTTATCATCAGAAAATTATGTACAAAATTTACCCAAAGATGCTGATGAAGTTCAAGTTCACCCAGATACAAATTGTTGAAAGAAAGCAATGCAAGAAGAAATTGACGCTTTAATAGAGAACAATACATGGTCACTGGTTCCAAAACCCCAAAATAAATGGATCATAAATCATAAATGGATATTCAAATTAAAGTTGGATGAAGAAGGAAATCCATTATGGTACAAAGCCAGATTAGTAGCTAAAGGATATACACAATTAAAAGGTTTTGATTATACTGATATCTACTCACCTGTAGTTAATATCATTACAATACGAACTCTACTTGCAATAGTAAATCAAAAGAATCTACACCTCATTCAGATGAATATGACTACAGATTTTCTCAATTATATTTTAGAGGAAGAGCTTTAGATGAAACAACCTGATGGTTTTGACCAAGAAAATGATTTGGTTTGCAAATTACATAAATCACTCTATGGTCTTCAACAATCTTCAAATTGTTGGAATAAACGTTTTAATAATTTCATATGTCAACAAGGTTTAACAAGAAGCAAATCCGATCAATATGATGTGCTGGTGGTTGGCAATTCAATGAAGGAAGTAAACAATTTCAGAAAATTAGTGAAGAATTCAAGCTAACAGATCAAGGGGATGCAAGATCTTTCTTAGGAATTAAAATTAAACGACATAATATTTTAAAAATGAGTCAAACAAAATATCTTGAAAACCTACTGCATAAATTTGGTATGAATAAATATAAACCAATATTAACACCAATGAAAAAGAAACTAAACATTTGAAGAAAAAGGTAAGAACAAGTAAACCATATCATGAACTTGTGGGAATTTTGATGTATGTGATGATTCAAACCAGACCGGACCTTAGTACAGCAGTCAATTATTTTATCCGACATCAATCTAAAGCCACTGAAGATCATTTTAATTACTTGAAAAGAATATTAAGATATTTAAAGGGTACTATTTCTTTTGGAATGACCTACATTAAGAACAATAACATACATCCACTTCAAGGTTTTGTTGATGCTGATTTTGCCAATGATATTGATGACTGAAAATCTACTTCTGGATATCTTTATCGAGTTTTTGGTTCCACAGTCAGTTGGTCTACTAGAAAACAATCAACTGTAGCCTTGTTATCGACTGAAGCAGAATATTTAGCTTTCGCATCTGCAATTCAAGTAGGAATGTGGCTGAAAAGACTTCTTGTAGAGATGGAAATTATCACAGACAAAGATTACATATTATTGCATGAAGATAATTAATCTTGCATCAGAATAGCTAATAAACCAAAGAAACATCTGAATACCGAATATAATTTTATTCATGAAGCAATCTCAACAAATCAAATTGAATTAGAATATGTTCAAACAGATCATCAACTGGCAGATATTCTAACAAAACCATTACCTGCCATTACATTTTCAAAATTAAGAAAAGCGATTGGATTAGAATAACACTTAATTTTATTTTAATATGTTTGTATATTTTTTTTACATTTGAGATTAAGAGGAATTGTTGTTATCTATATTATTATTGATAATAATATTATTCGTACCAATAACCTCAAAATGTATATTATGACTATTATTCTTTTGTTAAAATATAAAAACTACTTTTGCAGAATCATGCTTGGTTGTCGTGTGCCTTTGTGACTTTTTCTCTCAGTTAATTTATGTGTACTATAGTTATCCTATAATAAAAATAACCTTTGATTTTTGTGCAAACCACGTTGGGTAGGTAACAAGGAAAAGTAAAAAAGCATTATAGGTGAAATTAGAAACCCAATGTAGTCATTCTCTATTTTTCAAAATGTATGTACAATAACTATAAAAGTTAGCATGATAGGTAAATTTTGATTATACAAATAGAGTAAGCATTAAAAACCATACATTTTAGAAAAAAAAAATTTGCTTAACTAAAATTATATCCCCGGTAGTTTTCTCAATAAAAAAAAAAGATTGGGGAAAAACTGGAAATTTTGCGAAAATAATGCTTTTATTATTTGTTGTAATTCAGTTAAAAATATTCGTAGAGACTTGAAATTTGGATAAAAGGTTTATATTTACCTTTTCTAGACGCTGTGAAATTTTTAAAACTAAGCCATTTTTGAGCTGTTTACAGACATTTTAATTTTCCGAGTTTTATACGAAATTTTTTATTCAGTAGGTGCTGTGTGCCTTATGGTAAAATTGTTGGACTAAACAGAAATTCGTGAAAATTTAATATGACGTCTTTTAAAAAAAACATTTGAGTTTAATGTAGTATTTTTTTTATAAAGGCATTTTAATATCAAATTTTGACGAAAATCATTAGAGTAAAAGAATTATGTGGAACAAATCTAATTTTTTAATTTTTTGTTTTGAATATATGTATATTGCCGATTTAAGAACGATGGTGAAACAAGAATTGAAAAGACTGGCATAGTTTCGAAATTGTAGCTTTTTGTAGTTTTGATTTGCGGATATTATATATTATGTTAAATAACTCTTTATTGTCTAACATAAAAAATATTTATAGTGGTCTAATGGTTAAACATGCCTATTATCATCCTAGGAGGTCCCGAGTTCAAATCTGGGTTTAGTATTTTTTTTTTTTCCATTTACAAGGAAAAAACAAATATATTTTGGGTCTACCTAGAGTCCTAAGCCATCGCTCACTCGGAATATTTTATTGCAAAATACCCCTCGATTTGTTGTGCAAACTTTTCTATCAGAATTCTTGCTCCGATGTATCAAGTGTAGATTATTTTCTAAAAGGAAATTTTATCTACATGGTATTTTAGGGAGGTCATTTTTGATTTTGCAAGCGGTTTTCATAATATCTGGAAAAAATCGGAGAAAAAAATGAAGGAAAAACGGAAAATGTACGAAATTTAGGTATTATTGCATTGATTTTATAATATACAGATAAGCAATGTCATAGGAATATATTTTGGAAGGTAAGGTATTGTCTCAAGTTTCATTAAAATTTGACAGGTATCGTTATTGTATTCATTGAAATTTGTAAACTAGTTATTTGTGTAGATTTTAGATGTCAAGTGCAAACTAGCTGTTGCGTGATGCGACTGTTGAATTATTTTTCGTCTACTTGCGAATATTAAAATCTAATCAAATCGACTATAATAATATTTTTATTGTTATTATTAATTATTTTGATATTTTTATTTACTCTACTACGGACTGTCTACGATCCACGGAAAGTTATGATTTTAGGTGTCTGTGTGTTTGCCTTTTCCTTCATATATCTTATAATAATGGAGAGATTTTTACATCTAAGATTTCTTTGAATTCGATACAATTTCACGAGTGTAATCTCGCTAAGTACTTTTCACCGCATAAAGTGTAATTAGGACTAAATAAAGATTTAAACAAAATCTGTTTTGTTTTTTTTTTTTTTTTTTTTACATTTTAAAATAAAAATAAGTTACACAATGAATTTTAATATTCTATTTTCTAAATGTTTTTGCACTATATACATTTAAAAAAATCACAAGTCATGATCGTTAATTTTTGAACATAATAGTTTTATAACAAATTAATACAATATTATATTATAACAATAATTAATATTGCTATATACTTGATTTTTTTTCTAAGTGTGTTTTTCATTTATTTTTTTATCCACTTTAGTTCTCCAAAGAGCTAAAACAAAATTAAAAAAGAAAAAAGAAAGCACACATTAAATTTCTAGCGTTCTCCCAACATTTGTGTTTATAGGAACTTTTCCATACTTTGTGCCAAATTTAAATTTGAGTTTAAAAAAATGATTATGTAACTATGTTAAAAGTAGTGAAATATCATTAAAAAAGAATTCCAGCTATTACTTGAAATTCATTAATGGGAATCACTCAGTTAAAAATATTCTTAAACATCTGTGCTTCTATGATTCGGTCTCGTTTAATAAATAGTGAGCTGCTGATCTTTTGGCTTCTTACTTTTTCTTTGTGTATTTTAATGATCAGACTGAACTCAATCTTGATGATTTGACCATCCCATACTTCAATCTACCTAACAATGTTTCTATCAGTGTTGATGATGTTTAATTGCCTATCTGTGTTTCATGGTCTATCGTATGTTGCCCTGATGGTCTCTCCGATGAGTTTCTTTTCCAGCTAAAATATATTCTCTCTTGCCCCCTTTAGATAATTTTCAGTAGGTCTTGAAGGCATGCATTTTCCCCTCGATACTTAAATTTAGTTCTGTTATTTCTATTTTTAAATCAGTTTATCCTTTTTTAATTTTAAATTACAGACCTATTTCAATCCAATCGCATATTGCAAAAAATATTTGAATCTTTGGTTTTAAAAGAAATTCAACGTCCAGTTTATAATATTATAATGGAGGAACAACATGGGTTTTGTTCTGGTCGTTCCACCACAATATGCAATCTAATATTTAATAACTTAGATTTTGAATTTTTTCAACATGGGTTGCGAGTTGATGTAATATTACAGTCTTCAATGAAGCTTTTGATACAGTTAATCATAAGGTTTTGATTAACATTCTTAGCAGTTATGGTTCTCGTGAGTCTTCGTTGTCCTGGCTTTCTTCATATCTTAATGATCAATATCAATGGGTCTCTGGAATCAAGTCCAATCTATTCTTAGCATCTTCTGGTGTTCTTTAAGGATAACTATCCCCCCTATTGTTCTCTCTTTTTGTAAATAACATCAGTCATGTATTGTGTCATTCTCGTATTCTCTGCTTTGCTGATGATTTTAAAATTTGTTTACGTTTTTGTTTTATTGATGATTGTTTTCATCTCCAAAGTGATCTGGATAGGTTTGTTGATTGGTTTGAAAGTATAGGCTTATCTTTAAATATATCTAAATACAAAGCTATAACTTTCACATTTAGTCGTTTATCAACAATCCATTCCTTATAATATTTTAAGTGTTGATAAATTCGTAATTGATTTTGGTTTTAAGCTTACCAACTCACTGATTCCTGATTCCAGACATGTCTTCTTGGTGTTTATCTTCAAATTGTTTGCAATTACTACCCTTTGATGCACATATTAATGAATAAATTCATGTGCTATGAAATGATGCCCTAATAATTTGAGCATTTGGATTTCTGTTATAGCCTCCTTTTTGTCGAAATATTGAAAATGAGTTTTCCTGATTTGAACGATTGGTTAGGATAACACTAATACCGTTTTTTTCTCATCTTCAAATAGTTTTAATATACCATTAATACTTTGAATAAATACATGTGTTCTGTGTACAACTTTTCTGCCTTTGCTCTGATTTACAATGATGGCACTTTTTGTTAAAGGAAATCTGACTAGTGATTTACTTTAAGGAGGTCATTTTTTTGATTTTCTCAGTAGTTTTCCCAATAAATAGGGGAAAAAACTGAAAAATAGATAAATTAAACAATATTAAACAAATAATATCAAAGAAAATATATAATTCATCTGTGGACATAGCAACACTATCAACCGAACTCTGCTTAGGATCGTTTTTTTGTTAGCAATGGTTAATCGTTGCTTACAGATATACATTAAATTTCCTATAAAAGTAGCTGTACCACGTCGCCATTATCCTAGGATATCTTTTTAATTATAAATATATTAGGTAAACTATTGCATGTTTTTAATTTTATTTAATATTATTTAGTTGAATTTTAAATTGGACCTTTGTACCTAAACTATTAGCATAATAAACTTGTATTAATTACCTTTTTGTTGTAATTATACACTTTTTAGATAATTCACGACCAGAAGCAACTTTCCAATTTGTTATGGAAAATTTTAGTGAATTAAAAGAACAAAGAATGTCACAGCCTTTCTATGTTCGTAATCTACCATGGAATATAATGGTAGTACAGAAAGAAGTGAGAAAATCTTGGATAGAACCTAGTATGACTGCTGTTGCTTTTTTCCTTCAAGTATGTATTTAAAAGGAAAAAAATGTAACATTTAATGTACCCATACTTTAATTATAATAATTATTCCACAAAACTCTGTAAAATCATTATCTTTTAGTGTGCAGTTGATTCAAAAAATACTCCTTGGAGTGTTTATGCAACAGCTCAACTTCGAATCCTAGCACAAAAAAAACGTTGTCATTCCTTTGTACGAGAAATACAGCATATATTTTGCGAACAAGAGAACGACTGGGGATATCATTGTTTCATGTTGTGGAAAGATGTAATTAATAAATCCAAAGGATATATAAAAAATGACACAGTTATATTTGAAGTAAGTTAAAATAATTAATTTAATTAATAATTATTTATCTATCATTCAGTATTGATGCTTTGTGTTATACTGTATTATTCCAGTAATAACATAAATGTATAATATTAATTAACGATAAATTATTATTTGGTATCATTACAAAATTAAATTGTTTTTGACATTATATTATTATTTTAATTAGTATTACTTCTATTGTAAGGAGATAAGGAGGACTTCATAGAAAAATAATGAAATTCAAATTCTTGGATATTTCTGAGAATAAAATGGAATTTAAATATTGTTGACACATAAGAAGAAATTTTTATATTATTTATTTGTAACCGAAGCATAATTAAACGTTTTTAACAATTTAACATAAATGTATATTCTCATAATTGGAATAAAATTCTAGGTTACAGTGATGGCTAATGTAGCACATGGTCTAGATTGGGATTCCAAAAAATATACCGGTTACATAGGCTTGAAAAACCAAGGTGAAACATGTTATATGAACTCCCTTTTACAAGCATTATATTTCACAAATCAACTACGAAAAGTAATTAGATATTTATCTATGTGTAATACAATATATATTAATTTGACTGACTGTTTGATTTTTATTTAACAAATAACTTTTTTTTTAAATTTAGGCTGTATATAAAATGCCTACTGAAAGTGATGATAGCAATAAAAGTGTAACATTAGGATTACAACGTTTGTTTCATGATCTTCAATTGTATGACGAACCAGTCGATTCAAAAAAATTGATCAACAATTTTGGATGGGGAAAAGTTAATTTATACATACAACACAATGTTCAACCATTTTTAAGAATTGTATGTATAATACTTTTTTTTAACAAATATTTTTTAATTTATTATAATTTTATTTAATTTTTAATTTTTTTAGTTGCTTGATAAATTGGATAACAAAATGAAGGGTACATGTGTTGAAGGAACAATATCAAAGTTATTTGAGGGTAAATTGATTGTAAGTTAATAAATTCAAATTATATAAATATTAATATTATAAATAATTTAAATTAATGCTAATTTATAAATGTTATTTTTCAGTCATATATAAATTGTAAAAATGTTGATTGTACTTCCACGAGGACTGAAACATTTTACTCCATTCAACTAAACATTAAAGGAAAGAAAAATAGTATGTTACCTAAACATTGTACATTCTGAGCGAAGCGAAGAAGCTTATAGTTTTACAAAGATGTCTATATATTTTTTTTTTTTATCTGTTAACTACTTTTTACCAGAAGTCTTTCTCGTCTGAAAGGATAGCACTTTTTCTGAAAGGAAATCGGTGTGGGGAGATACTTTAGAGAGGTTGTTTTTCGATTTTCTCTAGACTTTTTTCTTCAAATTTGAAAAACTAAAAAAAAAAAAATGGGAAATATAAGAAATGTAGGTATTAGTTTAAATATATTACGTCCTTTTTTCTGTGAAAAACTTTTTTACTAGCAATTTTGCTCTAACTTGTAATGATAGCAATGTTTCTAAAAGAAATTTTACTAGGGAGGTACTTTAGAGAGGTCATTTTTCAATTTTCTCAGTTTTCCCAGCAAGTGTAAAAAACCTGGATAAAGCATAGGAAACTTAGGGAAATTAGGAAAATCAGTACAACATTTAAAAAATATTAAAGAAAATATATGACATATAGTTGAAAAAGCATTACTATTGATTGAACTTTGCTCAGAATCATTTTTTCGTAAGCAATGGTTCATCGTTGCTTACAGGTATACATTAAATTATCTATACCAGTGGCTGCACTCGTCCCCATTATCTTAGGACATCATTTTGTATAGTCTATTAGTTATGAGGAGTTGAACCTTTTTCAATTTGGCAAATCTCTCAGATGTTTTAATTATTAAGAAAAAATAAATATTATTTCTATCTTTTGAAAATGCTATTTTGGAAAATACAATAAATGAATTTTGACCATAATTGCCCAATTATTTTGTCGATTTAAAATTACGAATAAAGGTTTAACTTATCATTTATTTAATTATATAAATAATAAATAGTGTGTACTATAAGAATATTTGTATACATTTTCTATAGTTTATAAGGCATTCAATGATTATATTCAAGCTGATATTCTTGATGGATACAGACAATATCATGCTGGAGAGTATGGTTTACAAGATGCAGAAAAAGGAGTTATTTTTGAATCATTTCCTACTGTATTATATTTACATCTTGGGCGTTTCCGTTTTAATCCATCTACATTAAGTTTTGATAAACTCGATGATAGGTTAGTATAAAAATAATTTTTTTTTTAATAAAAATGTATATAATATTATATTATATTAATAAAAACATTTGCTATGCTAGATTTGAATTTTATGATAAAATTAATTTGGATCGATATTTAAAAGTAAAAGAAGATACTCCTGCTAATTATATACTGCATGCTGTTTTCGTTGAAAATGATTATAACTACGGTGGATATAATGTTGTTTTTATCAATACTAAAGGAGATGACCAAGTATGTTTACATTAAAAAGTAATTTAATGTAAATTAATAATTTAACTTTTGTGTTTTATTGAAGTGGTATATATTCGATAATGATGTTGTATCGAGATGTTCTAAAAAAGAAGCTATTGAGCATAATTTTGGTGGCAATGATAGAAATAAGGAAATTATGTCAATCAAGCCATGTAAAAATGCATACATGTTGGTTTACATAAGAGATTCTGAACTGAAAAATGTTCTGCAAGAAGTTACAGTTAATGATATACCAAAAGAAGTTAGTAAAGTAGCCAATACAAATTAATTATTTGGTGCGTGTTAGTTTACGGATATAATTTTATAGTAGTTTTTTACTATATTTTACCTAAGTAAAAAAAAACAGAATAATTCCACTAATAATTATATTATATAACCTCACTTTTCACAATTTTGGAGTTACTGCACTTCTTGATAGCAGGGCAGTATTGTGTCTATTTGAAATATCTTACAAAAATAAATAAAATACAAATACTAACTTTTAAACTAGTTAGTAAAATTCAACTTCTTCGTCTAACCTATAGGTTAGACTAAAAACTTCTTGTTGGTGATAGTCGTTGTGTTGATATCGAATGATAAGTATTAGGATTTTCTGTAGTTACTCATATATTTAGTTTTACATTTAAAAATGTATTATAATTTAATAGCTATCTTATTAATTTAACTCCTACAGTGATGTTGAAGGAAGTCAAACAATGGAAATTTTGTCAGTTATCTACTATTGATGTGGAGATAAAAGAAGGTAATTTTCTTCTAGATTTATATCTATCAAATTTCTTTGATAATTTATATTAATTTTAAAAACTTTGATCATATCGTAAAAAACATTATCTGTTTTTTAACTAATTAACTGAATACTAATTTATTTCATTTTGTAAATCTAAAATTTTTTTTTTACAATAAAGTTTATACTATTTAAAGAAAGAAAAACATTAAAAATTAAAATTGTTTTAACTATTTTTATGGTCCTTAGATTTAAATTTAGACTTCTCATTCTTTATCAGTTTGAAATAAGAAAAAAATAGAAGATATTTATTTAGTACTTGTACATAATTTTATTTTTTTAAAATTAAACCACTAACATTATCCATTTGGCAGCAAATACAATTTTAAATGTTCACAAAGGAGCACCATCAATTCCATGAAAATTTTTGCTCTGTAAAGATATTTATTATAGAATTATATTATGTAGAATAAATACGATTAGGAACCGTCTTTGTTTGGAAAATGCATTGTCAGGTAGTGTTGGTCTACAACATCAATATTGTGAGTATTTTCTTAATAATTTTGATATTGAGATGATCTGGGCTCAGAACAATAAAGTTGACGGACAAATAAAATTGATAAAAGCATAGCATGGCAATTGTATATGTATTATGTTTATATAAAGTAGATATTATCTACTGGATAATAAATTATGGCATGTTGCGATATATTTCATTAGTTCAGATTGTTTGCGGTAATAATTTTATTGTAAATTTCATTTTATACAAAATGAGTGAAAATTTTAAATTAGTACCCTTGACTGGTGATAGAACATTAGTATATTTTGCAAAATAAATATGAATGTATTACAAAAAAATAAAAAAAAAAACACGAGTAAAATATTATAACAATGTAACATTTTTAAAAAATATATATATACATAATGATGAATGCTGTTATGCATTATCTATAATGATTAATTTTTACATTATAATAAATTAAATACGTTTTTTCTATAACTGAGAAATTCAATATAGGTTATAGAAAACACAATAAAAAGGAAAAAAATTTTAAATATGCTAGTATTTTTAACAAAATAGTGCTTGCATTAAGTATGTATTACTGCTAAGACGTCACATTGAAATATGGTAGAATAATTTTTACTCTGAAGCTTGCATTTTTGTATAGGTTGTTACCTTACATACATTTAAGTTATCTGGATTTTGCTTACAAACATGGTTGAAGACTTTTAAAAGTAATTTTAATTGAATCTGAATTTGTTGGTATTTCCGATTTATAGGTACCTAGTGTTGTTCATATTATATCCATAATAAGCATTCATGTGATGTACAACTGCATGGCCAGCGAATGTCCAAGTAGACTAAATTTGTGATTGTATAGTTTTAGTTGTCGGTTTTAATCATGTTGTATAATTCAGGTATTGATGTGATACGAGAAACAAGTGAAATAAATTAAATAAGCTCGTGAGAAATAAAATATTAAAAAAAAAAACCTGATACTGGGCACGGGTTCAGCCATTGTTGTAGATGGAAAATTGAGAATATAAGATACATAAGATTATTTCATTTATATCTGTTAGCAACGATAAACCATTGCTGACAAAAGATAATTCCGAGCAAAAATTCAACAAAAATATGGTTTCTTGTTGTTGAGGAGAATAAGACACTATGTTATATCATCCCTTCAAAGTTTTCTCCTTGATCAGTATCAACTTTTTTTTATACTTCCGATGGTTGCATAATAAATATAATTAAAAACTTTTCCTAATAATAAACATTTTCTGTATTAATGTAAAATAATGATATCGTGAAATTGTACGTTATTATGAAAACCAATTCGAAAAAAAACGAACTGCACCATTATTAAAAACAAAATTAATAATTTAACAAAAATGGTCACTTGTCAATTGGAGCCATATTTGTGCTAAAAAACGTGGTAGATGATACTTATTTAAAATATCGAAATTGTGAAAAAACCACATTTTTTTTTCGATTAATAGTTTATATTCTAAATACCGTTTTGAAAACCAAAAAATAACCCATGTATTTACCAAGTAGATAAAATTGACTTTCTGAAAAAATGTTACATTTATACATCGGAAAGTTTTCTAGAATAAAAGTGGTCTACAGAAAAAAAAGTATTAAAATTACTCAATGAATATGATTAATATTGTATTCTATTTGGCTGGTATTAACATGAATGCCTTATTAAAATCATTTTGTAAGGAATATTGTGCATACATGTGTAACAACATAGAAACTGAATATAATCTTCCAGAAAAATATTAATTCTACACAAAATCATTGAATAAAGGAGGATTGAAGGAACCATGTGTAAATGTTCAAACACATACCTACAAATATAATGTATAAACTATGGTCATCACGAAATTGCTAACTCAAGGTTGTTAAGGGAGATGAGTGTAATGGAAATATGGAGGAATATAGTATAAGTCTAGTAGCTAACCCTACTTGTGTAAGATAATGGCAAACATAAAAAAAAAAAAAAAATCATACCTACCTATAATATATCAAATTGTATTTTCTTAACAAATTATTACAGAATATTTGGTAACAAAAATCCACTGATTACTTTGAATATAATTTAAAATAAAATAAGTTAACAATTTAAACAAAAACATGGTGATACATTTTATAGTAAATTTAAAATAGTAACTTATTATATTTATATAAATATTAAATAATAATAAATAAAATATTTGCAAAAATATGATTTATTTATTATTTTATTACAGGAAACTAAATTAATAATAAAACTTTAATAAATTAGAATTAGACTCAGATATAGAGAATGTAATTTCATGTTTCTTACACAGGAACTTATTTTTTTAAAATATAATAATGACCAAAAAAAATGACATTACTAATTCCATCCAAGTGTTACATGAGTAATGAGTAAATATGCAGTAGCTATAATAACGCTACCTAACATTACCGGATATCCAACTCTAAAACAAAAATATGTATTATATAGTTAGATAATATGTTAAAAGTATCATTAAAACATTTAATATTCAATATTATATTATATAAATTCAATATTAATTACAATGGAGACTTACCCCAAGTCCTAGTAAAACTGAAACCACAGCTTTCCATCTCAATAACAAAATGGCAGACTATAACCTGGAAATTACCTACCGAGGAACCAGACTAAAGCATGTTCCCTACCCAAAATATCTGGGCGTCACTCTGGACAGGACATTGACCTATAAAACCCACTTAACCAACGTTGCATCTAAGATTGACTCCCGCATCAAGATAATTCAAAAATTGACAGGTACAGATTGGGGCGCTGACTCCTTGACGTTGAGAACTTCCACTATCACTTTAGTCTACTCTGTCGCTGAATACTGTTCTCCGGTATAGTTAAATAGCACGCATGCCAAAAAGGTGGATATCAAACTCAATCAAAGCATGCGCATTATATCAGGCACAATCAAGACTACCCCCCTCGACTGGCTACCCGTTCTCAGTAGCATCATCTCTCCCCAACATCGACGGCAAACAGCGTTACTTATATTGTGGCCAAAACTCAGTAACAATACCACCCATCCAATTCATGAACACTCGAAATTCTGTAACAACCTATGCATACACAGACTTAAGTCACGTAAACCTCCGTGGGAAACTGCTATTAAACTTCACACTGTCAAATATGGCGCAGTACAATGCTGGAAGGATGAATGGGAAAAATCAGAATTAAGTAACTCATCACTCATTAAGAACCCTACAAACAAAAAAACCTGGCTTCAATTTACCACGGAGAATCTGGACCACCTTAAACCGATTACGTACAGGTCATGGAAGAGTGGGACATTTTATGCACAAATGAGGCATTACTCCTAACCCAGGTAGTGATTATGGTGCCCCCAACCAGAACATAGATCATATCATACGAGAGTGCCCTAAGAAAAAGTTCGGAGGAAATTTTTAACGCGACCCCAGAAGCTATCGAATGGGTGAAAAGCCTGGACATTATTCTATAGTCATTATACTTTTATACTTTTATACTTTTATACTGTTGTTTATACCAATTGTTATTATATTCTGTTTTGCTACCTGCTTATTACTATACATAAATTATATATATATATATATTGTTACATTGTCTATGCTATACGAATAAATAAATAAATATTAATCAAAATTACATCGCTAAATATAGAATATATTTTATTTAAATAAGAAAGTTTATTTATATATTTTGACTATAAACAAATAATGATTCCAATAAAAAAAGCTTATGTTTTAATTGAAAAATATTTAAAAATATAATATAAAAAATACATATATTAAAACAAAATTTGAAGTTTAAAACTTAATTTTGCATAATAGTTAAAATATGAAATAAAAATATTAAATAAAGATATTCCCAAAATTTAAACAATTTGGTGAAAAAATATTATTTAAATTTTTAAGTTATTGTTGTTATTATAAGTAAAATTAATACCTACTAATCCAAACATAATCTTTTTTCATAGATTCATAATAAATTGTAACTAGTATTTTTAAATAGTATTACATTACTAGTAACACCATTAGAATGTTAGTCTTATAGGCACTAAATAAAAAAAAATTCTTTAAAACACATCAAATAGCTAGTTTTTACCCAAAAACTATCATGATATCAATTATTAATATTTTATAAATTTATTTTGTTTTATTCTATTAAGGATGCGTTTTTAAAGGACCCAATCTAAATTAAAGCCTTAAAAATAAATTCTCAAATACTAATCTTTTTAAAACCAAGACATTTTTAGTAACATTTAATTGTACTCTATGGTACATAACAAATGAATTGTAGCACCCTTAAAAAAACTTATTCTTTCAATAATAAAAAAGATAGACATAACAAATATTCATAATTTAAGCCATGATTTCACAGTTCACAATTTTGTTCTTATTTTTCAATGACAGAAATTAGTTTGTAGATTATTATAGTTTTTAAATTTTGTGGATATTTCCATGGTTTTATAAGTGATACTAAAATGAAGTTAGTTAAAAAAAAAATTATATGGATACTTAAAAATTAAAAAGAGCTTATTCCTAATTCAATTACTTGAAAAATTGCACAAAAGACATTCGGTATCCATGCTGTTCAGCTACTCCAGCACATACCATATTACACGAAGCAGCAATAAGTGTTCCATTTCCTAAACATACATTTTATTAATGTATTCAATTATATAAACATTATAAATGCTAGAGAAAAATATTTAATAATCCTCACCGCCAAGACAACCGCCAAATGCTAGAGCATAAACCAAAGGTTGTAATGGTAGTTCTAGCTCATGGTTTTGAGACATTGATATTATCACCTTTATCATCATAGTAGTTAGTGGAATATTGTCAACAAATGAAGACACAATAGTAGAAACCCAAAGGATTAAAATAATAGCAACAGATAAACGGTATTCTTTGGCTACACACATAATTATCACCTCTGTCTGTCTACCAACCCATTCAATCAATCCAAGATCAGATAGAGCCTGAAATTCATATTGTAAAAAAAAAAAGTGTTGTTTTAATTATTCTATTTTACACATTACCCCAATTAAAATAAATAGAGCGGCAAAGAAAGATAATGTGGCCCACTCAATCCGACCCAGTACACATTCAATGTCAACATGGTCTGCAAGTATTAGCAGAAGTAGTGTCCCAAGTAGAGCAATCCATCCAAGACTAAGATTTAGTTGAGGAATTGAATGGAGGCAGAATAGTGTTATAACAAATCCTAATGTAACAGCACATTTCCATAATAGACTTTTATCTAGCTTACTGCCCTAAAAAAAACACCAAATTATATCTATTTACTCAAAGGAAATAATAGTATTATAAATATGGAATTACTTACCTTATCCAAGAAATCCTTAACTGAGTCATCATAAGATTGCTGTCTGAAAAAAATTATATAATTACATTTTTTAGAAAAGAAAAGAACAATTATATGAGTAATTAAATAACTAATGACAAATTAAATTTAAAAAAAAAAGTTAATAATTTTATTAAACGATAAATCATTGCTAACGAAATATGATTCTGAGTAAAGTTCAGTAGTATGTTTTAAAATGTTCATCAACATTTGCATTTTTAACGCATATAAAAAATAAATAAATAATGTATTACGCTAAACCATTTAGTACAAACTATGATGAACCTCGTGTAAAATCATCAAGAATTTCTGATCATCCAAATAAAACTAAACTAACTCTAAAATATTAAATACCTATTATAATTACAAGATTTTAATATTATTACTGTTTTAATAATATACCAGTAAATAATTAACAACTTGGTTTATTATTATTATTGTTAAATAATTTATATAATAATTCATAATTCCATTTAAATTTATAGGAAATATCTATGATTTTATTCTACAAACCCTTCAAATACCATATTATTTATTAATGCTCATGTAGATACATTTAATTTAGTTATATTATATAACCAAATAACAATTTCGAGTAAAGTTTAGTTTAATAAATGCTTAAACCAGTGTATACAACTATTTAGTAGTTTTCAATTGCATTAATTGTATAAAATATACAAACATTTAAATAAAAATCAGAAAAATGTTTAAACCGCAAGAACTATTATTATCAGAGCTAAAAATAAATGACTAAAATAGAATTTATTAAAAGTTGTATTATTAATTCTATTGTTTAATCAATTAATAGTTAATATATAATTTTTTATATATCTTAATAATTTATTATGGGGTATTTTCGAATAAAAAACCTAGTATATTTGTACACAAATATTATAGTATAATATCACATCATTTAAATATAGTAAATCCCTGAGGTGCTTTATATCAAAGAAAATTTAAATGATCAAAACAATAAATAAATAATTTAATGGTTTATTTTCTACTTAATATATATATATTTAATAACTTACTGCTATTATTATTACTTATACCTTTCTACTGGTAAATTATCATCAATCTTGAAACCTTTGAGTGTATCTTTAAGTTTGGAAAATATAACTTTACATTTCCGTAAAAGTTTATCTCTAACAACACCTTCTTCTTTAGAATATGATGACAACGAAGATGCAGCTTTTTGCCAAATTGCTAATTCTTGTCTTAACTCTGTGTATTACAATAATAATAATTATTAATTAATATCAAATTATTTGATTCAAATCAGCACAAAAGTAAAAATTTGTTATATACCAGTAACATTAGAAGGTTCTGTAAATTTTAAATCCTGCATATTACGAAAAATAAACCTCAAATGTAGGTTAACTGTTATAAATATGATTGCCAATCCAGCACCCATATGCATTGAAAATGTTGTAAAAGTAATTCCCTGTAAAATAATCATAATATTATCATTAATTAATATGATAATTAGTTAACTTACACTCTCAATGACATCCTTATTTGTTCCAATAATAACATTTGGTGGATCACCAATCAATGTTAAAGCTCCTCCTAAGTTAGCATAAAATATTATACACATGAGAGTGGGCACTGGATTCATTTGCATTACTTCACATAACCTAAGACAGAAAAATTGTCCAATAAATATTTTTAATATTATTCAAATGGGTTACTTTATAACAAATTAATATATCAATAATGTAAAATCTGTTGTATAATACAGAATTAAATTTAAGTCAATTTTTTAAAATAATAATTGAAATTAGTAAAATCACCTTATGGTTATAGGTGTCATAAGAAGAACGGTCGTTACATTGTCCAACACAGATGACACCATGGCAGTAAACATGCACAATGTATTAATTAACGGCCAAATTTTACCTTTTGTTCCCTAAAATAAAAATCATAGATAGTTACCTTGTTCAAAATAGACACAGTACTAAAATGTAAACAATTATTGTTCATACTTTGTAAGCCAAAATTGCCAAGTAATCAAAAATGCCGGTTTCGGATAAAATACCAACAATAACCATCATACAAAATAGAAGAAGCAATGTTTCTATATCTACCCAAGAAGACAGCTCATCTTTTGTAGGCCTCTATCAATGACAAAAATTACATTAACATGTGAAAAATTATACTTTTGAATTATTTATTAGTTACTTCATCTAAAAGTGCTAGAATGGAAATTGATGTTGTGGCTGCTAATATTGCTGCAATAGATTTATGTATAACCTAAAATACATTGTTAATAAACATATATTTGTATAATAATTTTAGGAGACGGATATTTTTAAAGAATATTATCAGTCTTTCGTTGTTCCTAAATACTGCAAGTTGATTATAGAAGAACATAATATTTTTAAAAATGTACTGACCTCGGTTATGATGAGTACATAAAGGCCAATTAATACAAGTGCAGCATAAATAATACCATATTCTGTATTAATAGGAAACAGATCATATGTCAATGCAATAGGGAAATTGGTGTTCAATGTAGTGTTCATACAGAGTTTAGTATCACCATGAAGAGTTGTACTAAAAACAAATGTCTCATAATAAAACCACAAATAAGCACAAAACATAGTATTCAGTTTATTTTCTTACTTGGGAGACAGACGATTTAATTTGAAAATTTTATTTTGATGCATTTCAGGAACAACTTCAAGAAGTGGTTCACTTACAATCGGTATTGACCATATTTCAGTTATATTCTGGCGACAACAATTAATTACATAATACATTATTGCTAACTAATTGCTATTATATTATTGATTGTTAATGAATATTATATAGGTACCGTGTGTTGTAAATTTTCAGGCTTCAAAACCTCCAATTTTTTGGAATTATTATTTTCTTCAGATGTTTCAAATTCTACCCAAACGTTCAAATAATGAGTTGCCAAGGCACTATAATAATCGGGCATAAAAGCTCCATCCAGCATTATTTGTATTTTATTTGTCGTGGGCATATGATTTTTATATACTATTTGAGCTAAAATAAAAAAAATTCCATTTGTACATTAATATTGATTGTTTGCTCATAATTAAGGTAGGTATTAAAAGAAAATATTATAGAAAACATAAAATTATAATATTTGTACAATACTTTTGGTTTCGTTGGGAGCTAACGTCACTTGATGTACGTCGTCAATTTTTTTTTCTTGCTTTGCCATTAGAACAATCTACAAATAAAAATGTCAAAATGCAAAATAGAAATAAAATAAAATAGAACGTACACAATACATATGACTATTTAATACAATACGAATAAAGCTTACGGTACAAAAAATCCATATGCATATGAGTACAAATGAAACGCAATATTCTCTGCTCGATTTTTTTGTCTTTTGAAGAAACGCATTATCTTTATCCATTCTACGGTTGGCAAAAGTATACAGACAATTTTATAAAATTATTATGTAGGCGGGCGAATCGAAATACCATTAACAAGCACTTACTTCTCCGGGTATTTGAACGACATCTTCCTACGAGACGACGGTTCACACTCGGCATTTGATTGCCACGATGGGGGACTGGCACCGCATTCGTTCACAAACCTACCGAAAACAAATAAAACGGACGGATGAAAATAGAACGGACAGTATTAAAGAAAACGAAACCTATCGCCCGAATCAATGGGTTTAGTTATAACAATGTGTGAACACACCTTTGATACATCGTGTGGTCGGTATTATTTTCGACGACTACTTGTTTTAGATTGTTGCGGAGTGCGTCCGCGGCGTAATTGTTTTTCACCATTTCGCGCACGTTTGTAGGTAGGGCGTTAGGTGTTTTATCGTCAGTAAGCAGGTAAATGGCAATTCGTTGTTATTGTTTGGGGAACAGAAGAGAAAAATAAAACCGACGCGTATGCAGAAAAAAAAAAAAATGTTATATTTACCAATTTACCTATAATATGTAACGCTTAACCGAACCGAACGGGGGAAAAAAAAAAAAAAAAATAATAATAAAATAAACAACAAACAACACCGAATATTTATTATTTACTCACGCGAACGGCGGACGGCTGTTGACGGGATTTTTTTCAGTCATCGTTCAACAGGCGCAATATCCGAACGGCGGGTTTTCAACGCGCAACACACGGTCGAAAGTCGACGTCGGTTCAAACGGAAAAACAAAACGATTGTCGCCGCTGTCGGCGCGGTCGACCGTTTTCGCACTGTTAATAGCCGCAATAGTTAATCGCGCTATCGCTAATCGTCCGCGCGATGATACAGTCGTGTGTGTGTGCGTTACAGGTAATCGCGTTGTGCGCCCATCGCATTCGTACGTTTTCTCGTTAACCGCGATTCGTAATTCACGAACGGTCGTCCGCGCGCCGTTTGACGAGCCGAAAACGACAGCGTATTGCGTGACGTTCCGCGCGGAGTACCCACAGAATCCGGCGGACGCGCGGGACTCTGTCCGGAACCGTCCGGATCGGGTGTCGGCCGCGGCGTAACAACGGACAATGACACGTTTGAGTAGCCGCTCGCGACGTTCCGACCGTCTGGATTTCGGGCATTGCGGACATCGGCAAAATAATAAGGAACATCGACCGGGGAACGGGGGGGACTGTTACCGTACGCGTCGGCCCGGCCGGATTATCGATGGGAGCAGAAGGAAAAAAAAAAAAACGTAGTTTTCTTTGCCCGCCTATAGAGAAAAAATAAATAAATACGCACCGTGACGTATTTCCCGTACGCACCTGTCCGAAGTTTGAACAAGTGTCGCGCGAAAACGTTTTTTTACACACACAGCGGTTGCACGCGATACTAATGTGTGCGTATGAATACTCAATAAGCGTTGTCGCCGTCGCGGATGGGGGAGGGCGCGCGCACGAACGTTTTGATGTTCGCCCGTTACGATTCGCAGCACGCGTCTAAAAACGAATAAAACGTGTTGCGTGCCGTAGCGGCGGCACGGAATAGCAGCGATTTTTCTGAAGCAGCGATCGTCGCAGACCGCCATTATGATTTTAGTGCTATCGCACTGCTATTTGCCACTCACTCCGGTGTGAAAACAAGTGCCCGCAGTACCTATCATTACACTCTGATTCGTGGTCGTGTAATATGCATACAAAAAGTGCAACGTCGAGGCGAGTTGCGACTTGCAGTTACAGCGACAATTGCTGCGGTACAGTTGTTAAATAATTGTGCATTGTTATCGTAATGCGTCCGAATGGCAGCTGCAGACATTTTTCATTGTTACAGTTACTGCTATTGAAAAAATATCACAGTCAGTCGCAATCCAGGATATGTTCCGAAGACTCGTGGCTCAATGTACGTTATCACACATTCAGACGGTAAATTCACAGATTTACGGAATTATTCTTTATATCTATCTGTGGGTAAAATAAAATTACTGCCCGATTTGCAGATTGGTTAAGAAAAATTACACCGCGTTCCGGAAATTGCAACAGTGTTCGTGATTTAGAGCAACTTCTCGAAGCCCCACAACTTCCATCTAGAACAGGCGTTGACATTTCATCAGTCAAGTTTGACAACCTCGAAAAACGGTCGCTGTTGGACATAGACACGTGGTTCAAGGATTTGTATTCGATACGACCAGCGTCGAATACTGAGCGGCTAACATGGAGCTCGCACTCTACTAGAACTGCGATTAGATAGATAATTTCTATAGTTAACGTGCCGTCATATTTTCGAAACGATTCACCGAGCTGTAATGAACGAAGCATATTGCTTCAAACGTCATAATATAATATTAGCCGGATAATGAAATTTTTAAAAGATTTAAAAATTCGTGGAATGAAGTTTATATAGGTACAGCAAACATTTATTATCATTGATCAAAATTTAAAAAAAAAAAACCTGTATTGCCAATGCGCGAAATCATTTTATCATTTTGTTTAATATAAATTGCGGAAGATCAGCCTAGAAAAGATTACAAAGAATTCATCGAAATTATTAAGTGTACCTAATAAGTAATAATACTTGAGAGGATTAAAATTCGCACGTCTGGAACTTTTGTTTGAAAATAGTTTTACTTCGATCGGAATTTAAATTAAATAAAAAGAATGAAAATGCTTTGAATCGAATTTGTGCATTTATTATTAAAATTTACATAAAATCGTGGTAGGTAATGCTCCATGCACCGGTAATGTACGTTTAAAAAGATGGGTGTAAAATTGATATGGAAGAATCCAATGAAAAATGCACGAGGAATGAGAACCAGAAACAGTTTTTATTACAAGCAATGAGATATTACCTGTCTCAGTCAAAAACGTCTGAAGTCCTCAAAGGTGCCTCCAGACAAAAAGGCCCGCACGCGCCTCAATATGGACGGCTAACCGCACGAGACCGCATGGCATTAGACGATCGCTTGGTGGGACCGCACGCATGGTAGAAAATGCACCCAAGCTTTGATACGTTTATTTATATAAAAAATTGCAAATGGAATGCGTAATTATCGCGTGAAGGCGATCGTGGAGGTATTACTTCTATTTGGGATCTGTGATGTGCCTATAATTTCAGCGCCCCAGAGATTAGTGGTCTAGTTGCGCCTATGAGTGTAAAAATAAAATGGTTAATCCTGATATTTTTGGTGATTCAATTTTTTCTAGGAAATTAAATTGCATGCATTTTTTTATATATACACTAGCTGTCCCGCTATTAATTATTAACCACTATTATTAACCGCTATTATCCATAACGGATACAATTTAGGTCCAGTATAATAAAAATTGACATAATTATTAATCGTAAAGCTATTATTTTGATTACGTAGAAAACGACTTATCGTCATTTTCGACTCGGGCGGTAAATCATCAAACAGATATTAATACTAGCATACGCGACAATAACTCTCGGCGACCGGCCGATGGAAACATCCGATATGTATTATATTACATACCGACTCGACGTTCGAAGTAGCGGACGATAATAAAAATAATATTTGATAATTATTGTTTTCCAGTACCTATATGTGATAATGTTAGTGGTAACTAAAAATAGCTGCGAACACTTGTGCGGTGATAGTATGTATGTGCATGTATAGTGGTGGGTATGGGGAGGGGCGGCGGCGTGCGATCCATATAGGTATAGAAAATAATATTCGAGAAAAAAAATAATGTTAATAAATAAAAAAAGTGGGCGTAGTCAAAATAGGTCGATGAAGAGGTGGATGGTTCCCTGTTCCCCCTTGCTCCCTGCTCCCCCTGAGTTAGAACCATCTATTTGACTCTACTTATAGATTATAGAAAAACAAAAATATACAAAAAATAAAAACTGTCGAAATTTACGCACGTCATGAACATTATTATACAGCTAGTACTAGCTTTTTTTATAACTCATTAACTTTTTCATACTGTTACGAAAGTTAACTGCCACTATTTTCTTTTCTCACTTAAAATGTCGAGTTAATTGCCTACGGAAAACCCCTTAAATACGGGAGGTTGCTCGATCAATCAAATAATACGGTCGGACTTGAATTAGTTGAAGGGACCGACAAAAATATTCGAGTTATTCGTTAATCGTTCTAATGCCGATATCCCAAACAATTACCTTAAAGATGTACAAATTGAAACGTAACGAAACATTAAAGTGTATACATACTTATATGAGTCGATTACGTTATCGAGTGGTAAACCAGTTGTACAAACAATGTTAGTAATCATAACATTAATAAACTTTACTTTCGATAGTAAATGCACATTCATATCTATAGGAATAACCCCGTATATCATTGATCCTAATCAAATGTGAACTTTGAGTTATCCACGAAATATTTGAACTAAACGGGATTTTAGATTCTGAGTAGAGCGAAGCTTATAGTTTTACAAAGATATTTATTTTTTTTTTTTTATCTACGCACAACTTTTCTATCAGAAGACTTGCTCGGATTTCTACGTGTAGCACCTTTTCTGAAGGGAAATCGACGTGGGGAAGTACTTGGTAGTAATGGTAAGTTTACGATTTTTTCAAGAATTTTCTCATCAAATGCGAAAAATCGAAGAAAAAAAAATGGACAAATTTACAAAATATAATAAATATAATCTTAAGATTTTTTTTTTTCTGTTGACAACTTTTCTACCAGCAATTTCGCTCTAACTTTTAATGATGGCAATGTTTCTAAAAGAAAATTTCACTAGGGAAGTACTTTAGAAAGTAATTTTTAATTTTCCCGAGTTTTTCCAGCAAATGTGAAAAACCGGGATAAAACATGGACAAACCGGGGAAAGCGTAGGAAAATCGGTACAACATGAAACAAATATTATTGAAGAACATAAATAAAGCCTATTTAATTATTTGACTATAAAATGACATATGTATTGTTGACAAAGCATCACTATCAACTAAACTCCAATCAGAATCGTTTTTTCGTAAGCAATGGTTTATTGTTGCTTATCTATAACAGTGGCTGTACACATCTCTATTATCCTAGGACGTCTTTTTTTACATTGTTTAATTAGGAAATTCTAGAGACTGTAAAAAAAGTCCGAGGTATCAACGATTTCGAGTTCAATAAGTACGACTGTATTCGTATACGTGTTTATTAACATATAACTAAGTATAATATTATGTTATACGGTGCATTTTAAGGCTCACTGTCGTTTCTATTGACCATTTATTATGGATTTGAGTGTACATATACATCAAAAGTAATATGTAAAACACTTTGGCAAAGTCAAAAATCGAAATATTGTACGAACTCCGAATAAATATTTTTTTTTTAGAGAAATCTCAAGAATGAATGACTTATAATTTATGGATTTGCGTTTACAAATGACTTAAAAATTTAGTTGGAAAATATTAAAGTTGTGCGTCTAACTTTATGGACTTATATTATCATGTTAAACGTTTTTATATTGTCGTAATATTAGGTTGTATATAGAGTGAATATGCTGGATTCCATTAATCGACCAAGTTTTTTGTTTAAGATTAATTATTGGACGGGTTCTGTCAGTTCTGATATATTTTACATAGGTAAAATATAATTTATTGTAACTTGCATACAATAAACAAGTTGGTGTTCATATGGTGAAAATTGTGTGTTACAATGTTGGTAGATACCTTTTCTTATATAGGAATTGGGAGTCATGTAGATTTTTGCTCAAATATCATATATATATTATACATATAAACAATATAAGTAAATATACGCAATCAAATAAAAATGAACTATACTTAATATTAATAATTATCACAAAGCGTTAAATTAGGTATCTTTTATCAGTTAATCTTTTTGTGTAGGTTCAGAGGTGAATTTATAACAACACATACAACTTTTAATTTTCTACCAATAATTCTGAAGTACACATAGGTAACAAATTTTTAAGCATTTTAAGAAAAAAAAAAAATTACTAGTTATTCATTTTGGAGGTATCTAATAAAAAAGTTGAAAATTTGTCACAAAAAACAACAATAAATATCATAATAATTGTATGATACATTCGTATGTTACAAATAAAATAAAAAAATTGGTTGTTCTATAAAATCCTAGAATTTGCATTTTTATAAATCCACCATCAGGCGTCATAGTCTAAAATTATAGGTAAGTACTATTAATTAGATAATGTTCAAAATAGTTTTAAGTACAGAGTTTTAACATTTGATACTATACAAATTAAAATTAAATAATAATATCTAAATAATAATTTAATATAATAATAAAAATAAAGGAAGGCAACAATAATTCGTTATGGTAATTTTTTAACAAATTTCAGAACATTTTGTAATAGTTTCAATTAAAGTTTTCAACTGAGGTAGTTTGAGTTACCAATTAATATTAATACAAATATAAAAAAAATCCCTGAAATTCCTTTAAAAAACAATAAATATATGAATAACAAAAATACTTATCTATTTTTAATGAGAATCTCTGGCCATTGTATCAATAATTATTTTTCAATATTATTATGTATATCAATGTGAAAAAAAAAATTAATTATACATTATGAGCATTTTGTGCGTAAACAGTTTTTATGAGTTAAAGATGACTAAGCAAATAGCAAAGGCCTCATAATAGAGCCAAGAAGTATGAACACAATAATGACTTAGAAAAGTACAACACAGATTGTTTAAATGCAAAAAGCACCAAAATATGACTTTGTAGCGAGTCTTCAAACTCTTATAAGCATTGTGGAATCAGACTTATAAGCTTTGCGGTGAATTTATGTTGTGCATCATACCGCTCATGTGTTCAATTTCTGAAAGTTAAACAAAAGAATAAAATTATATTTTAAATTTTTTGAATATATAATTTTTTTTGAAGTGAACACACAAACACAACTGCGGAAAAATAATAACTAACAAACATAACAGTATTTAAATGTTATATTGTTTCAATAAAAATAATAAATTATAATAAATAATAAAATATAATAAAAACAAACAAAAAGCAACATACAATTAAATTTGGCATGGATTAACAAAAGCTATAATGTATAAATTAATAAATGTTTAAAATAAATTATTATATTTTATGTGTGCTGTGTGTTCCTTCGTTATGAAATTTTTTCTTTTATGCCTGCTGCTTTTTTGGCTTCGTTTTTAATGATCATCTGAGTAGTAAGATATGATTCTCGCTTAATTCTGTCACTGAGTGCATTGGGTATATCTGGTATTAGCCACTGAACAGCAACTTTCACCAAGGATACAATATTCTGAAAAAATGAAGGATTAACACATAATTCAATTAAATGTATATGCTTTTTTACTTGAAAGATAACAATGAATGTAAGGCGTGCAACCAGTACTTCATAATAAAATGTAGGCCTTTCATACTTTTGTGGTGACCATGGTGGATTTCTGTAGTCTTTGTAGCTAAAATAATAATAAATAATTTAACTTTTTTATTCAACAGTACTGAAATAGAAAAATTATAAAGTAACATTATTTACCGACAATAAGTAATATTTGTATATGTTGGCGATACTGGAGCAGCACGCTCTTCAAAGTCTCTGATATCGAAATAAGCTAATGTACTGTTTAAAAAGCCAGTGTCTGTTTTGTTTTCACTTACCATGTTTATGTACACCATACGAGGTATGTAATTTGAAGAAAATGCAATTATGAATGCCTATCAAAATTAAATAACTTTTAAGAAAATATTTATTAATTTATTGTTGATACAGTATAATACTTACATTTGTAATAACAGCTAATTTTCCCAAGATATCCAATACACGATACCACACTCCAATGTTCGGCACTCTATGAGGGATTGGTCGACGGAAATATCTTAAAAACTTTTTTGCGTCCAATCGCATTTCAAACACATTATTCAGTAAAGCGAAAAAAGGACCCAATGGAAATGCAGTTACAAACAGTGTTACAAAACCATACTGCATAACTAAAATATTAAGAAAAGAATAAATTCAACAATGTTGTATTGTTTAAATTTATATTGAAATGTTTTACCCATCTCTAAATATTCTGGAAAAAGTCCTCTTGGTCCCCAATCCAAAAGTTTATAATCTTCAATCCAAGGTTTTTTCACAGCTGCTGCTAAATCTTCTTCTTCAGATGATGATTTTTGATTATCTAAGCGACCAGTGTTCTCAGACAACGAATTGAACCAATTTAAACCCACACTAAAAAAGAAACTTTTATTATTTTATCAAATAACAAATTTCCTTGGTAAAATATATGATTTATTGTATTTGAAATTTGAATTACTCACGGAATTATCATTTCAACAACAGTGTTCAATGCTTGTTGTCCAACCATAATTATAAACAATTGGATACTTAGTTCCATAAGACATCCACCAGGACTGCACTAAAATCACAATGTTAATTATATACAGACAATATAAAAAATGCATATAATATATTACCTCTTCTTGTCGCAGACCAAATATTCGTAGATATTTGGCAGGATAACCAACATTTTTTCCTTTCAAAAAAGCTATATAAATTATTGATGTATAATAGTTAACAAATTGGAAAAGATAAATTTTTATTGTTAAAGATTCATCAAATTCTGATTGTGTGCGTAATAGTTCCATTTCAGTCAAATAAATGGCAACTTTATCATAAACCTAAATAATGTAAGTAACATAAAAATTACAAAGTTTATTAATTTTAAATTTAAAAAATAATTAATAGTAGTTGATTTTATTGATCTGTTTAATGTAAGAAAGATTTTTCACACACCAAATTTAATATTATTTTCTAATAACCAACATAAAAAAGATGTTGATGGTACAAACGCTATATTATATTATGGGTCTATTGGATTATATTTCTGCATTTCTTGTTCTACAGAAAATGCTTTTAAGTATAGCACAACTTATTTATAGCAAAATTATTCAAAATTGATTAGGTGAATATAAATGGAAAAATAAAGAGATTTCTGTCATTTGTCTGAACTATCGTCAGTTTTAGAACACAATAAATATGTTAAACAAAACTTAAATAAATATTTAAAAATCAAATCAGTATGTATTCATACTAGTATTAAATTCTATTATTTTGTAAATATTTTATTTAAACTCAATGCCTTGATATTAATTAGTTTGGTGTTCAAAATTTAATAACATAATTTAAAATTAAATTTACCTAAAGATAATTTATTATAAGAAGACTTAAGAATAAAAATAAATTTAATAATTTATTAAATTATTAGATTAAAAAATATAGATATATATGTTAACTTACAAAATTTAATAATTGGATGCAAACCAAATTAATGATTGCAGCTGTGGTTGGGATAAATATATTACTATAACTACTCATCCAATCAGACTGATTTGTAACGCTAAGTGATGCTATAACAGACATACGATAAAGCACTACTCCAAATACAGCAGCGATTGCAATCATAATCTTAAAAACACATAGTTAATTATAAGTTTAAGAAAAAATTAAATATTATTTTAAATGAACCTTACCAAAAACAAAAGGACAGAAATGCTAAATAATGTAGCCGGGATTTTTTTCCACAAAGGTACAGTCGGTTCAATATTTCCAGTAACTAAGTTTATTTTGGTGTGATTAGTTCCAGATAACCGTGCTAAATATTGTGGTCTTGGATGTTCGGCTTCAAATGTGAATCCTGTCAAACCCCAGCGATGTGTAATTGTAGCTGAATATCGTTTCCATAGTTCAAGAAACATAGTGGCTAGAAAAATAATTAAAGTATATTAATTATCAGTGATATTCATAATGTTATAAAAATATTAATTTACCCCAAATAGACATAAGAAAAGCAAATATCACAGTCAAGTCATTGTCGAATAAATATGTTAATCTTGCATAAAAACATGTATTTGAAAGTTCCCAATAATCACATGTACGATCACACAATGGACACATTATTGTGTCTGTTGCATTACAAATATCAGAACTAAATATAAAATAATATGAATTAACAAGTATAAAAATAAGTGAAATATATTAAAATGAAAATATCAAATTACCTAAATTTATTTTTAGGAAATGTGAAAATACCATAGAAGAAAACAATCAGACCCAAAATAGCTGCTGGAACTAACATGTGTGTATAGAATCCTAGCCATGTAAAATAAAAAGCATATTTCACTCCTAGGTATTCTTTGATTTGATCAATGGGCTGTTTACGAATCCATTTACTCATCATAGCCCACTCAACATATAGTTGATGTCGAAGTGAATTCCCAGTCATATGTTCTCCCTAAATAAAAATGATTTGTTTATTATTAATAAATTATAGTACAGCGCTAGTAACCATTAATAGTCAAAACATACCTTGACTATAACCTCTAAAAGTAAAACATAAATAGTTATTTATATTTAAGTTTTTCCAACAAAATCATAATATTAAGTTAATCCGTTAACAAGATATTCTAATCTTAAGTTTGGGTTGGAGGAGAATAGTAGAGTATCATTTGTGTGATGGTATGGAGGGTGGTGTATTAATAATGTGTCACTACTCTTCTCCAACTCAAACTTAAAAGTGGAGTATCTCGTCAACAGATTGACAGAAATCAAAAAATGTTAACAATTTATTTTAACTAATACTCCATCTATTTAGGGACTTTTTAATATAGGTTGCCTTTTAAAATCAAAAGTAGGTAGTGATTTTACCCCCCAAAATAAGAGTGACAAAAAAAAAACATAAATATAAAATTGTGGAGCTGCTTGTTTCTTAAATGTTCTAAAAAATAAATAATAAAGTTAATATTTTCCGAGATAATGAGTGTAAAAACTTAAATGGATCACCTTGTATATTGATATTTAAGAAAGTATTGTTACTTAAATTGATAAAGATAAATCAAATTTTAGTATATTTTATAATTTACTAAAAAGGTTAAATGATCCATAAATCAAAATAATCAAATTTAATTTAATATTAGTGTTTTATCTACATCTTCATTAACGGAAAAAAAAAATTATCGTTTGAAGTACCTAATATTACCCAATAATTTACATAACGAATGATTATTGTAAATAATAAAATAATTTAAGTAAGCATTTTAAATCAAAATATAACTTGAAAGTTTTAAATTAAAATAACTATAAAATATGGAACCAGAATAACTTATGATAGAAATCACAATAGTAATAATAGTATTAATAAAATAATATTATGAAAATTGTAACATGTCTAGAAAGTGCTGATGTAAGCAAACAATAATATAGGCTAATATAATAAAAATTAATTACAATAAAAAAACAAAATAACAGAAACAATTAATGCATAATTATTTCCACAATTCCAAAGTTTTTTTTTAAATGGACTTTGCAATCCATTTTACATAGGTAATTATAGATTATTAACATTTAAGATATAATATGACTCACACAAAAACACACATAAAATAAAATTAAAAAAAATAATATAGGTACAAGTAATTAAGTTGTTTATTAAGAAAACTATTAGGAAAATCAAAAAAAATCTCTTTTTTTGGTCTTCCTCTCCCCTCTTCTCTCCTATGTATATTTTTATAAATAAAATGTTGCATGTAGATAATAATTTATTTACACCCTTATATTTACTTTGTTCTTGAAAATTAAAATGTTTATTAAAAATACGCTATTAGTTAAATGAAAATGATCAGTAAGTTACTTTGAATAATATCATAGCTTGACACAAATATTTATTTATTTACATAAAATATGATTAAGTATTGAATACAACCTTAAAAACATTGGTTAAAACTTTGATTTTAAACAAATAAACACAAGAGTTGCTGATTGACATAAATACAAATTTAGTTTGACCTTAAAAATCAAGGTTTTGTTCAACACTTTCTATATAGATAATCATTTTAATAGTATGTGGGTACTAGGTAAATTGAATAATCAGAATTGTAATACTGTATAGTATATAATATTGTTCTATTAATACTAAAATTAAAACTATAATCTAACTGTTTTAATTCTAATCAAATTAAAACTAACTTTAATTTGAAAAAAAAATAACACGAAAACTTACATCATGTAAAGGATAAGCAGCTCTGTATACACCTTCATCTAAAAGACACTGAATTCCAACACAGTTGACATCTCCTTGATCTTTTCCCCAGCTAACTCTATTTAAAATAAAGTCTATAACTAATGTCCGAACTTCCGCAGAAAAGAATTCTGGGTCATCTTCGTTAAATCTAAAATATATATATATATATAAATTTTATTGATTGCATATAGTATATGTAATATAATATTATAATATCATGATTATTTTCGGAAACTTACAAATAACTTTTTTCACGTGAATATTCTGCTGTTAAAATGTACGTATTAGGTTTAAATGGTCCAGGATCAATAGTGATAAAAATTCGTACAAGACAACCAATCATTTTTTTTACCTTGTCCAATACATCAAAACCTTTTTCTGGTGTATGTTCATTAATTGGGCACTAAAATGTGAAGACATTTTTTTTATAAAAATCTATAATTATGAAATGTATATTATTCAAAAATACAAACATGATTCAAAGCTAAATAATTATATAATGCAAATCTAAACTAACTATATGTTTGTATTAAACTTATAACTTCAATTCAAAATTACATATTCAAAAACAAAAGTTGCACTAAACAATTTGTTTATTACTTTCTATGTGTATATATTTTATTCGGGGAATGGAATTTATGGATAAACCTACAATTAATTTTCTACAAACAAATTTACCTCTTTCATAGGCATTCGTAGTTTCAATATTTCACAATATCTACGTAACACTGGTATAGGTGCATGCACTTTGACAAATGTCAACCCACCAACTACATCTTCTTCAAGCAGTAATCCTTGTTCTTTAATTCTTTCTTCAAAAGCAGATCTACGATTCCAACCATCAAAATCTACTGGTGCTTTGGCTTTGGATGATGAAACAAGTACAAAATCCACAGATATGTCACCTGGCGTTGAATCAAATGTTATGCTCTCAGGCTAGATAAAAACAAATCAAATTTCATACATTCAACTAAGTTGGCATAGTATTTATTTCTTTATAATAAATTAATAATACCTCTATAAAAATGATCTTTTCAATAAAGGCTATGTTATTAATAGAAAATAATAAAAAAAAATGTACCCTTATATGTTGAGCAGCCCCTGGAGAACCATTTATCAGATCCTGGGAACTAAGATATAATGACATACGAGATAACTCTAAGTCATCTTTGTACATTCTAGTAGTCTCCATTGAGGCAGTTTCGTCCTCGGAGTCACTCATCTAGAACAATGATCATTTTTATTTACACCATCATAAAGTTAAAAAAACATAAAGCATGCAATTTTGTTTGTGTTAACAAGTTATTTAGAATTTCAAATTAATTTTGTATAATATAGTTTATATTAAATAGGTAGGTAATGCTATTCTATTTCTGGAAAAATTTTATTTTTGACATATTTCGTTAAAAAAAATTCTTTGGACACTCAAATTATAAACTAAACAAAACTTAATTATAGGTTATCAGTTGAAACGAAATGTATATACTTTATATTAAAATATTTTTCTACCCAATTATTTCAATAGAAAAAAATAATGATTACATTATTATTACTTAGGTAGGTACATATAAAATAAAACGTTTAATATTATCTCTCAACACTATTTATTTTGTGAATAATCAATACTTAGTTTTCCCATTTCCACACATAATTACTAGATATCTTAAAATTATTAAAATTGTATAACTGAGAAATTAAATTTAGAAAAGAAATGAAAATAAAGGATAAAATAATTTTTATTTATAAGTACCAAACAACCATGTTTTCCTTAAAGTTAATATTAGATTATAATTAAGACTGGGAATTTAAACAGAATGCAATGTATGTATCACATTGAATCTTGCAAACATGTTGTATGCAGTATATATAGTCAGTAAGAGAAGTAGAATAGTCAAAAGAAAAAAAAATAACTTGCACATTAATGACAAAATACCCTAATAACAAAAAAAATTTCATTATTATTATTAACTTAGAATTAAAAAAGAAAAAATTGTTAAAATTTAAATTACTCAAATAATGATTATAAAAAAAGACAAATTTGAAATTCATTTAAAAGTAGGTAATTATTTATTTTAAAATTGTCTGACACAGTTTCGCAAAGTTGGTACTGTATTGATAAATTAACTCTTATGTTTATACAATTATTAAAGTAATATTTAACTAAAATTAATTTATAATATAATAACTTTAGAGAAAAAAAAAATTAATATTCATTAGTTATTTTTACTTTTTAATAATTTTATACAAGTTATAATATCAAATGTTTATCAACTGTGATACTAGATAAACATGAAATACCTTTTAAATACAATTTTCAGAGCGCTTAGACTAATCAAACTAATCAAACAAATTGCCATCAAACCTTTCTAACTATAACTTTTTTATAATGTATAGTTAAAAATTTGGAATAACTGATATTCATGATATCTACAACCAACTTATATTCATAGACAATTTATATTTAAATTTAATATAATATGTATAAAATAAATAATAATTTGGATAAAAAATATTAATTTTTTTTTTTAATGAAGCATTAAAAAATATATTATAATTTAAGTATTTGTTTACTTTACGGAGAATCAAATTGTTAACAGATTATTTAAAATATTCTAATAATAATACCATAATTAGATAAGTACTTGTAAAAGTACATTTATATAAAGTATAATATATATGTAAATTATTATTATGTATTATTATGTACATTATATCTTGGTAAGAAGTGGCAGATATTTTCTGTGACAAAAGAATTCCAATGAGATTTAAAGATAAGTTCTATAAAAGTGTGGCTAGACTGACTATGTTATATGGTTTGGAATTTTGGTTAGTAGAAGGAAAAATAGAACACAGAATGAGTACATAGTGTAGCTTGGGTGTGGTTTTATAATAAGCAAAATTAGAGAAAATAAAGTGAGATAGTTTAGGCATGTCATGAGGAAACAGAAATAAGAAACAGTAAGAAATGTAATGAAAATAAACATAGGAATAAAGAGGAATACCAAGAAACAGGTGGTTGGGTGCTATCAAGAATGATAGAGGACAGCTTATTGTATGTGTGATGGGAAAAGAATATTTTAAACTAAGAAATAAAATTGTTCATTATTCAAATTTACATAAATAATAAATAATAATATGTTTGCTACATAATTATTATTCAAGTATAAAGTGTGTAAATCGTATTAAACAAAATGTTTTAATTTAGTTGTGGTTACCATATTTTACCCTCGCATATAATATATAAATAATATGCTGATATAGTACATATTGGTAAATTACCATTAATATTAAATTAATATTAAATAAATCTGACACAAACAATAAAATTTACAATCCAATGAACTTTATATACAAATACTTTATCTAAATATATTTAAATAACTATAAATTATCAATTTCGTCAAAAAAAAAGATTTTGTAGTTTATTATTTTTCTTCAAGAAATAATATAAATATGGTTTTTATTGAACATTTTATGTTCTACAACTAAAGTAATATACATTTTTTGCTCATTGTTATATTTCTTTAATTAGGTCTAAAAAAAATTAAATTACCATATTTTGTCATTTTGCAACACCCCAGGATGTATTAACCAAAACTTTTATTCTCATAACAATAACAAATTTAGGGGATCCTATATTAAAAGCATTAATATATGCTTTTTTTCTACAAATAAGGATCACTCTAATATTTATTTATTTAAATGATATAAAATACTATTTTGCAAAATATATGATTAATTCAGTCTATTATATTCAATTTAAAATACCGAATTTGAACAATTGAATCAAATTTGAAGAAGTATAAACACGATAATATTATCATAAGAACCAATTTATTTAACACAAATATGTAATATAAATTTAATTTTATTGAATTATTTATTATAGTTAAATGTTCATACTTGTTTGTACTGAAGTTAGTTTAAATCATTAATTCATTAGTATTACCTACATTAATTATAAATAATAAATAATTATTAATTATAAGTATCTGTCTATAATACTTTTAGTAAAGAATTTATATATTCACTCAAGAGGTGCAACCATATAATAAATAATAATGCATACATATAACTAATGTCTATGACTAATAAGGGCACATGTAAATCTTCAAAGTCAAAGTAATAAACTTTAGCCTAATATTAGGTCATATTTACTATAATAACCTATGATTCACAAATCTACCATACTTAACATGCATATAGATATGATATGTATCGTGTTTACAAGAAAATCATTGGGTACCAAAGAAAATATAAATTTAAAATACACTCAAAAAGTTCATCCCTCCTATTTTTGTGTAAGACATAATATTACAATATTGTATAGGAATTGATCATAAAAGTCTTAATAATTATAATATATAATTACTGATTAAAATTATCAGACGAGTAGATTGAACACAATATTAAAAAATAAATTAAATGGGTGAAAAGCATAATTTATACAAACTCAATGTGTACTTACTTACTCAAGACCCTATACGCCCAGATACTTAATAACTATAAGCATATACATAATGAGTATAAGTGAGAAAAATAACAATTGATATTAAAAATGACAAGTATTTTTAATATTTAATAGGTAAGTACCTATATTTTTTGTGTCGAACAAGTATTCCTAAAGTAACCTAAATAAATAGATAGGTATAATTATTATTATAATAATTAATTGTACCTACAATCGTTTTTACTAATGAAAAACTAGATACAAGCAATATAAAACATCCAAGTCTAGAAATAAAATTAGTAAAAGTTAAACATTTGGTAAACAACAAGGTAAAATTGTTTAAATTTAATTTTTGTTTGGTTTTAAATTCAAACAATATTAAGTAATTTGAAATGAAATAAAACTTTAATGACTAGTACATAAATGTAATAACAAAACTATTTGAAAAGTATCTGATATTTGTTTTTGCATAATATGGTGTCTACAGCCTATTTGTGTTCTGCCACATTTCATAAACATGTAAAGTGTAAATTATACTCTATAGCAGCGTTTCTCAAACTGTGGGTTGCAAACAACTGGTGAGTTCCTAATTAAATTTTTGGTGTGTTGCGAAAATTGTTTTGAATTATATAGTTTCCAAGAAATTTGTGTTTTTAGATTCTGAGTTGGTTTTACAAAAATTTTAATTTTTTTATTTCTATCTGTGGACAACTTTTTTTTCTGGCAATTTTATTTTGATTTTCAAGTGTAGCACTTTTTCCAAAAGGAAGTCTTACTGGGGTGGTACTTTAAGGGAGTCATTTTTTGATTTTCGCACCAGTTTTCATAAACTACTTTTTGAAAAGTGAAACCATGTGAGACATGATAAATTTTCGGCGGGAAATTTGGGTCACGGTTCTAAAAAGATTTAGAACCACTGCTCTATAGTATGTAGTTTATCACATAGCCTGGTAGTTCCTAAATTATTTTATTCAAACTTCTCTTAAAATGAAACATATTTTTAATTATTTTCACTCATCCCTTGAATAATATTAAATAAAATAGTGATGGCCAATAATTGGTTTGAGCAAAATAGGTTCTCCGAGTCACGATGCAATATTCATTATATTATAGCTTAGAAATCACTGTACAAAACTGAATTCAACACTAGATGTGTAGATCCAATAAATATAAAATCTGTAAAGATGGCTGTGATTAAAAATATTGACGATGTGTTACCTGCTGGATGGATGAGTGTAGGATAAGCAGAGAGAAATTAATTAAAATATTGATATATTAAAAAATGACACAATATATATATATATATAAAATATGTTTTTTTTTTTTTTAAATAATTCTTTAATTTTTATAATGATTTACTAAATCTTTTTATTAGGTATTTAATAAAGTAGGTACTTAGTCATTTCAAAATTACATTCATTAAATAAAATATATTGTTTAGTAATATCCTTAAACTCTGTACTATTTATTCTATTAACATTAGCAAAATTGTATACTTTATCTGTAGATCACATAATATAGCTTAGAATTTTTCTTTACAATATAATTTTTAAATATTATAATTTACCAATAGTTATTTTAAATGAATATTAATCATTCAAGAATCTTAATCTTCATTTTTATATATATAGGAAGGTTGCTAATTTATAAAATGTATTCATGCAATGTCATTTACTTAAGGAACACTTTTAGCATAGATTATAAAAATTCCAACAAAATAAATATGGTCTCTGAAAACAAATCTAAATATTTACTGAAGCAAATTGCTAGAGCAGTTGACAGTTATTTTAAAATAAATAATATAAGCATTCAAAAATGAGAAATATGTAATATAAATAGGTATTTGGTAAACAATACAAATGTTATTTTCTTAAATATGCATGATTAGACAAAAAAGCAAAGTTTTAACTTCAAACCTTGTTTTTTAATAGTTAACTTTAAATAGTTTTAGTTGAAGTATAATGTATAAAGGCTTTTGAGATATAGTTTTGTAAATAATATTATTTTTAATAATATAACTTATGATATAAATATGTAATTATAATAATTCATTAATTTTTAATATTTTCTATTTATAAAGAAGTTAATATAAAAAAACATGTAAGTTAAAACATGAAATATTTACAGCTGTTAAAATCCCCAAATATAATACCTCTTACATAAATAATAAAAATATACATGAACAAAAGAATTCCGTCACTAGAGTCAAATTTTTCTCCAATCAACTTGTTGCCGTTATAATACTTTATGTTTTATTTTAATTTTTATAATGATAACAATTGAATAAAATGTTTTATCAAATAAGGTAAGCTAATTCCTGAAATTTTTGCTTGCATACAGTGTGGTTGGGGGTTGGAAGTTCAAACCTTCTAAAGATTTGACTCCTTTGAAAAAAATGTATATAAATATACATTTTAACTATGTTACTTTCAAGAATTTGTAAAAGTATTTAAAATACAGTATTTCTTGTGAAAACGTGAAATTTGTGCATAAGAATGGTTTGAGAGGGGTTGAAAGTTGAAACCACTTGGGAAGTCTGTAGGGGTGCTTAAAATCTAAAAATAACCTTAATAATATGGTGAATTTCAAATCTAAATTCAACCAAAATTTTATCTCTTCAAGCTGTCTATAAAAATACTAATTATTTGGTTCAGATGGAGCTACTAAAAGCGTTCAAAAGTACTGGGGAAGATAAATATTTATAATACTTTTTTCTTTTTTTTTGTGGAATTTTCCAAGATAATGAAGACTACCTATTGTACTGTATTGTGTATTTGTGTCTATTATAATATATAACATAATATTTTCACTCTGGGAAAATTCGACAAAAAAGAAAAAGAACTAACTAAGAGTATGTATTTAATATTAAGTAACAATATTTACGAGTACTTACATGCTGGAGTTCCAAAGGTGAATCATTGACTACATAGGATTGAAATACAATCAAAACATTGTAACTTATTGCATACTATAGGTTGAGGGTCAATACAGATCCCCTCCAGTGTGCAGCTATGATTGTAAAACATAAGCATACCTACTGCACATAGCAATATTACACATTACACACTCTTAAAAAAGTTAACCAAGGACAATATAATGCTTATGGCAATTATAAAATACCAATGTTAAAACAAATTTGAAGCTTCAAATAAATAATTAAGCTTAGGAACAAATTTAAAATTTATAATAGATACATACTGTTTAAAACCTGTTCAAAACTATCTGAATTTAAACGAATATCATGCCAAACTGAAATAAAAGTTCAAAAATATTCCATTCAATATGTTTAAGTGACAATAGCATACATTTTTTTTTTTGTAGGTAACTTATAATAAATTATTATAATCAAATTGTCATGTGACAATAGGACTATATTTTGTGATAGATACAAATTTTGTTTAGAATTTACTATTAGATCTAATGATACACAATAATTTAAAAGCTTGTTGGTGAATTGAATTCTTGAATTTGATTTATTCAACGTTGCTGATAGTGGTACGGTTATCAAATTTTAATTTTTTGAGGTTATGATTTTAAAATGTAATTTGATACTGACAAAGGTAAATACGGTTGATAGCGTCAATTCAACTTAGGGTGAATCATATTATTCTAATTTTGTACTACTTATAACAGAATTGTTTTTCTTTTTTATTACAATTATGTGTATGATATCTATAATATAAGATGTTTGATATCATTAATTGTCTTTCAATACCATTTAATGCATATACAAAAAATAATAATTAAATATGTGTTAGCATTATTCTGTGAATAAAATGTATCAATATCAATGACACATATGGCGCATGCCAGATGGCAGAATTTCAATTAAAATAAAATTTAAGAAAAATATTTATTGCCAGAAAAAGTTTACATATATTATCTATACTAGGTATAATCTTATTATATAATAAAAAAACCTAGCTGGTTTTTCATTATGGATTAGAACTTATATTACAAAAAGTTAAAATTAACAAATTATAATTAGTTTAATATAAGTTGTAGTATATAACTGGAACATAGTTAATAGTGTAGTTTACTATTATTTTAAAGGTCGACCACGTTTAGCAAAATTGCCTTTTCTTGATTTCTTATTTGCTTCTGATGTTGTTTTGGCTTGTTCAATCTTAAAATAAACAATTAATATTCTAATTAAAAATGTAACTTGACTTATTATAAATCTTGAAATAAAATAAAAACAAATTATAATATAATTTTAATGTTTAATATAGTTATTTTGAGTTTATGCAATTTTTAATAAAAATATATTGAATACATAACTTATGTAATCATTGGTAAGGGAATATTAAAAAATTCAGTTTGATACTTCAAAGAAAATTGCAATGAAACATTTTTTAATTCTGATATTTACTCAAAATCTTTATTTAAACGCAATTAAGTTCATTATAGTTTTAAGTATTAAAAAATGTAATGTATTCATATTATATTATCATTTTAGTAAAATTAAAATATAATATATTAATAGAAAAGCTGTAGTAATTTAAGATTATTTTAATGGTTTCTTTTAAAATATTTAATAATAATAGCATTAAAATTATATTAACACCACAGTAAAGCTTAAACAATATTAATAAATTAGTTTATAATATGAATAAAATAATAGTTGAAATTCATACATCTTTATATATCATTTTAACTCACTTTACGTTTATTTGGAGTAGAAATTACTGTGAAGAATGAGTCTAATCTACCTTGAGTTGTACCAGAACGAGATTTCAAAAGCTTCTTAGCGCCATTTCTTACTCTATCTTCAGCAAATCCTCTATCACCACACAAATATTTAACTAAACCATCTTCATCTGGATCTACCCATTTTAACTAAAATATATAATTTAAATGAATAAATGAGCAAAATATATTATTAATATAGTATGATTTTATTATACAATGAAAAGAAATCCATATTATACAAAATATTATATCATTAATTTGTAAGAAAAATTGTGTTTTATGGATTTCTAAATCATATTTCTGTATAACATAAAATATTTTGAACATGAACATATTTAATATATGGTTGTAACCCAGGACGGCCAACTTGCAATCCAACCAGTAAAATTTATACAACATTTATTACACTTTTATGAAATATATTTATTTTTTTTGCAGACAATAATTTACGTTTAAACTAACCAGGCAAGCGTAGAACATTCTAGAATGTCCACGCAATGTTATCATTATAATTATAATAATTTTGATCTAACATTGAACAATTTATTGAAAAAAACAAACCTATAGCTAACCAACTAATATTAAATTATACATTGGAGTTCAAGCATCAATGTCTATAGAAAACCTAGGATTATTGTGGCTCGCAAATATTCTAGAACACCTACATCTATATTCTATAAATACAGCCACAACTGCCTTGACAAATATTTACTCCATAATGTCCAGACTGCAATTGACAAAAAATTAAATCAAACTTCGCAAGTAGTGCCTGTACATGACAAAAACAAACCAAAGACTTGGATTATTTAACTTGACTGAGGGAAAATCATTTTCATACATTTAAAACAAAAGCTGAAAATACGGAAATACAAATTCCAGTAAATTAAAAATTAAAATATTATTATCGTGCTTGAGCCTAATAGACACAAACCTAAACACCAACACACATATAGATATTGATTTTCAAAAGTTAAGTGAAAGAGTTGAAAACAATATTTCACTAATTAAATAAATTATAATTATTGCCAATCATTCTATTATTATAGTATCTATGTTTATGAATTATATTTTTAAGTGATAGCTCCTTAAGAGTGAATTTCTAGTTTTAACATTTAATAATAATTAAAGAATGAAACGATAATTTAAATTTTAAAAAAAACATTAAATAAGACTTGAACTGTTGTTCAATTGTTAAATTTTTTTATTTTGTTCATTGTTATACTCTATTAGCTGAGACAACACAACTGAGTGACAACTAACATTGTCATCATCGCTGCTGTGGTATTCATCACCATTCACCACATAGAGAGTGGGATAATTTGACGACAAAACAGCGATGCTCTCTCGAGTATAGTATAAACTATAATGTAATAATAAAATAAATACAAACATTTATGATAAATTTAATACATAGATAAAGAATTTGTTTAACAATCAGCCTTTTTCAACTATATATAATAAATATGTATACCTTATTTATACTGTTAGTAGTAAGAGGGTATTTATAAACACAGTTATGTAAGTTGGGTGGCCTTATAAATCTATTTATATTGTATGTAGAGGTACATGATATTATACATTTTATTATTAACAAGGTATTTATTTAAAAACAATGAAATATTACTTCCAAAGATTCAGGATCAGTTATTTCTGGATCGATAAACAATCTCCTAGCATCCTTGAACGGCCAATTTTCTGGTATTTGATATTTTTTGACATCTAGATTTTCAATAATGTTTTCTAGTGATTTATATTGTCGCATAAGCTCAATAGCTCTTTTTGGTCCAACACCTTTTATACTGTTACAGTAATCACATCCCAACAGTATGCAAAGATCTATAAACTAAAAACAAACAACGAAATGTTGAAACAATTTAACGAGTTATTTGTATTCTATAGTTTAAAATTTAAATTACTTCATCTCTAGACATTTCCATTGTTTCCAATACAGTCTCTAACTGAAATTCTTGAATTGGCATTTTTCGGGCTTCACTAAATGTCATGTGGCGTAATAATACTGGGGAACCAAATGTCAAAGCATCCATATCTTCAGTAGCAGTTGCATACACTTTACCAGCTTTTACCATAGCGGCACACTGTGCTTCAGCTTCACAAGGAGCCTATGAATTAAAAAAAAAAAAACTAACTTTAAGTTAATATTAGGATTTTTCCATATTAACCAAAAAGCTAGAGTTCAACTAATATTTGTCTTGATAATTGGATAAACCAAACTTTGTACTAAAAGATAAAACATTATATAAGGTAATAAAATTGTTGAATCAACAAGATTATTAATTTTCCTTATTGTTTTTAAATTATAACCTGTGTAATATTTAATTTTTGGGACATTTCATTGACAATAATTTTATAAAGTTACTGTACTGTACTAGGATATACTAAATGTACTACTATTAAGATGAACTACCTATTTATTTGTATAAAATATAAGAATAAAACAAAAAATAAAAATATACTTCGACATATGGAACTCCCATCAATTTTAATAATTCTTTACATTCAGCTGTGTGGGTTGAAGTTACTTTTACTAATCTTTTACTGAATTTATCAATTTCTGTAGCATTACCTAAAAAACAAACATTTAAAAATTACATTTATAATCAGATCAAATGTCCAACAAATGTATGCTCATACCATCTTCTTCTGCCTTTTCTAATGCTTTTTGTGCTTCCTGTCTTCTATCATTTCGTTTTTCCAACTCTGACGATTTCATTTGGGGTGGTTTACCATCAAATACATAAACTGGCTTAATACCGTTTTCCATAAGTCGTATCGTACGGTAAAATGTACCCATGAGATGACTGGAACATGAGTTTATTGAAAATAAGATGATTTCATTTTTTTTTTATGTTTAACTGAATATAAGTAGTCGTGTAAATACCTGGTTGTTTCACCATCAGCACTTGTCAGTTGAGCTCCCTCACTGCGCACTGCTATTAAAAACTGATAAAGACTCATAGACGCATCAATAGCAATTTTTCGGCCTGCAATAAAAGATAAATAGATACGATTGTAATAAAAGACGAAGAGTTTAATAATGGTTTATTTAATGGTACCATACCAAAATGATTTTTAATTTCACTTTCTTTAATAGCGTTCGGAGCGATGTCCGCTATAAGTTTAGCTAAACCTGTAATACCCATAATGCTATTATTCTTTAAAAATGATAAATTTAGTATTTTCAAAACTGTGGTTTAAATTTGAACAGCATATGAAATAACTAATATCTAAAAACACTATATCATAGAAAAACGATTAACTATACATAAATATCACAAAATTACATGTTATAATAGGTAAATAACAATTATCTTCTTTTCTTCTATTAACATTTTTTGGAGGGAACTCTTTCGATTGGTTTCAGAATTATGTTTTTGTGTGGTTATATACCTGGTATTCGGTAACTGGCATTATAAAATATCACCATAACCACATTGGCATAGATAATAAAGTTATTTTATTATTTATGAATAGATGGTAGTAAAGACTAAAACTGTTTGTACAAATTTTCCATGGCTGTTTGCTTTAGTATGTTCATGGTTGTTTGAAATTTAAAAGGACAAATAATGATAAAGATAAATAATAACGGACCGAAATTGTTTGCTAATACGGGAAGACACCGCTGCCACGAAAAACAACTATTACGAGCATCTATTACTCCGTTGTACCAATAGCTTTTCATTTCATTACATTGCTCCGAATGTAATTGCTTCGAATTTAAATGGAACAAATCTAGTTTAGAGCCCACCCGATTTTGTGAGTTTCTTTTTCAAAATGTGTGGTATTACGTGTAGATTAAGAATATAAAAAAAATCCAGGCGGACGAGCTTCGTTTTAAAGTTATGAGGGAAAACTTCATAAAGTTCGGGTTTTCCGTTTCACGTATTCCTTAGTTAGAATTTAACATTTTTAAATTTTTTTTTTTTCCAAAATGTGTTTTTTTTATGCTTAATTCATTGATATAATCAAAACTTACTTATAACACTTACTTTTATAGGTTTTGTACATAAACCTTGAAAAATTCATCCAAAATATAGTCAAAAATTGACATTTTGTTTTTTATTATAATTTTTAATTATTGAGATTTTGATAACGAAGTATTTTCATTGAAATCAGAATGAGGCTGTCTGGCTTAGCTTTAGAGTTACAAGCGTTCAAACGCTGCATTCACTCGGACAATTTTAATAAAAAATAACTCGATTTGTTGTGCAAAACCACGTCGGGTAAGCAACAGGGGAAAGTGAAAAAGTGTTTTGAGTGCTTCCAGAGACCTGGCGGGGTAGCTTACTGCATTCGCGTAACGCAGCGTAACACTTCGCGTTTAAATGTTTGGAACTCTAAAACTAAGCCAGAAAGCCTTATTCTGACTTCGAAAAAAACAAAATTGTTATCGAAATCTCAATAATTACAAATAATAATAATAAAAATGTAAATTTTCGACCCCATTTTGAATAAATTCCAAAAATGCTATTTTTCAAGGCTCATGTACAAAAAATATATAAATAAGTATAATAAGTAAGTTTTGATTAAACTAATGAATTAAACATTAAAAAACACACATTTTGTAAATATTAAATTCTAACTAAGGAAAACGTGAAACGGAAAACCCGAACTTTATGAAGTTTTCCCCTCCCATAATTTCAAAACGAAGTTGATCCGTATTGACTTTTTTTTTTATATTCTTCATGTACGCGTAAAAATCACACATTTTGAAAAAAAAAAAACTCAAAAAATCACGTAGGCGCTAATTTAGATTCATACCGAATTTTAAATTTTAATTCATCTTTTAACCTTGTGTTTTGTTACCTTCATATTGATAAATAATTATTGTTAATATTTGTTTCTCAATTATTTAGAATCTGAATGTGTTTATCAGGCATAGCGTTTTTTTGACTGAACTGGATTGCCTTTTGATTAAGAAGAAACTTTAAGAAAATATAATTTTGTTTTATCAGGATTAACTTTCGAATATGCTGCAGTATAATAATGTATGTACAGATCTTTTTGGCAGTCATGAAACAATGACAGTGCAGTATTATCAAGCAAAAGTATGTGTATATGCCCGCAGAATTAATAAAACTGTAAGTTTTGTTTAAAAACTCTACTTATATCTATTGTTTTAGCATTGAATATATATAGGTAGTTCCATTCAGTAGATACGTATCACAATTGACAAATTGACTAAATGGATCGAGAAAGGATAGTTTTGATGATATCCTGATCCAATTAATTTACAGTAAACGCTATTGTAAGAATATTTTATCGACTTCTGAATATCTGCTTTTTACATAAATATATTTTCGATATATTTTTTGGGATAAACAAAGCATATAAAAGAGGTATTTTATGAATTGAAAAATTACTTAATATGAATACTTAATACTTAAGATTAATAGGTATGCATGATTGCCTTATGTAGACACAATTCGGAGTAATACACATTCGTAACAGTTATATTTGGAGCAGTTGTAGCTACCCGTTAGTACAGAGAATTTCTAGAGTTTTGAATTCGGAAGTTGTAGAATAAATTAATAATGATTAGACAAAAAAACATTATTTAAAACGTACAATATCATCTTTAATACATGAAAACTTCAACCAGATGAAAAAATTTAAAGACCTAAATCAATGACATATAAGAAAAATTGCATATCCCTATTAAGAAGTATGTAGATAAATAAATATATTGTTACAAATCTTATCAGAAAAAAGAAATGCTGGACAAAAATTTTAAAATAATATAAGAACTCTCTCGTGTTATTGAACACGAGAACATTTTTATTGAGTGTTTGAAATGAAATTTTTATACTCAAAAACCATGCAACCATACAGGTCTGTGAAAAGTGATCGAAAAACAAGAATATCGAATAATTTATTGTAATATATAATAACAGTATAACGTGTGAAGTATTAGTTTAGTACAATATTTGATGCGTATATTGGTCACACTGTAGACCAGCGATAGTTTGTGGCGATACCTTGTTCCATAAACCATTGCAAAGCGACATGGACTTCTAAATACTAGGACTTTATCCAAACCCAAAAGCCAATAAGGCAATAACTCATACTCTCCCATACTTCAAGTCTTTTATAGTTCAATCCTATTGGTAATAATGTAAGGATTTTCATATTTTTAAAATATTACTCAAAAGATTTATAGGGCAGAATATTAAATTGAATCTACCTTAAATAAATAGAAAAAAAGAAATTTTTGGTAGGTATGTATTGAAAAATCATTTTCCTTTTACGTGATTAATTTGTTTTTGTCTGATTATTCTTAGTGTTTATTATTGTACTTAAGGAAACATTTTTTATTATATGTAATTTGTTTTAGTTTTAATAAATTGTTTATGTTCACAGTATTTGAAAACGACATATTCATCATGGAAGTTGATAAAATCTTTGAAAATTCTTCATTAGATTCAAAGTGAGTAAATGTATTAATATGAATATTGTGTCCAAAAAAAACCAAGACCAAACATTGTTTAGATGGTTAATACTCAGAATATAACAATAAAATATATATTTTATTTTATTTATAAAAAAAAGCGTTAAAACAATTTTTTTTCTCAGTAAACACTTTCTTGGTTAACCCTTTTACTGCTCTAAACATAATATTACGTTATTTTGTTTCAAAAATAAAACAAGCGAAATATTACTTTAGTGATTGTACCGAAAAAATGTCTTGTGTTGTTCACCATATAATATTTGTAATGGTTTATTGTTTTTACAATGTCTTTTATAATGATGAAATATGAGTTAAAATTTGTTCATTTGAGAAATTTTGGCTTGCATAATTTTAAACTTAGGTAGTTGGAATCTTAATTGAGAAGATTTTGAATTCATAAATGTTTTAACTTGGCGGTTTGATTTTATGATTCTTTCTGAATATGTATAAGATATAAAAATAATTTTTTTTTTCGTAGTAGAGAAAGGTTGCTAATCAAAAATAGTGTAGAAGTGAGAAGGTTATTAAAAATGTTTGAATTTCTTCACATTGTTACAAATGTCAATACATTGGTTTTATATTTGTTGGTTTGTTTCATTTGTTATAAGAAAAAGGAACTCTAATACAATAATTTTATTAGTTTATTGATCTCTGTAGTCTGCTCAGCATTGTTTTGTTTTGAATGTCATGTCAGCAACAATATTTGATTTTAGTATATAAACAAAATTTTACTATAACCTATATATCTTCCAAACTGTACTTTTAATAGGTATTTATAATTTGAAGTGTGTACAGCTTTTTAAAATGTATTTGTTTTATTATTAATTACCTAATGTAGGTGTATGAGTAAATTAATATATTAGTAATAGAAATATAAATAGGTTATGAAAGTTAGTTTTATCTTTGTTTTTTTAATTTTTACTTTGAATTTGTGTATATCATGTATTTTTGTTTTGGTTAAAATTTTATTTATCTATTTAAATTGTAAACTATTATTTATTCTAGCTATAAATATTTAGTATTATGAAATGTAATTGGAATTTTATTTCCATTAATTTTGTTTTTTTTTTTTTAGCTTACCGATCCGTTAAGGATCATTGCTGCCTTCAAGTGATCTCGCCATACATCTTTATTTAAGTTAACTGAAAGGTCATGTTCTGGTCTATTTTTTTCAGTTCTCTGGTTATTACATCAATCCATCTGGTTCTGAGTCTTCCTAGGGGTCTTGTTTTGTTTATATTTTCCAAAAAAATATTTATTAGTTAATTATTAAATTTATTAGTTGCCCAACTACTCTCCAGGTGTGTCCAAACCATTATAGCCGTTTATTCCTGATAAATGCTAAAATATTTGTTCTGTTGTATAATTTCTGTAATAAAATTCATTATTTCTTCTCTCAAATATCATTAATTTCCTCTCATCGCCATTTTTCAAGGACCACGTCTCTCAAGCATAAGTTACTATTGGATGCAAGTAATTATGATAATGGAGTACCTTTGATGTCCATGAGAGTAGTTTTAATTTAGTAATTTGATTATACTATAATAACACCAGTTCTCACTCATAGTTTTTTCATTAATTTCCTGGTGCATATTATTCTTATCATTAATATTTATTCTTAAGTATTTAAAGTTGTCCACTGCTTAAAATTTCATATTGCTAACCAAAAGGTTGTTTGTGTTGTTCGTTTATATCTCATACTATTTTTTCCAGAGCTAAATTTATTAATATGGATGAGAGGGTGTCACTTTGGCAGAGGCTAGATTTTACCACAAATAGTTCCGAGCAATTTTGTAAAAATCTTTTAGTCATATTTTTACTATATTTAAATACTTTTTTGGCATTCCGAGTAATTCTAATCCTTTCCATAATTCACTTCTGTTCACACTGTCATATGCCCGCCTGAAGTCTATAAATAATAAGTGTAACTCCTTATCAAATTCATAATATTTTGCTATAACTTGTCTTGGCACAAAAATGTGATCAGTGGTTGACTTGCCCTTTCGAAAACTACACTGGTAATTTTCAATAATTTCATTGGCATATGTATTTATTCTTTCTAAAATTACTGTTAGGACTTCATAACCTATGTCAAATAAAGAGATACCTCTATAGTTCTCCGTTACTGCTGTGTTTCCTTTTTTATGTATGGAACAAATTATAGCAGTGTTCTAACAGACTGGAATTTTTTTTTATTATCTATACACACTTAATCATTTCTGTTAATTTCTTCCTTAGTGGTAATCCCACTGTTTTAACAATTCTGCTCAAAGCCTTATTATTTTTGAAATCGTAAACTGCTGTATTGATCTCGTTTTGAGAAGGTTCCTCAATTAGCTGTTTTACTGTATGGTATTCTATTTCTTCATTTTCATTATTGTTAAGGTCTGTTTAGTAGCTTTTCAAAAAAAAAACTAAATTTGTCAATGATTAGGGTTCCGTTTGTGTTCTGTTATTATTTTTGTTTGTGGTTTATAGCCTCTTTTAATGTTGTCACTTATATTGGAGAATATTTTTGGAATGTATTTGTTTATTTCTAGATCATTTCTGGGCCATTTGATGAGACACATTTGTATTTATGTATTTATATCCTTTCTTGGAAAGTAGGTACGACTTATTATTAGTTCTTTAGATGCAGCAAAGTGAATTAGTCTTGTACAATTGTCATTGCTTGTTTCATATAAGATATCTCGTCTTACTGTGGATCTATGTATTAGTTCTCTCTGCCCATTTTAACATTATGATCACCTACTATCATTTTTGTACAATGAGTGGGTAATCTGTTCACCAGTCTCTAATTCATTATAAATCATCTTTTATATTATCAGTTTTGTTTTCTATAGGTGCATAGTAGTTGATTAAAATTAGATCAAAATGTTATCCGTTAATAAAGATTATTATTATTATAGTACAAATTGTGTATAACATTTAAAAATTAAAATGTCCTCTGTTCCCAGATAGGAATTTTGTTATATTACTGGTATATACTCAAAATATGTTTATAATAGTACATATTTTATTCTTTTGTATTTTTTTTTTATATTAATTTAATATTTTAAGTATGATAATATAACATTTATGTTATTATTATGATTTTTTTTTTTTCAGATATATATGCAAATTTAAAAAAGAAGGTGAAGAAATACATACTATTATTAAAAAAGAAGTAGACTTCATTGATGGTTATGTTTATGAGAGTGAGATAACAATTGAAACCGATCCCATAGAATCTATTTTGTATAACGAATCACAATTTCAAGAAAGATGTTTTATGTGTGCTAATTGTAGTAACTCATTTACGTCAAAATTGAATTTGAAATATCATATGAAAACTCACATTGAGAAAAAACTATTCCCAAGTAAAGTATATGATAAATCATTTTCTACCTCATCTGTTTTACAAAATCAAATAAAAGTTCATAGCGATACTCGTATAAGACCATACCAATGTGATGTGTCTAAGAAGAAATTTCTTCCAAAAATCACTTCAAACAACCATGAAAAAAAAAAATCTTATGATTGTAATGTGTGTAGGAAAACTTTTTCTCGTGCATCCAGTTTTTCCAATCATAAAAAAATTCATAGTAGGGAAATACCATACCAATGTGATGTGTGTAATAAGACATTTATTCAAAAAACCCATTTAAAATTTCATAAAAGAGTTCATACAGGAGAAAAGCCTTATGAATGCAACGTATGTAAGAAAACATTTTCTCGTGTAAGCGTGTTATTCAGCCATAAAAAAATTCACAGTGGGGAAAAACCATACCAATGTAATGTGTGTAATAAGACGTTTGCCCGAAAAGACCATTTAGAATTACATAAAAGAGTTCATACTGGAGAAAAACCGTATGGATGCAACATATGTAAGAAAAAATTTTCTCATTCAAGCACGTTAACCAACCATAAAAGAACTCACAGTGGGGAAAGACCACACCAATGCAATGTATGTAATAAGACGTTTGTCCGAAAAGACCATTTAGAGTTACATAAAAGAGTTCATACTGGAGAAAAACCTTATATGTGTGAGATTTGTAAGAGGACATTTTCTGTACGATGTATATTAGTATCCCATCTAAGAATTCATTCCGGAGAAAAGCCTTATCAATGTGAATTATGTAATAAAACGTTTTCGCACAAAAATAGTTTAAACCAACATAAATTAAGTCATACTCGATCTAAGCCATACAAATGTAACGTATGTAAGAAGACATTTACTGCCATTGCCACTTTGACTTTTCATGAAAAAACTCATAGTGGAGATAGACCACATCAATGTAATGTGTGTAAAAAGACATTTATTCGAAAACCCGATTTAAACATACATAAAATGGTCCATACTGCAGAAAAGCATTATGAGTGTGATGTTTGTAAGAGGATATTTTTTTTACGAAGTATATTAGTATCACATTTAAGAACTCATACTGGAGAAAAGCCCTTTAAATGTGTAGTGTGTAAGAAGACATTTTCTCGAAAAAGAAATTTAAACGAACATCAATTAACTCATATTAAAAAAAAAGACTTTTAATTGTAACATATGTAATAGGACATTTTTGAACATTACGCGTTTAAAAACACACAAATTAACTCACAATGGAGACACCATTCAAATGTCATGAGTGTAACAAGACATTTGTTAAATTATCTACTTTAAAAATACATATAAGGGTTCATACTGGAGAAAAACCTTACAAATGTCATTTATGTGAGAAGGCATTCATATTAAAATGCCATTTACAATACATTACATACAAGAGAAAAAAAAAAGACTTGAATGTAACATATGCAATAAGACATTTTCTCTAAGAAGTAATTTAAAACGCCATTTAAAGAAAGTTCATACTTAAAATATTTAAAATGTTATTATTTGTCTAATTTTAATATTTAAATTCATTTTTTAATATTACAGATAGAAATATGACAATTTTATTGTTAAAATGTTATGGTTTTACAATGATTATTTTTTTCTTTTTTCTTTTTATTTTTTGAAACTTTACAAAATTTGTGCCAAAAATCTTCCTCCGATGTATCAAGTGTAATACCTTTTCTTAAAGAACATTTTATTTAGTTTGTGACAAAGATCATTTTTTGATTTTCAAAGTAGTTTGTTAATAATTGAGAAAATTTATATAAACGGTTTTATTATTTTCAATTTTGTTTTTTTGTTATAATTCAGTTAAAAATATTCGTATATACTTGAAATTTACATAGAAAACTTATATAAGTCTTTTTAGATGTGGTAAAATGTTCAAAACAAGAGTATGCTTAATGTAGAATTTTTTTTATAAGAATTTAAATATCAAATATTGACTTAAATCGTAAATAATATGGCCTTTCAAAACATATATAGACAAACTCCGCTCAGAATCGTTTATCGTAAGCAAAGCCATGGTTAATTGTTAGCTACAATAAATTCCTCTCCATATCCCACCTTCCCAACTTACCACCCATAATAGTTACCTACTGGCCACCCATCGTGTGAAATATCTCAGTTTCATTTTTTTTATAATTATAATGTTATTCCTAGAGTTACTTGTTATTATTTTGTTGTCTTCACTTTGAGCATTTTTATATGAATTGTTTTTCATATAAAGCTGCATGTTGCTGGTATTCGCATGTTGGATAAACTACTTAAAACTGGTATCAAACTATGTTAAAATTTGGATAAATTTTTAATTACAACCCCGAAATTTGTACACCTTCGTAAACGTGATATTATCGATTTTTTTGTTGCAGATGCGTGTTATCAGTATCCACATTTTTAATTTTTGTCGTAGATACTTAAACCCGGTATTGTCTTTGTATTCGCAATCCTGTAATTTGTTCACCCCTTTCCCATAAGACATTTAAACGTTTGTTATCCTTTCACGACAAAACTACTGAATAAATTGAGTTGAAAATGTGTGTAGATACAGTTTTAGATCAAGAATAACTTAAAGCTAAGGGGGGGGGGGTAAAACAGAGTTATTGGTATTTTTGGTACGAAAATTGAATTATTTTTGATAATTTATGTGTTACCTTGGTAATATGGATAATTTTTCTATTGTTTGTTTTGGTATGGGTAACACAACGGGTTTGCTAATAGTACCGAGAGCTGACGGTATTTTTGGTGTCCTGAATAAACTGTAAGTTTTTTTTTACATACTCGTTTTTGAAGAAAAATTCGAGTTGGACCAACCAAAAATAAAAAATAGAAAGATGAATCACCAGAGTAACAGTTTTCAGAAAATTGATAAGAGGCCAGTCACAATATTTCATTGTTGCCAATTTATGCAAAAAAAAATTTAAATTGTACGGTTTATTCACTGTTAACCAATCTCTCCTAAAGTATCATAGTATCTTATTTATTTTTGGTATTTCGTATTTATAATAACCAATAAGTACCTAATTTCAATAGGGCTATACATCAATAATAATTTACTACTTTAGTAATATAATTAAATAACTTACGTAGATAAACTTATCACAACAATGATAAAAATATAATATACACGAAATACATAATGTATTCCAAGGAGGAATATTTAATGATGCAAAAATATTATGAAGACATTTTTTAAGTTAATTTTCCCGGCGTTTTGGTATGAATTATTTTGTTCTCATCAATATTGTTGGAAAACTCTCCGGACATTATGCTAGACAGTATATGATCAAAAAGGGATACCAGTAGTTTTTCGAAAAATCATAAGAGCTTTTATGTAGTACAATAATTATGAAATGTCGCCATTACCAACATGATATTTTTTTATTTTTATTACAAAATAATTTGATATTTTAAATACGTGTTCCACTGATTTCATCATTTATATAATTTTTATGCAATATAATATATCATATAAGTTTTTTCAAAACCTTATAAATTTAATTTAATCTCTACTATCCATACATAAATTACATTTAAATAAATTAAAATTTATTTACCTCGAAGCTAAGTTTGTTGTGAGGTAAACTAGTTATCATACATTTCAAATGATTTAAATGACATCAATCTGTATTACAAAATATATCATTTTTCCGACCTATGGGTATAAGTAAATTTTGTCTTATATCATAAACACATAATTATTATAAATTTAATTTTTACAATTATTTTAACAAATATTCTAACTAGTTGTAATTATAGTAATTTTTTTGTTTCTTTGTAAAAGGTCTTTCTTGGGAAAATATTCTAGTATTATAGCTTTTGCTTACATTTACTGTTAAACGCAGTTATATGTGAAAATTAATTCAACCTGTAACTATATCACGTATAGTAAAACAAATTGCTTAAATAGCATAATCTATATGCGAATATAATATCATAAACTATAATTAGTCTACAATATACTCGATAACATTTAAAATAATTGAGATATTTTATTCTGTTACGTTGGTGTACACGTAGGCGGTTAGTGATAAAAATGTCATTTTTCGAATAACTACCAGGCACCTGTTCTAAGATATTACCCAAATGGGATGTTAATTGATTAGCTTAACATAGCTTATAAAACGTAAGCTAAACGTAATAAATAAAACATTAAAAAAAAAAAAATGTAAAATAATATTAAATTATTTACTAATTTACAAATGTAACATCAAAAAATATCACTTATCTATCACAAAATACGCGGTAAAGTGATAACCAAACAATAATAAAACGCCTTATTTTACCTCTCCTTATAACCTCACTCATCATTATTATGGCAGTGGTCTATCTAATTTTTTATCTATGCCAAAAAGTTACTTCAATAAGTAAGTTAAGTAAGTTCAGTTACTGACATGAAGATAGAAACGATTAAATTCGATAATGGATTATTCGCCAGAAATCTTGGACGAACGTCTATCATCATTATCTTACCGCTTTTTACATAGTTTTATTTCAGTATTTCGGTACACGGATAATAATATAATATATTCTAATGAAAATTCCAAACTTTTGAAATTGACCAATATGAAATGAACGAGATTATAACAAATTAGGTGAATGTTTTTTTTTTAACTTGGAACCTGAGATTTTTTCTTACTGTTTAATTTGGATAAAACTTTTCTTCAAAGTGATTCGTCAAATTGGGATGACACTGAAAGTTACAAAAATTCATTAATTGTAACCAAGTATACGAGTAAACAAACCAGATGTCATAATACTACATCGATAACAGACTGTTTACGGCGTATGGCAATTTTCAATATTAATAATTCGTTTATAAAATGGTAGAAGATAATATTTATAGCACATTACTTAAATAATAGGCACACACATTCATTACGTATTTAAATAATATTAATATAGGTAGATTAGTATTAGATCTATTTCGTTATTATATCGTATTTATCTGGAATCTTTTTACTAGGATAATTATTTTCAATTTATAAATCATAGTAGATACATCAATGTTTTAAAATTATTTTTGGCTATTTTAATATAATTATGTTAATATAAGGAACAAGAAACAACACTATGGTTTGCAAAATACGGTATACATTGTTAAGCATGTCGGTATGAGTGATAAGCTGCATATACATACGCTTTTCAGGCGTAATTTATTGTTCATACTTTTCAGACTTAACGTAGAGTAGTTATACTCGTATATTTTCGTAAAGACGTCCCTAGATTATGTTGTGTTATATATGATAAAAATATGCTTCTACGGGTATGATAACAGGTAAATTTGTTGAAGAACATGTATAGTTGTAAAGTTTAATAACCTATTGTTATTGTGACTCAGTGGCATAGCGAGGATTTTTTTTTAGGGGCTGATTATTGTTTTACACAGGTGGTTTGAAGGAGTTAGGAGTCTCCCATAAATGCCTACATTGTATTTTAGGTTTTGGTTCCTGTATGACCATAGGCATAAAAGGGAGGACTTAAGTCCCCCGACAATAACCTCTCCAAAACTCCTCCAAATTATTGTTTACATATTGAATTTTTTAACAGTTTATGATGTAGAGTAAAATATTTGTTTTCAATGAAAAATAAATTATAACTAATAAATTTACTATCGGTGAAAAGTATATGATGATAATTTCAAAAATAGTCACGGTTTTACGGCAATCAAACAATATGCAAGTGAAATATCTTACTGTTCATTCGTTTTCGTATTTTTAACGTAATTTATGATTGAACAAATTTTATTTAGCATGATGTTATTTATAAATTATAATAGTATTCTAAATTGTAATATTGAGCTCATAATATACACGTACAATAAATAATAGATCAATAATCGCAGTCACGATTAGTGAAGAGCGCATTTACTGAAAATTAAAGACACCGTTGCTAAATAAAAATATAATATCTGGGGAATCCAATTAATCTGCAGTCATTGGGGTCATTTTAGTTTTGAGAGGGGGATGCCAATATTTTGGCGGCCCCTAAAAAAACTGAAAACAAAAACAAAGCACATAAAATGGCAAGGATTTCCTTTTTTATAAGTGTATATCGCACAGTAATACTACTGACTATAGTGATTAAATATCATAATAGATCATAAACGATAATTGCAAAAACTTCAAAAAAATTTAGAAAATAAAAGACTATACATAAACAAAAGTTTTAACAACCAAAAATTGTTTAAAAATCTATTTTATAAAATGGATATTTTCAACTTTTTTTTTTTAAACTATAGTAAAATTTAAAAATCAAGTAAAAAATAAAAAACGAGAAAAATCGAAATAGCTATAAATAGGTAACTCAAAAAGCTGGAATGTTCTAAAAACTCAACACGTGTAGAAAAAAGCGTTAATTTAGGTATCCATTCAGGGAAAGTTTCCAATCTTTACTATCATTTCGACTAAAATTTTGCTCTGAGTTTTGTTATAGACATCAATATAATTAGGTTTACTATATGTATGATAATATCATATTGTATATTATATAATATACATGGTATTTGTATGAACTGTTTAAAATAGATACGTAACTAAGGAGGAAACAAGGTTGACAGTTGTACTTTATGAATATGTAAATGCTAACCCTTAAATTATAAATTTGATTTTATTAAAATAAACCTACAGGATAAAAGTGTCAAAGTATGTTATTTTGCATTTTAAATGTATTTTTTTATTGTAGGTACCTATGTTTATAAATCAATATGAATATTAAACGGGAAAACAAAGTCTAATTTTTACTATTCATTCGTTTTTTCTGCAACTTTGTTAT